AAATCAAACAAAAAAACTACTCACCTTGAGCTCCTGATTGATCACCAAGCTGCAAAGTGATAAATACAACTGTTTTGCCTCATTGACGACCCACTTTTGGCCGAATACTTTTGCATCAGGTCAAAGCCAATACATGATTGCTTTGAGCATTGGATCGTCAATTCTTTTGAACGGGAGAGATTGGGAGGCTTGCCAAACAGCAAGGCATTGACTGAGTGTTCAGTTAGAAAACGTAGGTGCCGGGGTGATAAAAGCTTCAAGTCCTTGTTGGTGATCCTGCTGGCAACGTTGAATATTGAGTTTGGAAACGGTTGGTGGAAGTTTTGCTCCAGTGGCGATAGCCTGTTGACGACGGGGACAGCCTGCACCAGACTTTCCCGGTGTGTTGCTCCCATCACAATGAACCTTGAGGTTCAATCGTGAGCTGCCACTAATATGGACTACCTTACCACAATAGCAACATGTATACAAATAGCCTGGTCCGTCAGGTGGCTGCAAAGAATTCAAATCTCAGCCATCTAAGATAGGAATTTGATTTTTGAGAGAACATACTTACATCTGGGACTCCGTCTTTGTTAACTCCATGTTCAGGTTTGCCAAAATGATCGTATGGAGAGTTGTATTTGTGATCATTGGGCTGATTCCGCTTTTGCTTTCGAATTTGTTCATTTTCTTCATCCAAGTCTTGCGCCAAATCCACTATCGGTGGTCCCGATTGGTTCTAGAGGGTTTCAACCATTGAAAATGTCAGTAACAATCATTTAATGATCAAACAAATAACATACATACCACATGTTCAACCAAAGGTTGACTTTTCTGAGCCCTCAATTGGCGCGGAGGATTCACCAAGTTGGCTATCTTGACTTCCGAGACCGAGGCAGAGCGTTCTCGGATCCGGTTTGAGGTACCTTTGCTCTAATTAACAACATGCATAAGGTTCAGTATAAGAAGTGCAATAGAGATCAAGAGATTTGATTGAAGGTATCAAAACAAAAAGAAAGACTTACTTGGAATAACAACACCAAGGCACGACCTGGTTCACCCATCTCAAGACCTCCAGGTAGAGATGCTGAGCGCTCTCAACGGCGATGTACGTGTTCATCTCGCACATCTCTACCTAAACCTAAGTCGACTAGGCCACGGCGAGAGTCAGAAGAGGGGACTATCATACCTGGTACTTGTCTGGCTGGTGTGACTACGCGAGACGAGCGGTGAGGTTGGGTGGTAGGTACATCGTCGGTTTCATAGCCCAAAGATACAGATACGAAGGAAGTAATGGTCGGTTGCTTAGTAATAGACATGATCAGGTTGATTTTGTAGGACGACTAGTGTAATGAGGAAGAGGGTACGGTGTGGGTGATTGAGTTTGATTGAGTGGATTAAGAAAAATCACAATAGATCAACAAGTATAGGAGATTGATGAGATCAAAAGAGAGAGATAGACTTAAAAAACTACATACCTTTATATGATAAAGAAGCTAATTGGTCCACAATCACCAAATCCGAAGCTGCTTCTTGAAGAGGCTAAACAATATTGAGATTCCGTGGCACGGAAAAAATTCCATGGTGTTGAAAAAAAACTGAAAAGAAGATGTTTGCTGGGTGATCGAAATGATTTGAATGGTGAAAGGCGCCAAAATACAAGGTGTGGTTCGATTAGACGGAGATGGATTGGCGGCTTTACTTTGTGGTGGACAGGGTGAAAAGCCTGAGCGCTGTCTACAGGACAGTGTGGAGATCTTGGGGGCTGGACCCGTCAACAGAAAGCACAGCACCCCAATTTTGGGGTGCCTGAGTGTCAGCTAGAGACGCAACACCCCGGGGCCAAGCTGCCCGGCCAACAGAGCGGCAACACACCACGCTGCGCTCTGCGCTTTCCTCTGCGCTGCGAGCCAGATTTGATATGAGGGAGTAAGAATGTTCAATATTGATGAAAACAGGGTGGTGTGCTTCCCCCACTGCTCTAGTGAAGAAAATTGTAGATGGAAACTCAAATTCCTTGTGATAGCTGGTATCTTGGGTAAAAAAAGTGGGGGTCCAGCTCTTCTGATAACACATAAAACCAAAGTCCCTTATCTCAAAAGATAAACTTTGACCTATTTAACTTGATGCTACCTGTTCCAGTGTGACTGTGCTGATTACAGATAGTTTCAAAACATCTCTATCAATGCAAGATATGATTGTTACACATACTCAAAGATAAGATTGCAGAAGGTGACACAACAGTCTACCAGATTGCCTATATAAGTCTTTCTCCTTTACTCCTCAGTGAGCTTTGATCCATACAAAATAAATATATTTTCTATTTTCCAAATTTTGTATAAAACCTTTGATTATCTCCAAAGTTCCTTGCATTCAACAAAACCATACACAGATTACTTTTAGATATGCAGAGCTTCAAGCAAATCTATTCATACAATAAATTCATTGGAGTGATATTCGTCCTCCTCAGTCTATCATCTGATGGCTTTGGGGCCTTGTCTCCATCAGATGAGCTTCAACGCACATTAACAACATTTCAAGAGGGTAAGTGAGAGTTTAATCAAGTCCTTGTCTATAGCTGCTCAACTTATCCATCTTGATCATGCAAAACCCAGTTCCTATATCAAGAAACAAGATATATACCCATCATAATCTTGATGGATATTTCAAGGTTCCACCACCATTGACTATGGCAGATAGCACACAGAGATCTGCTATACAAGACTATACAGATAGTATTGCCAATCTTAGAAGAGCCCTTTCTGATACAGAGGACTTTAAAACCACCCTGGGATTCACAACTCAACAAGAATTAATTGATCACTTTAATCCTGACGCAATGGAAGCTTTGGCTCAATTAGACACTTGTTTTGAAAACTTGTGTAACTCTTTAGGACACAAAACATGGTTTGAATTACAAGTGAGAATGTTGAAGAAGTTGGCAGATAAGACATATCCAATTCATTAATATATTGTTGATGATCTGCTTTAAATGATGGGTTCTGGAGATAAAATAATGTCTATTTGTGATTTGTCTATATGTCACATTGATAGTATGATGTTCATGTTTTATACAGCAGAAGCTTGTTGCCCTCTGGCTTCCCTATTACTTTGTCCTCAAAATTCAATCCCTCAATTCTCAATCATCATGTTTACAACCATGTTATCTTTTGAAGGCCCTAGTACATACTTATGAATCACACTACAACTTTTCATGTAAAGTATTGTTGTGGTATTTATAGTCAGTTTGCTTTTGACTTTGGCTTCCCTATTTGTCTTATTTCTTTCAGACCCATCACATTCAAATCTGTGTATTCAAATCATCTGACATCTTTGGGTTGTGATAACATGGTTCAAATGGGCAGGGAACATCAAAGGAAATCCAAAGAATCAACAGTTGGATACATCAATTCCAATTTTTATTCTAACTATCATCCATAAATGATATCCAACTATCTGTTCTGGAAATCTACAGAAAGATCCACAGAAAGCTGATACTTTTATCCTATAATTACTTTCTCAAAATCTGTATGGGATCTCTCCTAACTTACCCAAGTTCTTCACCAGAGACTCTTTCCTTGCAAGCTGATCTGGTGTCTGGGGAGGAACCTGACCAGTATTAGTGATAGATTTGAAAGTTCAAGTTTGACAGTGAGACTTTTTCATCACTATCAAATCTTCCACTTTGTCACCATCAACCCCCTTGCCCAGTTTTATTGGAGCTACCTTCAACCATGCAGATCAAATCTACCTGTTCAAAATCTTTGTATCTCACTGTGAGATTGAGCATCTTCAAAAACCAAAAAGATTTTTTTTTTGAAATTTGAAAATTTACTTATGTTCAATAACTTTACTGTTGAAACAAAATTCACAAAAGACTTCCAAGCTGACCATCCAGTTTGTATTGAAATAGGACTACTATGTATTTGTTCCATAAGATTTGCTCAAAGATCAAAGTTGTTCATGTAATTGTTCTGAAGATTTTGGTCTCCTCAGAAAATCTGTTGTACTCAAACTACAAAAGATAGACAATTTGTATATGTACATAAACAGTGTTTTGGGTCTCTGCTTACCCAACAAAAGGAAGTGATGTAAGTTGACTCTGAGTTAACCCATACCATCTTAAGAAACCCAAAAACTATGAGAAATCTTAGCGTATGGGCTACCAGAGTTCTCTGCATTAACCCATACCAGCCAATTCATGGCTTATTGCAAAGACAAGAGTATCTCTTTGATTGCATATGATTAAAAAAGAGTGAAAGAGGTATGAGAAATGATCATTTGAGAGGAGTTAGAAAGGTATAACAAAAGGTTGGGCTGGAGTAGAGTTTGTGGACCAAGCTGCACTAAATTCACACAGACCTTGTCAAAGAAGCCCTCTCACACTGTGGAATCTTTGTATCTGAGGTGGTTGGGCACAACATCAGCTGACTCAGAAAAGCAATTATCTTGTTCTCAAAGTGATCTGGAGCATTAAGTCTAGTGTGGTTGTTGGATTTGAATTGAGATTCTGATGATGAATGTGGAACTGATGGAGTTGGAGAGCTTTGAAATGCTTTACTGATCTGACTCAAGACTCTATGATTTTTTTTCTGCAGGAAACTGGGTTGTTTTGTTCTTGATTTTTGCAAAAAAGCTATGGGATATGATAGAGTTATGAGTTTTGGGCCCATTTGCCATGCCCATATAAAAATATGGAGACAAAGACTATGGCTTAGGGTAGAGTATGGCTTATTGGGGATATGGGTTATTTCAGAGTCAACTGTAGTTGCAAGTGCCTCTGCAGGGCAGCCAGCTCGCAAAAGTTAAAAGATCACTGCAAGAGATTTCATAGGGCTGTGTTGAGTTCTTTCAAGTTCTGATTCTTGATGGGATTACATATGTAGGATGAGAATTCAAAAACATGAAGACTATGACATCATTGTTTGTAAGTAAATCGATTTGTCAAGATCTTGAACTGACAGGTCACAGCATGATTGATTGGTTATGAGTTTGGATGGAAAAAGTTTGAATGAGAAGAAGAATCAAGTTGACTGTTGGGGTTGAGCTCACACAGACACTCAATAACCAATTCGATGGGGTTAGATCAAATCAAAGTACTGACTCAAACAAACTATTTAACCAAGCTTTCTTTTCTTTACTTTCTTTCTTGTTCTTTTGCTTTCTTTCTTTGATTAAGTTTAAATTGAATGATGAATTATTTAAATAAATTACATCAAGCACTCTTATCAATCAACTCAACTCAACCTATTCTCATCAATAATCATCATCATCATCAGAAATCAAATCATTCAATCGGTACTGCAACTCCATTAGTAGGTCCATCTCGTCATCATCATCATCATCATCATCATGGTACCACTAAAAGAGCAAGTGTGGCTATCAGTTAAGTATCTTTCACTCTTATCATCTTCATCTTACCATCAAATCTAACCACCATCAATCGTTGAACTTTTAAAACTAGTTATTCGAATTAAACCTGATTCAAGTTCAACAACAACTACTTCATCATCATCAAGTTCACCTTCATCTTCAACTTCTTCAATCAATTCAACTCCAGATCAAAACCCATCACTAAACTTTATCCAACAAACCCAACTAAAACCTAATCTTTCAATCCCAATCCATCAATCAAATCCAACCCAAAACCTCACTTCAACTCTAAACGAATCCTTTTCAAACCCATGCCTTCAATCTTCATCAACACCAGAAATCTTATTCATCAAACGATCCAGCAGATCCAACGATCGTTGGTCATCACACCTAGCCTTTCCCGGTGGAAGAATGGAACCAGAAGATGAAGATACTCAGTTTTGTGCATTACGAGAGACGTTTGAAGAAGTAGGTATCGATTTAGCAGAAGAAGATTATCTTTTGATTGGTCAATTAGATGATCGAGAGATCACCACTTCATTAGGTAAACGATTACTAATGATCTTAAGTAGTTTTGTTTATCTTTACACAAAACCAAGTCAAGATGATCATGATCCTAAACTAGAAATCGATTCGGATGAAGTAGCTTCAGCTTATTGGGTTCCTATCGATCAACTCTTAGGTCATCAAGTTCGTTGGGGTGAAGTCGAAATCAATGTTTCTACTCGAATCTTACCTACCAAACATTCCTTCATCAAATCGATCTTAAGTGTTTTATTAGGAAACATGAAGTTTCCTTCAATCTTACTTAAAGACCATCCTTCAATTGTAGCTTCTTCTCCAAACTCACCTTCAAGAACTTACCATGAAACCTCAAAAAATCCAAAACCAGATCTTGACCTTTGGGGCATTACTCTTGGTATCACACTGTAATCTTCATTCAGATTCGATAAATCTTCATCCCTTTTTTCAAAACAAAATTTATCTCTGATCATATACTTCTTTGTCAAACAGTGATTTAATGTCATTCATTGCCGATCCTCAGTTTGCATCAACTGGACGACATCACCAAAAACCAATAAACCATCAATCATCCATCGCTACCTCCACTCCAATCCTTACACCAAACAGTACACCATCACTCTTCAGATCACCTTCGATCTCTCGTCTTGATCATCTAAACGCCCCACCCGATGAAATGACCATCTCAGCACCCAGCATCACCAGTATCTTCCCTAGATTCACTTATCCAGATGTGAACGCTCTGATCTGGCTCTTAGGCGGACGGTATCGAAATTTACTTCGTAGCTGGCAACCCGCTCACCAACGTCATCCTCGTTCTCGTTCTACCCTTGCCCTTACTGCATTCTACACGGCCGTACGGAAAGCTTTGATGGTAGCGGTCATCTTGAGGTTTTTAAGTTTGATCGGATTCTTGGTTTTCGTCTTTAAGCGTCTTTCAAGATCTCGGACTCGAGTTTGGATGATCGTTTCACGTTTATTAAAGTTAATCAAACCTATCAATTAATAATCTTTTTTTCATCAAACTCTTTGATCTCTTTATAATGAACATTTTTATCTTGAGCTTTCTTTAGTTTTGAAGGTTTTGTAAACAAAAACATGTGTGTATTTATGAATCTTTTGCTTTATTCTTACATCAATATTACCATAATAAAAAAAAATGATCAAACTTGATTGATTAGATCATAAAAAATTATAATTTACCGCCATCGAAAATGTTTTGGTTTTTACATCTATATATCGAAAAGAAAAAGAAGAGTGTTTTTATAAATGTTTACGAGCACTTAATTTAAGTTTTGTATCAAATTGATTTGAACGAATTGTTGAATTTAATTTATAGAAAGGTGATAATTGAATCTATGCAAGCAAAAAAAAAACCAACCGCGAAAAAGTCAATCAAATGTAAAATCTCTTGTAAATTATAAGAAAGAAAGAGAAAACAAGAAAACCGCTGGGGGTTTTTTTTGGTTACATTGACGATTAATTCCCAAACTTCTAGGAAAAAATGACGAATTCCATCATCATTTTTGATTTCGTGTAAAAGAATTAATCTGATACCTATTTGATTCCAAAACATCAAATTTCAAAAAACAAGTGAATTAATGAAAATGAAACTCAAAAGTGTAATTGAGAGAGAAGAGAGAGAAAAGAGAGAGAAAAAGAAAAAGACGAACCACCAGCTGGAACTAAAGCTGAAATTGACCATTGATGGAATTGATCTAAGTTCTTTAAATACCTATAAAAAATCAAAATCCAAAAATCCAAAAATCCAAAAATCCAATCCAAAAATCCAAAAATTCGAAATCCAAAATCCAAAAATTTAAAATGCAAAAAAAGTCAGTAAACCCTCCTTCCTTTCCTTCCAAAACAAGGGAAAAAAACTAGAATTTTTACATTGATTTAGAATTCCAAATCAAATGATTCAAATCATCTAAAGAAGCATTCACGATTAATTCTAAAACGTCTCGACCTTGATTCGAGTTTTTCTTAGAATAACTTAATGGATTTGATACTTCATTTCCTTTCAATTCCTTCAATTCTGATTCCTTTGATTCAGTTGTAGCAGTAGTAGTAGTTGTTGTGATAGTGTTTGGATTTAAATTTTCAAATAAAGAATAAATTAAATGGTTTTTTAGTTTAGATGGTGGTACGGATGAAGAAATTGAAGTTTTAGAAGTGATTAAATCGATTTGATAAATCGGCTTTTTGAAATCATAACATAAATACCGTTTTTGTATGATGCAATGGAATGGTGAAAATTAGTTTCTTTGCTTTTCTTTCTTTTTGGGTTGAGTGTTTGATTGAAATAAGTTTATTTACTTTATCATTTGGTCCTACGATTACCTACATCGAATAGAATTAGAATTAAAAGAATAAAGAAAATCCAAAGATTAGTATATGTTTTGATCAAGTTTCAGAATGATGATAAAAAGAAACCAAAGAGAAACTTAACAAAGTAATACGACATCTTTCTTTCTTTCCTTTATAACCCAAACCAAATCTTTCAAGTTATTCTAACCTTTTTTTCAATGTGTTTCGTTCTGTATCGTGATTTGTGGTGGTGGTGGTAACTGATGAGAATCCGTATCTCAATTTCTACACCAAAAGTCCGAGTCATATTTGATCGCGTCAGGTCCGAGTACCGAGATCATGGGAACACAAATTGATCGATTTCAACCTATCGACTTTATCAAGCATCAAGCTCTTGGTTCATAATCCTCATTCGCCATCCATTTCTCCATTTCATCCTCATCCATCATCTCAGGATTCACATCTTCAACTTCATCGCTTACCACATTCAAACTCCCCATCAAAAACATCCCGTTCCAAAACCATCCACCTCCGCGCCCCAATCAAGGCATACGAATCTATACAACAACCCAAAAAGGGTGTCCTTGCAAGCCTCTCTCCATAGAAGAGGCTCCCAGGATAGAGCAGTAGCGAGAGTCAGTTTCGATCCGACGACCTCTGGGTAGAACTCCGCTTAAACACGAATGTTGGAAGTGGATATGAGCCCAGCGCGCTACCAGCTGCGCCATCTCGCTGATGATTGTAAAGAATACAGTCTGATATTCAAAGGACTTGAAGCTATGAATCAAGTTTCCAAATCGTATGAAACTCATGAGATCAATGAATTCATTCTATATTTGATCCTACTTCTTTTTCCTTGATGAACTGGCTTGTCTGATTTTGATTACAAAAATTCCTCATCTTGGACTCAATTCTCATTGAAGAATTCTCCAAGCTTGAAAACATGAGATGGTTATGTTTTTTTTCTCAAGTTTATGTTTTTTTTGGAACCCATCAATTAACTTGACAAGGAAAATAACTTGAATTTGAACAAGTTATAAGAAATGTAATTTTCAATTGCATTGGACTAGGAGCGAGCTTCTAGAAAGGAGAATAGGTTACAGGTGCCATAGCGTGACATAGCGATGACGAACGTCCTTGGTAAGCCTTGCTCACAGCATATGATCACATTGCTGTGCTTCTTTACCTTCTCCGACAAAAGATTCTCTCTTGACTCTTTTTAAGACGCTCTTTACCATCCTGCTAATCACTTATAACTCGTGGTCCATCTTGAACTCCGTTGTTCCCACATTGTTTTCTCAGATTCAGATCATCTTCTAAATTCATCCATTAATAGTATCTATTTTATCGAGAATTTTTTCCTGTATTCGATTCAGAATTTTCTTTCCCTCCCACCTCTCCCTTTTATAGATTCTTTTTTAGGCCGCCCCATAGCGGACCTTTTTGGATGCTTCTCGAGTTTTGCATTATGTACTTAAACTATTCTACATAGTCCTTTATTACATTCTGCAACTAGGGCTCTTGCCCCGATTCAAGCTAAACCCACTATCGTGAGTATAGCTCGAGTCAGCTCAAGCACTAAAACCTATTCTATGAAAGTGAAAATGAGTATGCAACATCAAGGATAGAATCAGGTCCTAGTAAACATCTAAACCAAGCTGATATATGAATGGGGATGAGTGAAGTGAGAATTACAATTTTGATTTATATATGCGTGTATAAGAAAATGAAAGTCAACAAGCATTTTGATAAAAAAAAGAACGAGATATGTTTTCTTCTGAATAAGAACTGATGATGAAAAGTAAAAGTTAAACGTAGTATATAAATTATAAAACATTTCAATCAAAATGAAAAAAAGAAAGAAACTTCAATAAATTTAAATTTTTTAATGAATCTAAATCGAACGATCAACAATTTCTTTATCAAAGCTTTCCAAAGCCATATACTCAACAGAAGATTGATGATCCAAAGAATCACTACTAGAACTTGAACGATCAAAAAGATTTATAAGTAAATTCACAAAGAAATAAATCAAAGTAGAAAGACAGATTTGAATTAAAGTATAAGTAGAATGATCGATTTGTTTAACTAAAACCATTCGAAGTTGTTGATCAGTTGAAGATAAATACATGATACCTGAATTCAATAAAAGGAATGGAGTCAAATGAAGTCTAGAAAATTTAATACTTGAAGTAGAACTAGAATTCAGATTGATTTGATCATCAAAAAGATAAACATCTAATAATTTACTAAGTCCAGCTGCCATTAATGTATAACCAAAGACACCATGTACCAGATCAGAATAAGGTGATGATTGTTGATGTAAACTTATGGTCCAACCTGTGATGATAATCATCAATCCAGGTATGATCGAACGACGTTTACCTCTAGAAAGGTATATTCCAAGTGATCCAGTGACGAACCAAAAGATCCCAAGTACTGTATTTTGAGTATCTCGATGTGACCAAACCTGACCACCAGTGAAAAATAAACCATGTTCACTGTTTTTTTCGAAAAAAAAAATCAAGAATCATCAAAAGTCAGTCAAACTTCACGCGTCTTGATGGATAATCAAGTCAAGCTAGCAAAAAAAAAAGAATCTATGATCTTGGAATATAAATCAAACATACGTAAAAGTTTTAACCAAACCCCAAGCTGTAAGTACACAAGAATCTAGAAATTCTTGACTATATCCACAACGTGAGAGCCAAGGTTGACCGAAATGAATCATGAGAAGCAAAAAGATTCCATGAAAGACGAAAGCAGATCCTACCTGATAGTAAGTATAAAGTCAAGTGAGTTGAATAAGTATTGATCAGAATCAGAAAGATAAAAATCGAAGATCATGAATACCATGAAACTTACAAGCATGTGAGAAACACATTGGCCAGTATGAGTGCCAAAGCAGATTCGAAGTCCAGTAATCTAATTTCCCATAATCTAGATCAGCCTAGAGAAAGTGATTTCAAAAAACTTACGACAAGAAAAGAAATATGATGATAAACTTACTCCACCTAGTAAGAGTTGAGTCCAACTAATGATTGGAAAACAAGAACCAAGATAAAAATGAAACCTTTGAATAAAGTAACGAATTCGAGAAGTTTGATAAAGATGTAATTTAAGGAAAATCCCAAATCCGACTTGAAAGATCAAGTACCAGATTAAAAGATATCCAAAAACAGAATGAGCATGAGAAGGATGAGGTGGTTTTCCAAGATGAGCATATGAAGGTAAAAGGAAACCAGGAATCGTTAAAACTGTTCCGAGGATTTGACAAGGAACATGATATCGAGACTTTTTTAATCCTAAAACTACTCCAAGTGGAAAGATGAAAGCCCAAGTGATCGATTGAAAGACTACGTGGAATTGAAGACTGAGAGACATTGACTGGAGAGATCAATGTGAATCAAATCAGCACCCTTAATACTACTACTAGTCAAATGATAATAGAGCTTAATGGTCACAGGATATGTAAAAGGTAATACTAACCTTGTCATTCACAACATTCATTGGGTCTTCGTAAGTGAAGTCATCGTCATGGTTGTGAGCGATAGTGTAAGAAAGCCAGCTTGCAATCAAAACCAATTGCCATCTGAGGACATGATTCCGCAAGATTGTATTGAAAACCATTGAGTCAAGACCTTTTTCGATGATGAATTTGTGACTTGCTCGCTTGAGATGAACTGAGAGTGGTCACTTGGTCAGAGGAGGAGGAGTTGAGAGCGGTTCCAAAAGAAATCCAAATCAAACATCCCTTTATACAAGATATGATGATATTGCAAATTGTAGCCCGTGAGAACTTTCATTCAAATCAATTGAGCAACTCTCCTGGACCGCAGTGAGCCATCTTGTTAAGTCAGACCTCCAGCATTGCACATCCTTCTTGCAACAGGGACTCTTCTGTCAAGTTGATCCTCTTGGCCACATCCGGCGTGCGGAGGACCTGAGGTTGTGGACGGCTCGAATCAATTTCAGTCACATCTTTAGTAGGCCCAAACTCACGCGTGGAGCAATGTGATGACAGATTATTTGACCGTGTATTTATCTTGGACCAAGATAATTGGTGTACGGGTGTCGCTCCCTGAGGTGGCGAGCAGATATTAAAGTGGCGCTATTTCGTCACAGAAAGGGCACAAGAGAACTGGTACATGTTAAGTATAGAGGTGTCTTTTCATTATGCTTTGAAGCTGATGACATCCAAGAAGCAAAAGGTCAAATAACAAACAACTGGCTATAGCCTATGGATGAGATATAAAGTACATATAAATTTCAAACGAATTCAAATGAAATGTTACCAACACAAACGAACCGTTTCCTTCTCGCAAGTCACTCTCAAGAGAAAAAACTCATCAAGAACGGCAGATACGGTGGTAAGAAAAAAAATCAATCTTAACCCTCTTAAAAATTAATTCAATTTTAAAAAATTAAATGTAATCGAACCAAGTTATACGTTGTTTTTTGAATTTGGTAAATAAATCTGTATAAAGATTGATTTTCCAATAAACCAACGATCTTGGTTCAAGAGGGTTGTGATTGAAAAATAGACAGAGAGCGACAAAAGGTTGGGATTTTATAGACGACAGTCTAGGTCAGAAACGATATTTATCATCACCAAAACCCTAACCCAACCACTTCCGAAAATCCCAGAGCTTTGGGGGAAAAGTATTCCAGGGAATCTACCAGCGTCGACTTGATCAATGCCCAGTCTGCTAGTCAAAGATGTGTATCTATGAGACCTCCCAAAGGAATCATAAAACTCTTTGGTGTAGCAAAGTGGTTCACCACTTAAATTACCCAACTACTCGGCGATCCGATAAAAGACCTTCCCAAACTCCCCTTGATCAAGTTTTGATCTGTTTTGAGTGATTGAATGTTCTTGTATCTCAGAACAGTCTACTCTGGCAGCTGACTGCATAACGATAACACTGAAAACATCCAGATTGTATTAAAGTGTTGAATTACATATGATTTTACATTTCCAAAACAAACTCATCAGAGAAAATCAATGATTAGACAAAAGAAAGTAAGAAGTTATAAAACTTGAAGTGAAAGGAAAAACCACTCAAACCAAACCAAGACCGATCTCTAGAATATTTAAACTCCAATCAAAACCCAATAACCTTCATTGAAATTAATGTAAACCAGTAGTAGTAGCAATCATGACCACTTCTTCATAAAGTTGTAAACTTCTATGATCAACTTTAATGGATTGATTCGAATCAAAAGTCGAAAAAAGTGAAACTGATCTTTCATAAATCTTTAAATCAGCTTCATAAATATCATCTAAACTTGAACTTGAATGTAAACAAAGTTGATCGAATTGATGTAAATATCTTCAAGGATCCAGTTACATAGTACAAAATCATAAATGTCAACTTTTTGACGAAATTCACGAGATGTCTGATCATCGTTAAAAGAAAGCTTTGGATCATGCTACTTACGAATGGTATTCTTCCTCCTCATCAAAGTCAACTGAAGGTTTGAGTAGTTTAGTGGTCACAACTTCAATTTCAGTAGACTCTTTACCATCTAGTAGATTATTATCATCCCCTTCAAACCTCGTTGATAAGTCATGAATAATCCCATCCGCATTTGATTGATGGTTTCGATGTTTTGTATGATGATCTCCAATACTAGGAAATCTTGTATCAGGTCTAGCAGGCGATTCACTCTTGTGAGCACTAAAACTCGATTTCAATGTTGAATTTGATCTGGTTTTCAACCATCGTCTAACCCCTCCAGACACACCCACACCATGAGGCGTTCTTTCGGCCGAGTGTCTATGATATGATCATAGAAAATGTTAGTATAGCGCCTCAGCCAACAGCGTGGAAGTCAAAGTATCACCTTGGCATTCTTTCTGCAATCTCGTTGATGCCACGCCGACGCTTGAAAGGTGACAAGATCTCCTCTTTAGCCTGTTCAGACGAATAAACAAGTCTTTTAGGCAGTATAGCAGAGTTAGTTGATGACCTGACTCGCGGAATGACTGTCAAGACGTTCGACTTACCCTTTGGGCGCAAACATATCACTGCTGTTCATCTTTCTACCAAGATGGTTCTCAGTACTGGTCCAAAGCCAGGGTCTATAATAACGAATATAATAATCATCATTCCCACGCTTCTTCATGACCTCGTCCAACATCTTCTGTAATTCGTCTGGATCTGTCGAAGGCCGACGTAAATGATCTTGATGAAACCATTTGACATATGAACGTTTATAGCGTCTTAGATTACTGAGCATCATAGACATCCTAGCCCGATTTTCCTTTTCTGACATCTCCGCGGTGGGGGTTTGGGCAGCTGCGCCGGTCGAGTCACTCAAGGGTGGTAAGTTCAAAGTAGAAGAGCTTGAGATAGATGCAATGGGTGTTAGAGAGACAGCAGGTGACTCGATTCCAAGGAATAAATTGATGGCGGCTTGTTTATCTGCATCGGCAAAACTGTTGGCATAGAACCGTTTGAGGCCTTCGAGAGTATCACGAGCATGACTTTTGTATTGATTCCCGGTTTTTCGATAAGTCTGAAGAGTGTTGACTAGATGTGAACCTCCGTATTGTAAAGCAATGGTGTCACCGAGATCATGATACATATTGGTCAAGATATCAACCGCGTCTGAATCATATGGCGTCACACGAGATTTGATGATCCCCAAAGCATGCAGTTGATGAGCGAGAGCTGCTTTCCCGACTACGAATTGAGCAGCGTTGGTCCGACTGATCACGTGGAACGACAGAGGTATCAGAAACGCAGAACAAAACCATGGTGGGCCTCTGAAACTCACTCGATGCAATCAATACAATTCGTTCGACATACTCCGCATTGTAATGCAGGGCCAGCTCGATGAACCACTGGTTGAGTTTCTCCACTTTCATCAGGCTCGCCATCGTCGTTGTAGATGGGTTCTTGTTTTTCAAGTATCTTTGAGCTTGGTTCAGACCCACTATGAAAAAACTTTGTTCTATTGATCACTTCTTCAGCAACCCCACCCAAAAAGCTAATCACATCAACTTGTCTTGATCTTTGAGCCGCACTCATATCAAACCCAACATAATGCAAAATATCTTGTTCAGGCAAAGAATGGCTAAGGAAATCGATGCACTGCACAAATTCAGGTAAAAGTTTAGATTCCCTTGGTTGTCGTTCTTTCTGTTTGATCAAATTCAGGACAACGACTGAAGGACCGTAACGGGCGAAGAGATCATCGAAGTGACGCGCAGCACCCGTGAAATAAGGATCGATGACAGAAACTAGTCGAGTATCAAATGCACCTTACTTAGTCAAAACAAGACCTGGTAGCGATCCTTTTAATGTTTTATTCAGAATCCATCACACGAATAACTCACATTCAATCGGAGGCTTAGCTTTGGTGAGTGTAGTATCCTGATTCCATAAAAGGGGAATACTACCTCGCAATTGAACGTAGCTTGTGTAACGTGGATTAGGCTTTCGAGCATGAAAGTCGCCGCGTCGTTCCGGGTCAGGGATGTGAAGAGCGGTGGTCAGGGCATCACACACGATTTGCTCAATCTCAACCTCGTTGGCGACGTAACCCTGAAGAGTGGATGGTCAGAGTGGATCAGCCATTGCGGTGAAATGGTTAGACGACTAGCAAGGTGAACTCACATCCTCACTTACGCCCCTTTTCAAAAACCGAGCACCAGCAAAATGGCGCGATCTACGGGCAATCACAGCTACATATACTGTACGTCCAAAGACATTTAATTCTACGCCAAATCAAAAAAAAGAGTTCAGCACTCATCTATTTTACCACATAATAGAAACAGCCGGTCTTAACTTGACTGATCCACAAATCCATAGATAAGAGGAAGAACCCAAGGGCTACCACCCTCCCGATCAATAGTGTTCCCGAAAGCCGACAAGAGTAAATAATGATTCCAAAAGAATTTGTCATGGAATCCCCAAGCCACTCGGCGTGGATCAAAACCAAAGGCTCTGGAAGATGAACTGCCTTCTTCAGGATCGGTTCTGATAGGAGAAAAGGCCCCAAGTGATGCTGAATAAGATGTAGGATGGGTGAAATAAGACTGAAGAGTGTTGGTCAAGTCATATGAATAACTAACCGTTGACAGCAACAGAAAAAAACACATCAAATTTGACTCTGATCTTGTCTAAGATGATGGTAAAGTGATCCTTACCTGAAATAAAAGTTTTTACTCAAATCTACACTTCTGAATGCAGCCATCAGTCGGGCTTCTTCTGCTTGAGTGTTTTTGGGAACTTTTCCTGTCACAGGCGTTAACTGAGTTTCCTCACTATGATAAACATAGTGACCTCCAATCATTGCTACAGGCACTCGAGTCTTGATAGTGACGAGATAGTAGGGACCGGTAAACTTGATAAAGCCTGTGATTTGTGAGACAGAGTCAGTCAAAAAGCTCATGATGATCGATACACGATTTGGCCGACCTACAATGCCCCAAAATGTATCGATAGGACGAGTGAGACCACCAGATGCGGCATTTCCCAACGTAAGTTGTTCTATTAATGCTCTAAGCTGAGAGGCAGTGTAGATAGTGGCATCCTCGGCTTAGATTACCCAATCAAATCAAATTGGATCATGACGATCAGAACACTTTCTAGAATGAGTTTTAAGAAATATGAATTTACTGATCACCAGTTTATCATCTTCATCCAAATTCTTATCAATCTTCAAGACTCGATTAGTGACTCCAGGTTGATCAGATCCAGTGATGTAAAATCTCTAAAAAACACAATATTCAAATGGATTGAAAGGTAGTCTTGAGCGTTCGTGATGACCGAATTGGATGATCACAAGTGGAATTGAGCATCACCCTTCGTGTCTCATATAGAGAGAATCGTTCCAATGGACCTGGATGTAGACAGGAGGAAGGACAATCTCCAAGTGATGACTTTTGACATGTTGGATTTGTGTTCAAGCTGGCTCTGGTGCCAGTGAACATGATTGAGAAGAAATGCTGATGAAGTGGATCCAAGTTGAAAGTGAGGATCTTCAAACCAAAATTCAAAATGCATCCCTATGTACATATACCATCAAACCCCATAATTGGATTTACATCATGGCTTTAAAGCGGTCTTCACCATACAGATTTGTAATCAAGATGCACATCCTGATCTGCAGCTGCTGACTGACTGACTGGTACGATTGATGATGTTGATGATGATGATGATGAGTATGAGGATCGTTAGATGTTGGGGAATGTGTATATAAAGGGGTCTAAGCTTCCTTTAACTTCTTGGCTTTCCATCCAACGCGTAAGACTCGATTACCTGAAAAAGAAAACAACCAATCTATTATCTTACAGCGGTTTAGAGAATCCTTCAAGTGAGGAAAGTGCTGGAGTATAAAGCTTTCGGATCTTTAAAGAGATATATATCCTCACCTCTTTGAGTAGGCTCGCTGATCTCCTATTTTGACTCAAAAACCTTCTTGATATTTCTATCTTCCAAGAAAATTGATCGTTTGATGACTTGTGTGCTAAAGAAACACCATCTTGATAAACACGATTGAAATTCTCATCTTCAAATAACGTTCACGTTCTTAGCTTCCAAATCCCATCAACCCACCCCCGCCCCCCAAAAAAATATATATCATAGCAGCTGGATATGCTTTTTAATTTCGTATATCACATCTTTATCTTTACAAGTATTTTTTATAATATCTTACCTATCAATACAAAACCAGAACCGATTACCAAATTATTAACTTTACCAGAAGGCATCATCCGTGGAGTCCAAACACAAATCACAGGAGTGTTTAGGTATACCATACCATATGCTAGACCTCCAGTAAGTTCGCTAAGATGGAACGATCCGGTTCCACCTTTGAAATGGAGTGGAATGTGAGTCATATTGTGTAGAGACTTCTTTCCCATCTTTTCTTATCCTGAGTCTAATTTTTTGCTGTCTTGTTTTTTCTAGTCGATCTGGTATAGAACTACCTTCGGCCTGTCCACAAAGTCTTACCAACGGATTTGTCATCACCAATGAGGATTGTTTATACTTATCTGTTTATGTGCCTGATAAGATTTTCAAAGGAATGCCAATCTTTGTATGGTAAGTGATCCGATCTAAAATGATTCTAGTCAATACTTCATCAGATAATATGAATAAAACTTATACGGAATTGATTTGTAGGGTTCATGGAGGATCCCTACTCCAAGGAGGTGCCTCGGGATATGGACTTGATGGATCATCTTTAGCAGCCAAATCAGGCATGATCGTCATTGTAGTACAATACCGTCTTGGTTTATTAGGATTTCTTAGAACTCCATCAATTCGTAAAACCTTGAGTGGAAACTACGGTTTAAAAGACCTTATAATGGCTCTAAGTAAGTAAATAAATGATGACCTTAATTTTTGTACAAGTAAGATTTATTTGGGGGAAAAAAATAATTTCGAATTACATACTTACTACATCTTGATCTTCCAGAATACATTCGAAAAAATGCTGCATATCTCGGTGGTGATCAAAATAGGATCACTCTTGCTGGTCAATCAAGTGGAGCATCTTTAATCAAAACATTATTAACAGTAAAATCGGCTAGCGATCTTTTTCAACGTGCTATCTTACATTCATGTCCATTAAATTATGGTGATCATTCGATTCGAACATCTGAACTGATAGGTTCAGTCGCACTTTCAATCTTGAAACCACCGGGGCAAGACCTACGAAGAGTATCTGTGTCTGACATCCTCGCAGCCCAAAACTCAATGCAAGATAACCTTCCTAGTCGTTTACCTGGTATTGCAAATGACGAGCCATTCAGACCGGTGATAGATGGCTCACTAGTCACATCAGATTTCATAAACGCCATCAATATACCTTCTTTTAATTTATTTGGTAACGAACGTCAAATCATCTTTACCACAGTGAAAGATGAAGCTGGACCTACGGTAGCTGAAAGTTTTGAAGTCAATACGCCTTCTGTTGAATTTGAACCTGCTTTGAATGCTTCGATAGCTTCACCTGATCAAGAACGTATCAAGTTTATCACTTCTTCTAAAGTGTATTCAAATGAACTTAATAATTTGATTAATAGAGGTGTCTCTGATGCTACCAGAGAAGAATTGACAGTCTTTGGAACGGATTATGTACGTTTTGAAGCTGAAGACCTGAATCAATATCTCAAGAATGGTAGCTGATTTTGTTTTACATGGCTTTGAATTTTTATCAGATTTGGAGATGTGCTAATCAACAAGTGGCAGTTAATTTGACGACCAATAGTATAAGTTTGATGAACAAACAAAAGATATGGATTGCAGAATTTAATATTGGGATTCCATATAATTCGACTATCAACATCAAATACTGTCGATCAAAAGTTTGGTATGTGTTTTTTTTTCATCATCATCAATTCTATAACTTTCAAAATCCCAACTAACGGTGCTGAACTTATCTTGAACATTTGAGTAAACCAAAGTCACGAAGATGATATCTTATCAGTTTTTGGTCTACCAGCTGATCGTACCCCTAACGAAATCAGCACACGTTTGATTAACGAGATCCAAGCACGTTGGGCTGCTTTTGCAAGCTTTGGAAATCCAAATACCCTTCGCTTAACACCTTGGTATCCAGTTGAAGGTCGAAATCAACTCAATTTACTTAGGATCGATCGAAAAAGTACTATCTCTGTTGCACAGCAGAGACCTCGTGCTTGTGATGAACTCTGGGGAGTCAAGGGTGAGTTTATCACATCCTTCAAATCCACTGGCTCGGTGAAATCTAATACTATTTTTCTTTTTATAGCTCGGTTTGATGCTCAGATATATTCTTAGAGAACCGCATGCAATGTTTGTAGGAAGCTCTCTTTATTATTAACGAGAAAGAAAATGATCAAAATCGGACCACCTCAGGCTTTTGTTGAATTAGCTTACCAGAATTAACGATGATTGTAAAGGTTCTATAAACATAGAGGCCAAAGATATGGCTTGAATTGAGAACCTACAAAATGGTTTTTGTTATGATGTTGGATTTCACGCCGGTCAATGAAACTTGAATGTATCCCACTAGATCTTCCACGTGACAGTGTAACAGAGAAGGCCACATCTGATTTTGCAATCTATTTCTGATGAAATAAAATCTTTATTCTCAAAGAGAGAAAAGAGATGAAATGTCCTAAAGTCTAAAGATGATGAGCTTTATGTTGACTGCTGAAATTCACATATAATTGTTTGCCTTCAGCTTGAAAAATTGAGAACTTCCTGTTGGATTCAGAAAGTGTCGAGATAGAGGTCAAAGAGCAAGGATGTGAGTTTTGATTTAGGATTGCTACTTGATCCATGGAAGATTGAGAGTGGTGATTATCAACACGCATCATGCTTGAGGACCAAGATATTTTTGGCTGAAGCTGTTCTGATTAGGAGTTGTGAGATAGAAGCTTCAGGGTCTTCCCTTTTCTATATGTAAATTGGAATTCATGGGCTGTGTATGTTTATATTGAGTGTTACAGAGATATTCCAGATTTCAAGCGATCACCTCAGTCGAACAAATCAAATCAAATCAACCACTATCACTACCACTATATCAAGAACTATATCACCATCACTATCATGCCATCTTCAACTTCAAGAACTTTGGAATTCAAAGAAATACTTCAACAACACAAAAAAAATCAAAATCTATCTAAACCCATCAATCCTAAATCACCCATTTCAAAGACAAAACCTCCATCAAACTTATCAGAAACTCAAACCTGGTCAAAAGAAGCAAAGGTTGTTGTGAGTCACTTAGGTGAAGCTTTTATTTAAAATCAAACCTACAATTCTACTCTTCAAGAACTTTTATATTTCAAAAAACATCAAGAGAAGAACATCGAGGTTGAGGTCTATCATGAAACTGATTTGATTTGCTTTTGTTTTTCGTCTGGATCGATCATAATCTTTAGAACCATAACATTCAAGACTTACTCGAGTTTCTAAAAACGATCAAACGAGCTTATCTAGATCCTACTCCATCTAGATCATCTACTACTCATCATAATTCAACTAAACCTTTAGAAAGACAAGTTGAAATCAAAAGAGGTTTTCAAGGGTTTTCACAAGTCAGATGGTTTAGTGAACAAGAAAAAGATGAAATTGATGTACTTGTTGGTGTAGGATTAAAGAAATCTATTCAAGGAGTTAGAGCACTTGAAGCAGCTGAAAATTGTGAGTAAACTTTACTATTCCTTACCAAAAAACAAAACAACGAAATCTCTTTTGATTGTCTTACAAGTGTGTAAATTGATCTTTGATATCTAGCTAGAAAATCTCAACATTCAAATCAAACTTCAACATCGATTTCACGATTTTTAAATTTACCTTTATTAATTTCATCAGATCTGAATTTCGAACAAATCAGTTTACATCGAGCTTCGATTCTTTGGTATTTAAATGATCGATTAACCAAACTTAGTCAACTGATTAAAGATCAACAAGAAACCCGAGCCGAAAAGAAACGACAAAAGTTATCAAATGGTGGTTTAGCCGGTATGGCCAGTGTCAAAGGTTACTCTTTCTTTCCTCTCTCGCTCTTAACCAAACTCAGTCTAAGATATTCTTGTTTTTTTTTGGTAAATTTAGATCTTTCACGCACAATGATCGGATCAGAAAGAATGATCTCAACATCAGATCAAGTGAAGATCCCATCAGTCTTTAAACCTTCTCAATCCACTTCATGGTCAGAAGACCCACTTGAATCCAAACCGATTGAAGAAATCTTAACCTCAACACAACTACATCAATTCGATTCCGAATCATCAGCTTTATTAAGAATGACCGAAACCACTCTAACTTCAATCAAACAAACCGAATCTTCTTTATTAGAAATCTCGAATCTACAATCTGAATTAGTCTTACATTTAACTCATCAAACCGAATTGATCGATACACTTTGGGATGATTCTTTGGTTTCAACTGGGAAGGTTTCAGAAGGCAATCTACAACTTTTGAAAGCTAAAGAAAATAATCGTGAAAGTAGGATTTGGTTACTTTGTTTTTTGTTAGGAGCTAGTTTTGCTTTATTGTTTGTAGATTATATTGCTCCTTGAAGAGCCTTTTCAATCAAGGATTTTAAATATTATATACTCTTCATCTTGATTGTATTACTTTGATTCCTGTACTCTTGAACAGTTTGAATTAACTGACTTCAAATCAATTTTTAAGTGGTGGTGAAAAGTTCCTCTTTTGGGCGAGTTTTGAGATAACCATTAGTCGGAAAGATAAATGAACCAAAACAGGTGTCAATCAAGAAGAAAAGAAACTTGAAAAAAATGCTCAAACAACACCAAAAGTCAAAAAAAAGAGAAAAAGTTGAAGAAAAAAAATCAGAGATGCTGAAAAAGATTTCAAATAAGTGAGAGGTTTTTTTATACACTAAAAGATTACAACTTTTCACAAAACATAATAATAGAATTTAGGTTTTGGTTTTTACACAAAAAACACACGTTGGATTATCATTCATCATCCTACCAAATTCCAATGACCTTGATTTTACTTTATACTTTTCCAGAGTTTCATCAACACTAAAAACCAAACCACAAAAAAAAGGAAGAATCAAATCATGAGTATCACAAGATCCAAATCAATTCAAAAGATTCAAATCAATTCAAAAAGCCATCATAAAAGCGAGAAAAACCAAAAACTCAACTCGAACTTGATAAGTTCCATTAGCCTTTGTAAGATATCTAACCCATTTGACGGAATTATAATTTGATTTTTCAAAAACCTTTAAAAACCTAACTAACAAACCCGAAGAAGTATACATTAAAACTTGAAAATCTAAATTGATTGGAGGTCTTGACCAAGTCTTTCGATGAGTGGTGGCAGATAAAGTTGCTTCGGCTGTTAAGGTTGCATCTGCTTGACCTTGCATTCTTGGGATCCTATCAAACCAACAAAATCAACCATGAAATCATTAGGTTTTTTTTTCGGTTTTGGGTGTTGGGATGGTGAAAGATTAAGCGGGTTTTGTGACTTACTTCCATATAATTAAATTATCAGCTGGAACATATTTCGCTTTACCGATTTGAACTTTACAGTCTACTTTAGTGGTATTCAAAGGCGTTGGAATCTTCACCACCACATTATTAGCATTTAATTTAGAATTGAAATTAGCTTTAAGATGAACAGTATAATCTACAGAAGATTTTCCGATTTCTTCAATAATAGGTTGAACTCTAAACGGTAATTGAACATTAGTAGTAGATCGATATCTATCAATCCATCAAAGAAATCAGCTCAGGATTTAAGATGGGTGTGATGAAGGAGATATGAAAAATGGAAAGTCTTACCTCATTAACTCAAACTCTCCATCAGGTGGAATAAAACTAATCGTTCGATCTGAATCAAACTTGCCTAGTTTAACACATTGATGGAATTGACAATCGTCTAACTCTACTGAACTATCATCATGACTTGCACCAATCGATTTGGTTCGATCACTAAAGAAATTCGACTTTATCAGTTCTCTAACTGATCAAGAAGGATCGTCTTATTCCTGATCACCTACGTGTTCTCAAGTACCAATTTATCATTCAAACCAAACTTGCATTCTGGTGCACCTGATAGATAAGCTCGCATTAGAATCTGACCATCAATATCCGACCGAAGAACGCTTCCTAAGACCCAACCGAATACAACATCAACTTCATCCATCAATTTCGTCACGAAAGAAACCGGTGAATGAAACTAAAAGGAACACTAACCTTTAGCAGACATGATCAAATTCACTGTTTCAATCACATCCACAAAGGCTTCATTCTTTCGATACTTAACATCATGTCTTCGCCAAGACGTAGCACCAGTAGCTTGGATGGTGATCTTGGATGAATCTTCTCGCTTTTTTTGATTTGTGAATTGAATTAAAGAACAATTCAAGTCAGCTTTCTAGTGTGATTGTATTTGTTTGTGTGTATGATAAGAGAGATGGTTAGAAGATGACAAACAACAGCTTGTTCAGATTTAACACCTTCTGTAGTAATATACATCTTTAAGGTATCGATTTCACTATTCTGAGGGTACCCAAAATCAAGTATCTCTACATGAAAAACAAAACCCCCAAACCAATCAATCATGATAACCCTTTAATGATATATTTAAAACTCGATTTTTTTTTTTTCCCCGGACACTTACCATCAAGTAATTCATAAATCAAAACAAAATTATTCTTAACTGATTCTTCATCCATCTTACCAAAATAACTACGAGTTAAATTAATCAATCGATAAAGAAATTCAAACACGATTGCTGCATTCGCATTTGATTTCGTTACGGCTGCTAAGTATAAGTTTTGATGTCTGACATGAAAGAATGAGGTTGAACCTAAGGTTATGATTGGAGATCGAACGTCTGGGTTTGAGATTACATGGATTCGAAAGATATCGGCGATTGAACGTCTGAAAAAAAAAAAGAAATTTCATTCGGTTTGCATGAGTGATGTGAGAGTTTGTTGGATGAGGGTGAGATGACTTACTTTATATCTGGACGATATAACCTACTGATTAAGACTTCACCTTTGAGATTAAGTATGAATAAAGCTGAGATCATCTTGAAGTGAATTGAAAGTTGATGTTTGAAAGAATCGAATCAAGAGAAGAGTGCAACTTTCAAGCTAAGCTTACACTCGAAATTCTGGATGTAAGTTCTTATCACTAAAATTTAATCATACATACCCTAGTACTTTATCTTAATATTTTCTGTTCTCTATGCTTCTCTTCATAAATACGAGGTCAAACTCATTCATCTTGAAGCATCACAGACTACAATCAAGTGATGGTCTGGATGATGATTGAATGTTCAAGAGTATTATGATCTCTGCTAATTTACACTCAAAGCGTGCTCTGGAATAGTCATTGAGACATGCATGTTCATCAGGAAGACTTTAAGGTCTTGTGCGCCATCATACAACCACTGAAGATGCAAGTCATGATACCAACCTAATTGGTTGCAATCTAAAGCTTCTTGAAATGTGATCTAACTGTGATCATTTCTTCAAATCTTGCTTTATCACATTCACTCTGAGCACAAAATAAAACTTACAATTATTCCCACCACACGATCTAACGCTTTGGATAATAAAGTTTTATAAGTCTCAAGTGGCTTGAATGATTTAGTTAACTTTTCATATCTCGATCCAATCTTGCAGATGACACTCGTCAATTTCCTAGCTTCATCCTGATTTGCTTCATAGGGGGAAAATAGTGGTTTCGGCTGTGCCAGTGGAAAAGAGAGAAGTGGTTGTATATAAACTGTTACTCAAGAGTGAACGCCTAAACCTTCCTGATCCAACTTATTCCTTTTGACGATTACCATTCTCTTCAAGTCACGAAATCTGTGTGAGTGTGAGTGCTTGTTGAACTGAATCCAAGTCAGCAAAACAGAAAAACGTCAAGAATCGGTGTAAGGAGGTTAGTCATCTACATACATACTCTGCTTCACACCATACTTTAATTCTATCACCACGTCCAGCACCATCATCATGATTTTCTTTTAAACCAAGATGATATTGTTTGATGATTCAGCTTGCTGAGCAAACGGGTACATACGCATAGAAATTCAACTTGGGTCTTCGCTTATTTACAACCCAACACCCAAGTGAACTCTTCCCACACCATAATGCACTACTTGTGTATTTACTTACTTCAACGGTGCCGTTCCATATCTATCATTCAGGCAATTTCTACAAATTCATTTATGCACTAATTTTTTTTTTGGATTTCTAATATAAAATTCCTTCTGTTATCTGATCATCTCCTTTTTTTTATTTTTCTTACTTATATAGCTTATCTTTTTCATTGGGATCCTAAATCTCGTTTTTTTTTGTAGTTGTTAATAAGTTCAAAGAACACAACGAAACGATTGGTTTAAATAGAATCTTTACCAATATATACATATTATATAAGAATGCCATCTAAAAAATCAATACCAGATATGTTTTCAACAAGTTTATCGACAGATCATAGAAGAACTGCATCACTTTCATCTTATCGTACTAGACTACCGAGTTCGAAACTTTTCCAACTTTTTGGTAGTTTTAGTCATAGTAGTCATAAATCAACTCATCGTCGATCTACATCTGATACAGGACCGATTTCATTTAATAACTTTAAATCATCTACTTCACCATCTAGACATCCAAGATATCAACATGTTCTACAAAAGCCTCGTAGGAGTCGTAGTGAAACTCGTTCGTTTAAAGATCTTATTCCATCTGCTTCAAGTTGGTTAGAAGACTTTACTGCAAAACTTGTGGGTCCAAGTTCGTATTCCAAACGCCAAGAATTATATGAATCTATTACACTGAAAGGATGTGAAGAAGAAACCTGGACAGAAGTCGTCAAACAAAAAGAAGTCGAAACCAATTTCAAGCAAATCAACAAGAATAAGAAGAAGATCGATTTGGTTAAAGAAGAGAACTTAGTGACTGAGAGCAGAGACGGTTCAGAAGTTAGACCGTTTCTTATTGAAAGAGAATTAGATCCGATTGTAGAAGTAGAAGACCCAAGACCGATTCGAAGATCGTTTATTGATCATGGTAGAACAGCTTCTTATGATCATCATCAAGGGAATGCTGGAATCAAAACTGTAGGACGATTATCGGTTTCTGAATTAGGAGTACCTGAGCTTTCGACTGGATATCAACCATCGAGTTCTTATAAACCAGTACAATGTATAGTGAGTGACTTTATGAGTCTGTGTTGATAACGATTTATCTGATGAGTTTTGGTTTGGTTTTTGTAGCCTCATAAAGGAACTCCGTCTAAACCGTATAACCAAGCTACTGGATATTTATTCACCGAAACGAGAGCTAGATCCAGATCATCATATCCTTCACCCATGATTTCTAAAGCACACTCGAGATACAGTTATCAAGATCCCAGACCAATTTATGGTCAAGAAGACTTGTACAATGATGATGAACTTGCAAAAGAAAAAGAAACACCGAATGAAGATCAAGCATTAATTCGATTAGTTAGGACCGAATCTCAAGAAATCCAAAGTGATACACTTTCTAGATTACCTAGAATAGACCCTTCAAGATCGATTTCTTCTTCATATATCACCCATCGATCTTTTCCAAAAGACCAAGCAAATGAAGATCTTCCTATTAGCTTATCTTCAAGTTCATCTTCTAATCAAACCTCTATTATTCATCATTTATATCAGGATGAAGAACCAGTGGAATCGACTATGAATTTATCAACTTCTAGCTTTGGAAAACAAATCAATTCTTCTAAGCGATCATCATTAAAGACTCAAACCCATCAAACAAGAAATCAACATCGAGTGGTGAATGATGAGAATTGGAATGATGATTTGGTGGATTCTTCTTCTGCTTTAAGAGGTAAAAAACAACTTTATAAACGAACTTCATCTTCTCTTCATCCTCATCCTCATCCTAATACTAAAACTAAAACTCATCCTAATCCTAATACTCAAGCTAAAGAAGTGATGTCAGGTTTGATCAATCTTATAAACATATGAAACTGCAATAATTTCTCTTTTTTTTCTCTTTGTCTTGATCTCTCTCTTTCTCTCTTGGATTCAAATATCTCAATGATCATTTTGTAAACTATAAGACCCGAGCTGCACTCTATGGATTTTTCTCTCTTGTTTTCCTTTGGATCATTTATTTAAAGTTTTATGATCCGTTCGTGTTGTGAATAGATTCAAAGCAAAACTTATGATGGTTTTTTTACAAGGTTTTTATGAATTACTTTTTTTGGTAGAACCAAAGGTGTTTGATTTTCAATGAACATATTGGTATTTTTTTGTTTAGTTCTATATCGTAAAGGGTTTGGGAATTAAATGGATCTTGATTTGCTCCTAAATACCTAATAAACCATAAACCCACAAAGATCTAGTTTACAAAGTCCTACTTTTTTGTAGTCCGGTAGATTTAGATTAGAGGAAGAGGATCACATGATTTCCAAATTCACTAAGCTCATCTTGTACGTATCCCTGGGGCCTGCAATCTTGCATTTTTCAAATTGTCAACCTCTTCCTCACTTGGAATGAAAAATCACATGTGTAACTTTTGATGTTCATTTCCACCGATTCATGAAGACTGTTTCATTAAATCATGAACTGGGTCATTTATGTCGATACTTTCTGATCATTATTGGTTGGCATTTATTGTTTCATTTGCAAGGGTTTATGTGGATTGTATCCCATGGATCAGGAGTTGAAGCTTGAGTGATTGGTTCGATGAGATGATCATGAGAGTTCTTTGATGAGCTGGATGAAATCTTTTGGGTCAAAAGTTTGGAAGATGATTGCAATTTACACCGCGGGAATTAACTTGTTTGAAACCCGATTGAGCGGAATTTCGGTGTCCGGGTTCGAAATTTCCTCAAATCAAGAAACTTGTTCACAACTCGTTAGCATTACGTTCGCCGATTTCCCTTGAGTACACTACTACATACACATACACAGCACTTTCAAAACCTCCAATTCCAACCGTCCAAGTATCTCACCCCTTATCATGTCCCCACCCAACTCCTTTCTTTGTTTTGGTTGATCAAGGCTTGACAAATGAAGGTGAGGAATGGTGAAAGGTTGTTGTTGTATCATGTGACTGTACATACACGGGGCCAGCAGAGTACAGGGTACAGCCCGAGGGAAATTGGCAAACCTATTGCTAACGAGTTGTGAACAAGTTTCTTGATTCAAGGAAATTTCAAACCCGGACACCAAAATTTCACTCAATCGGGTTTCAAACGAGTTAATTCCCGTGGTGTTACACACTGGATTAGGGCTGCGACCCGACCCTGATGGCCCCAGGGCCGCCCCGGGACTTTTCCCGGCCTCGGGTAGGTCCGAGGGTCCTCCAGAAAGGCTCAGGGTCCACCAGGGCGCGCCCTGACTCTAATGGGGGCACGAAAATCTCACATATAGGCAATCTAGGTGTTTTAAAATGACTCGCTGAGAGGGGATATTGTATTTCATGTTTTGAACGTTCCACAGTAACAAACTCGACAAGATTGTACATCAAAAAAGGATATATTGATCTGATTCTCATGTATAAAAAGCTTCAAACAATAGCCTACTTTAAGACCTTATTCCAACTCTTAAGGCAAACCTGAGCCTCAAGATTGGTTGGAGTGAAAGCAGCACGGTGATCACTCATGACCCTTAAGGCATTAGAAAACGAGCTCTCACTGGGAGCACTTGTGGAAGGGACAGCGAGCATGGCCCTTGCCATGCAAGCTAAGTTGGGCCAGTGTCGTCTAGAGGTCTCCCAGTAGACAAGAGGGTCTTGTGATTCGTCCTCTTGAGGAGCCGCGAGGTATTCCTTGACTTCGTCTTCAATCGGGACTGTCTTGCGTCTCTTGATGTAATGTTGAGGTCGGTTGAGGTTGAGAGTGGATTCTTGAGGTTCTACTATTTCGATTTCGGGGTCAAGAGTCGGTTTGAACTTGGTGGCTTGTAAAGTAAAGTATTCAACCAGATCTTCGTGTCCCCAACCTAGCGATTCCATGGTTTGGGCCTTGACAGCGGTAAGTTTGAGACGTGGATCGAGTATTGCAGAACAGATGTACACAGGTTTCGTCTCGGCAGCCTGCTGATACTGGATGATCTTCTTGATCATGGGCATGATCGCCACCTTCAATTCCTTACACTTGGAATCAGCCCAGGCCTATCATAGATACAAATCAACATATCAGTGACTAGCAGATGAAAGAATTAAAACGAAAAAAGAAAAAACATACCTTTTCGAGGCGATCAACAAGCCATTGATAATCAGGCATGACAAGAGAAAAGGTGGGGTATAAGTGGCCTTCAATCGTCTCGGTGACAGCAGCAAGAGGGCCTAAGAACTGGACTAGGTTTTCGACCAAGGTCCATTCTTCGTGGTCAAGCTTGAAGGGCTCAAGAGCGGGATTACAGTTGAATTGATACTCCAACACCACTCTGAGTTCAACGAATCGAGCGAGTGATGAGTGAGTCGAAGACCAGCGGGTGGAGACTTTGTGAACAAGCCCAACCTTACGTTCCAAGGTGGGGCAGCTGGCAATAGCGTTGTCGAGTGAGGTCTTGAGCTGACTACTATGTTTAATTTTTTTGTGGAAGCCACGGATTCTGGTGAGTACACTACTTATCTCAGAGTGTGAGGTAGGTTCAATAAATAAAGGAACAGATGACTGAGTTTGTGGAATTGCCGGATCGAGCGCATTGATAGGTGGAGGAGCCTTTCGGTCAAAGACCGCCATTCCAGCCTTGGCAACTAAGTTGATGACGTGTGCGACGCACCCATGAAGGTGATGGGAAGAGTCGAAATGGGGAATCAAGGTCGAGAGCCTTTGGCCCATGGTGGTATTGTTGGACGCGTTGTCCGCGGTAATACAATAGAGACTATCAGTTATATGAAATGAATCCAGAACGTTCTTGAGAAGGGAAGCTAAGTTGGAACCAGTGTGGGGTCCATCGATGGGCTTCAAAGCCAGAGTGATACCTCGGATGGTGAAGTTGTCGGTCATCCAGTGAGCGGTGACACCAAGCATAGAGATGTTGGTGGGAGACGTCCATCCATCACATGTGATGGATACGTGGGAGACACCGGAAAGCAAATTGATGATCTTGTTTCGAGCCGATCGGAAACTATCCAAGATTCCATTGGTAATAGCAGTACGTTTGGATAAGAGAGTGAAAGCAGTGGGATTGATCATGTTGATGATCTCCCAAAACTCCTTTGCATCAACAAAGGACATCGGGATCTCTTGATTGACGACCATCCGAATTAGAGCTTCTTTGAGATTTGCTCTGTTGAGCGGTCTGACCTAGAGAGACAAAAATAAACAATACAAACGTTAAGATGAAGAGTTAAAGTCCAATCGAAAGCTTTGAATTAAATTAGAAGTTTGAAACGGGACTTACTTTGACAGGCACTCCGTCAATATAGAAGGCTGACACGGTAGGTTGATCAGTTTGAGTGGGAGGTACAATATGATGGTGGCGATCGAGATGTCAAATCATTGACTTTGTACTAGCATGCTTGTCAATCGCAAGAGCTTTGTTGCAAATCTCAGTCGCAGGGGTGTCAGGTTGTACATCGAAAGGATTGACCGCGTCGACGAATCCTTGTTGGGCTCGGCATACGTTTTTCATCACACCATCGACTTTCTCAGTTACAAAATAAGTCCACACCCAGGAAGAGCGTAACGTTGAGGTACTATCAGAAGCCACATCGGAGATTGAATCAGACGGAGCAAGAGAGGAACAGGAAGACATCATGGCACGTAAGTGAGAGGATCGTGTGACAGTCGTAGAGAGGGAGGCCATGACCAAGAAGGACCAAGTGCGATTCGGAGATATCCGAAGGTTGATTATCGTGAGATTGTTTGGCGGAAACGTAGTCGGCGCCCTGTTCGGGTCGGGCGCCCGAGGCGCCCGCAGGACAGTTGTCAATCTCATCATGTTAGGTTTAACTGCCCCGGGGCGCGTACCGAGAGCCCCAAGAATATGCTCGGGCGAGCTCGGCCGGGCGGGGTCGGGTCCGGGTCGCAGTCCTACACTGGATCCTGATATTTACATGATACATGTGTGAAGATGATTACATGTGTGTTGATTTGAATTGTTTACATGTCTATACAGTTGTTGTAAGTTATGAATCGATCGGGATAATTTTAAATTTTCAACTTTTTTTTTTTGGTTTGACTGGTGAATTCACATTTATAAAGCTCACCCTGGCTTTCTCTGAACGATTTCTGATAAAGTACCAATTAAACTTCATTTCTTTAAAATCGGATTAAGATATATCTTCACCATTCAAGTCAAACCTCATCAACTTCAATTCTCAATCGAACAGTTCATCATGAGTGGCTTCAGTCAATTGAAGTCTCATTCCAATTGGTTTAATCATCTTAAAAGATCTCATCATTCTAACTTCATCAGATCAACTCATCTTTCAAATCGTTCAAAATCAACTACATCATCATCATCATCATCATCATCAACAACAACTTCCAATAAACTCGATTCAAATTCAAATATCAAATCAATACCATCCAACTTGAATCGATCTATAAGTACTACTAATCCAAAAGGATCTCTAGAAGTGTTAGTAGGTCTCATCATTTAATCATTTTTAAAAACCTTTCAATCATATCCTTAACTGACTCTTTAATTTTGTTTTTTTTATCTTCAAAATCTCAATGGTTTCTTGGATTGGATGGGTTTTAGTCGACCTATTCCTGCTCCTGGATTTCAACGCGATCCTGATATTTCGATCCCTTCAAGACATCAACCCAATCATATACCTTCAAATGAAGTGGATGGTGAATTATTGGATAGTAGTTTTATTGGAATGAGTGGTGGTCAGGTCAGTCAATTTTTTTTCCATCTTCTCCAAAACAAGATCGTATCCAAATTGATATTAAGATGGTATTTTTTCGATTGGTATGTAGATCTTTCATGAGATGATGTTACGGCATGATGTTAAACACGTCTTTGGTTATCCCGGTGGAGCGATCTTACCTGTCTTTGATGCGATCTACAATTCCAAACATTTCAATTTCATCTTACCTAGACATGAACAAGGCGCAGGACATATGGCAGAAGGCTATGCCAGAGTGTCTGGAAAGCCTGGGATCGTTCTGGTCACCTCGGGTCCGGGTGCTACTAATACCATCACACCTATGCAAGATGCCTATAGTGATGGGACTCCGATGATTGTCTTTACGGGTCAGGTGGCTACTAGTGCTATTGGGAGTGACGCGTTTCAGGAAGCTGATGTGATTGGAATCAGTCGAAGTTGTACGAAATGGAATGTTATGGTTAAAGATATCACCGATCTACCACGTCGGATCAATGAAGCTTTTAAGATTGCTACCTCTGGACGACCTGGACCTGTGTTGGTGGATTTACCAAAAGATATGACGGCTGGGATTTTAAGAACACCGATCCCATTGAAATATACTCAACCTGATTTAGTAGAACGAGCCTTACCTTCTAATCCTTTACGATCACGTTCAAGATCTTCTCAACCAATTCCTTCTGGATCACGAAACCATCTTACAGCTGATCCTAGTTTATTACAACAAGCCTCTAAGATGATCTTGAATGCTAAAAGACCATTAGTTTATGCTGGTCAAGGAATACTATCTTCTCCAGATGGACCTAAGTTATTGAAACGGTTATCTGATGAATGGAATATACCGGTCACTACCACTTTGATGGGTATGGGTGCATTTGATGAAGAAGATCCGAAAAGTTTACATATGTTGGGGATGCATGGATCGGCTTATGCTAACTTGGCGATGCAAGATGCGGATGTGATCATTGCTTTGGGTGCAAGGTTTGATGATCGAGTGACTGGAAAAGTGGATAGTCAGTCTTTTTTTTTGATTTCAATATAATCTCAATCTGCTTAGAGTTGATTCAAACGATTTGAATGAATGAATGATTTTTTTTCTTAGCTTTCGCACCTCATGCTCGAGCAGCTGCAGCTCAAGGTCGTGGAGGAATTATTCACTTTGAAGTGCAACCTAAAAACATAAATAAAGTAGTCAATGCGACTTGCGCAATCGAAGGAGATGTCGTCGAGAACCTAGGCGAATTACTTGAAATGATGCCTAAACGACCTGATGGAGCACCTTCTAGAACAGAATGGATAGATACGATCCGAAGCTGGAAAGCTAAATATCCATTTATCTATGAACCATCCTTACCAGGAGAAATGATGAAACCACAAGAAATCATCGAAGCTTTAGACCAATGGGCTAAATCCAAAGAAGGACGTAAAGAAAACTTAATTATTTCGACTGGCGTGGGACAACATCAGATGTGGGCTGCTCAACATTATCGTTGGACTTCTCCTAGATCGATTGTTACTTCGGGAGGATTGGGGACCATGGGATATGGACTTCCGGCGGCTATTGGGGCTAAGGTCGCTCAACCTCAAAAGTTTGTCGTTGATATTGATGGGGATGCTTCGTTTTCTATGACTGCTATGGAGTTGGCTACCGCTCATGAGTTTGGGATTGGAGTTAAAGTCATTGTACTTGATAATGAATTTCAAGGTATTTATCGAATTGAATTGATGAATGAACTTTAAGATTAGTTTTTCATGTGGTATGAGCTGATTTGAGTTTTTCAATGTTTGATTAGGAATGGTACTCCAATGGCAAGACCTCTTCTACGAATCAAGGTAAGTGATCCCCAGCTGTACAACTGATGTATTCTCAACCACGAATGATTTTGATGGGATGGATTTTCTTCTGTATTATTAATAGATATTCTTCAACTCGAATGACCAACCCGGATTTCTGTGCATTAGCTAAATCGATGCATTGTCATGCGATTTATTGTGATAAGAAAGAAGATTTAAAGTTGAAGATGTCGGAGTTTATGGAATATGATAATGATCGACCGGTTTTGTTTCATGTGAAAGTGACGGATCGGTAAGTGCTTGTTTTTTTTGAAAAGTGCTTCTTTTTGAAAAAAGTGCTTTTTTTTGAAAAAAAAGAGGTTTTTTGAAAAAAAAGAGGTTTTTTGAAAAAAAGAAGGTTTTTTTTGAAAAAAAGGTTTTGGGATTCGGATTTGTAGTGACTGATTTTGGGGTTTTTTTTGGGTGCAGTGAACATTGTTTTCCTATGGTGCCTGCGGGGAAAGCTCTTCATCAACGTTTGTGTTTTTTTATTTTTCGAAATTCGAATGAAAGAAATGTGTATACTGATTCTTGACTTATGGTTTTTTTTGGAATTAGAAATCTTACATCCTTTACTTAGGAAATGATTCAAGAAAAAAAACAGTTGTCTTTTTTTTCTGATTGATGTTTTTATTCTTTTTTGTTTGTTTCCCCTTGAGATAATTGAAAATAAACTCTTTGGAAAACAAATGTTTTTTTGTAGAAACTTGACCGAAAAAGAAAGGAAAGAAACGTTGAAAGATTTTTTTTCTTTGATGATATGAAAAAAACATTGATTGAAAAGGAAGAGTTAAAGGAGTTGGAATTTTGGAATTTTGGAGTTAAGGAATTGTTGGAATGGTGGGATGGATGAATATGGTAGATAATGATGATCATGATGATGGAAACAAAAAGTGATATATAATGAAACTCAAAAGTAAAGAAATCTTTTTGTGAAGATCTTTCAGGTTGGTGTGTGTGATATGTGTGTTTGAAGTTTCCTTTTTTTGTGTTTTTTTGTTTTTGTTTTTGTTTTCTTTTTCTTTTTCTTTTTCTTTTTCTTTTCTTTTTTTGTTTTTGATGTTACATACATGAAGATACAATTTGTTTAGCATCTTTTTTTGGTTTGTGTTTTTTTCTTCTTCTTTATCTTTTTGCATTTGATATATTGAACTTTGTCTAGATACGTCGAGATTCATGAACAGTGTGTGTATGTGTGATACGGTGGATGTTTGCGATTTTCCCCGTAAGTTTTTCCATTTTGTGATTAGGTTTATTGAATACAATGGAATGAAAGGATGGGAATTATAAGAAGGATGGATGGACTCAGTGGAAAATTGGAAGACATTTTGAAAGTTTTTTTGAAGTTATGAGATGTTTTTGAAATGTTGGAAATCTGTGATTCTTCTCTTTCATTGGTCTTTCATGAGGAGAAGTTGAATGATTTGTGAGGAAAGTATTCTTACTTTGAACTTGTACTGGGTCCAGAAGTTTTAGGGTAGATAAAGTTTGGTTAGGACTTCAGGACTTCAGGAGCCCATGGCCACAGTTGGCTTACTTGTTAACTTGTTTTTTTATTGATCAATTTGTTTTTATAGTCTGGAAATAAATTAGAAAGATTCACCCAGAGCTCATATATAGCAAGTGTTATGAAGCTCAGTTGAAGAATAATCCTTCAGGATCACAAATCACTCAACTTGTGATATGCTTTTATTCCTTTGCATCCTGATCAGATTTTCAATTGATCAGATTTTTCCTTCTGGTGGTCAAAATTGACTTCCTGTTGGTCTGATCATCATCTTTATAGGAATAGATATTCTGATCAGCTTGTGAATTCAGATCACATACTCAAGTCATACTGATCAAAGTGGAAGAACCCTTGCTTCTGGGACTTTTTTGTTTTTTTTTGTTTTTTTTTAAAGTGCTTTTGGCTTAATTGCATACAACACTAACTAAAACATGTAATTGACAAGAGACTAGTACACCTTAGAAATTCGGCCATCTAATCAAAAACTGGAAAACTCTAAACTCAACAAAGTCCCACGCTGCGTCTCGCGTGGGACTTTGTTGAGTTTAGAAAACTCGGTGACAATAGGGCGGTTCAAGTAGGCCGTTTACGACCCAAATTCTCAATTTAAGTTTTGAATGGTTCCTTAAAATTATACGTATGATTTTAAGCTCGCAAGCCAGCTCTAGAGCTGGCTCGCGGTTTTACAATCGAAGTTTAGGCCTTAAAAATTATATGGTGTTTGCCTACTCGCAGAAAAAAAGAGCCAAAAAAAAAAGGACCTGTTTTTTTTTTAACTCTTGCTTTGTGCCTCGATGTTTTTTTTTTTTTTGCCAAGGTTTTTTTTTTTATCTTTTTTTATCGTCTGGTGCCTGGTTCAACGGTTATCAAACGTGGTAATCACTTTGGGAACCCGAGGTCTCCGGATTTGGTCACCAGGTATGGCCCAGGGTTGATGATATCCGATATCACCGATATCGATATCACCTGGGTTCATGCCCGCTCCCCGGAAAACCCTTCACCGATATCGATAACACCTGGGTTCATGCCCGCTCCCCGGAAAACCCTACATACCCTCTGGATATCAGATCACGGCACGGACAAAGTTCTCCGCCGCTTGGAAAGAGTCCTTCGGTTTCTCATGTAAGCTACTCGACGCCTTTCCTTATATAAGCTATCATCTCTGTTCGTTTTTGTTGCTGTCACCTCTCGTCACCGTGATTGATTTCTTCTTTCACTTTCTTCACTCGAATTCTCAATCTCTGGTGTGGTAATTCATTTATCTTTTCCTGCTCGCCCGTTTGGGTTTACTCCTTTAACCCAATGACTGATTGGCCTACACATCCTTCTTGTTTTTCGATCTTATTCAGTTGAAATTTGCTAGCTCCGGTTTCATCCTCTTTGAACGCACTTCGATCCGGTTTCATCCTCTTTGAACGCACTTCGAGTTACTTCAAGCATTTTCAAACATTCCGTTTCCCATCCAAGCACTAGAAACGTATGTGATTACCCTGGTTCATGCCTATCTGCTCATATACTGATTATACATTGAATTTTCATTTGTGTTGGTTTGTAGCTCCTTCTGAGATGCGTACTACTTCGCCCAGATCTTCTCCCAAAAGATCTCAAAACAGCGCGCGTCGCCCTCGTCGAACCAAGGCCCAAATCGCTGCGGATCTCGCCTTGTCCGGCCATGTGGTTGGGTCCAAACCAAGTGCCGCCGCGGTCAAAAGATCACGAATCGCCGCGAAGAAACGTTCCGAGAGTGTTGCGACTTCGAGCAACCACAAGCGTGGAACCAGCGATAGCCCTCCATTTGATCTGATGGATTACAAGGCGATTGTCGCCTATCTTGCAAAACCAAACGTCCTCAACGCTCTATTTGGCGGTGGCAGTCAAACCAAGGTGACTGGTTTACCCATGAATCCGAAGACGATTTTGAACACTCTTGCCATCAAAATCAACAATAACTACAACGAGCGACATATCTCCACCGATATGCACCTCACTGGCCGAACTCTTCTTTTACGCCTGCGCAGGTACAAAGCGAAGTACCAATCCGCCAAAACCTTCAGCTCCAAGACTGGTGCTGGCCTTGAGGCCAAACACCACTCACGAGGTATTCACACCATGGATGCGTTGTTGGAATCGATGTGCCCCTGTTACCCAGAAATGGACGCTCTGTTCCGTGATAAAGGGAACGTCAACCCGTTTGGAATTCTGGACTCGGGAATTGGCCATCAGGAACCCTCCGAAGACGAATCTGATTGCGGTTTTGATGACGAAGGCAAGAAGGAGAGTGATGGGGACATCACCAACGGGCATGACCGCTCCGGTCTTAGTTCTGGTGGGTTAATCTTGGTTTTCTTTCTTCATACCTTAATACCTTGTATATTGACCTATTTCTTTGATGAACACAATATTCCAGGCTTATTGGTGCCCAATGCCTTGTCAAGCCCCGCTCGCGAATCTGCCCCTGCTGAAAAAGCTGTCCTCGGGATTGAATCCAAGTCTCCATCGCCAGTGTCTCCTTTGATACGTCCCGGCAGCCCAGACCCTCTCAACGAGCACTATCGCAAATTCCTAAACAACGAAAGGACCGAATTCAGCTCTCTTCCTCCAACACCCAAAACTCGAAATGATCACATACAGGTTGCTGATGTCTCCAAAGACTTACCTCCTGCTCCCTCTGGCGTCAATCCCTCTGCCGTCAAGAAGAAGAGATCGAAGAAGGAAACTGCCAGGAAATACGCCCTCACTGCCGAGGAACGAGCAATGGACTCTAGCTCTGGCGACGATGCGAGTCTTGCCAATACCGCCTCTGCTTCTGCGACCAAAGCGACTGGTTCACGTGCTTCCCGCGCACCTCTTTCTCGCCGAGGACTGGACCCACTCCCTTCGATTGACCCATCGAACGTCCATGTCAAGGATCACAAATTTGCACTTGCTTCAGCGATTCAAAAGGCCAACGATTCCAAAATGGAGGTCATCTCGAAAGCTCAAGAATGGTGACAACAATTTGATCAAGCTCGCATGCAAGTAGACGAAGCTCAAATTCAAGCTGAATTGGAAGATCGAAAATCAACCCTGAACTGGACCAAGGAGCGATACTTTCTTGACCGTGAAGAGCAACGCGAGATGGAGTCTAAGCGCTTACTTCAAGAGGAGCGCAAGGAGCGCAAGGCGTTCTGTGAGCGATTAGTGTTAGAAGGTAAGACTCCTCAAGAGCTGGAGGCTTACCTTCGCCTGATGTATCCTGTTGAAGACAAAGCGTAAGTCACTTCCGCATCACTCGCATTGAACTTCAACTGATTGTGATTACTGATTACTCACGTGCTTGTTTTTCATAGATGATTCGATCTAGAAGACATATGATTTTACTTGTAGTTAAGCTATCAAGGTGTTCTTCTCGCTGTTCGATCTGGTTCTTTTTTGTTTGCAGTGGTAGTTTCTTATCCATTTCTTTTAAACTCTATCAATAAGATAGTTTTCTATGCCATCTGAATTGTACGATCCCCTCTGTAACCTTCTCCGAGTGATGTTATTTGCTATCTCATCGCTTTATCAAGCAATTCGTTATGCCGTCTCATTTCCTCAAATCTCTATGTAGCCTTTGGCGAGTGATGTTATTCACGATATCATCTCTTTGTTAAACATGTATGCAAATTCATTCCTATGTATTTTTTTGTTCTTTCCCAGTTTGGCCAAGTCACACATGTTTAGTCTCACATGTCAAACATCTATATTTGAAGCTCCACTCGCATCTGTTACTTGGTGGAATAAAAGATTTGAATTTCACAATCTGCACGGCCAACTACCAAAGTCACACAGTACAAAATTTCATGACAAAGCGAGAAAGAAAGAGACAGAAATTCAAAAAGAAACCCAATCGGAAGGTACACATTTAAAAGTTAAAAATAATAATGTTGAAGAAATAAAAGTTGAAAATGATAACGTTGAAGAAAACAAAGAAACACTGGTCAAAACACAGATTAAAAAAAAGGAGATTTAAGAGACGATTGGGAGGCCACCGCTCTGCCAGTTGTAGGCAACTGCGTGGTCTCGAACTTCCTCTCGTTTAGCCCGGCCTCGTTCCATGACATCTAAGGCTGGAACTGCAATGCCACGTTGATGAACTCCAGCGTCTCCAGGCTCCCTCAAAATGATATCATAATCATTTTCATCCCACGCATTGCCCAAATCCGCAAGCATGTTATGTAAAATGATACAGCACCAAATCCATCGGAGAATGTGGTACATATCTTCGCGGCTGTTCAAGGCCAATCGTAAACCTTGAAGTGATGCCCAGCGTGATTTGAGAATACCAATACAATGCTCGTTGCGAACCCGAGCTTTTGCTACACACCAATTGAACTCTTTGTTCCTCTCGATTTCCGCTGCTTGTCCTTTGTATGAAGGGACTACCGTCTCGGAAGGGATGTAGGCTGAATCGGCTACGATGTATTCATCTAAAGTAAGGAAAACATTTGTGTTAGAAGATTTCTTGAAACTGTGAAACGCGGAAGCAAGCTATTACCTTTATCAAAGTATCTATCCGGATGATTGTTCAATTCACTCTTTGAGTACACAGTGCTGTCACAACATGACCCAGGCCAACCGGCGTAAGCGTAGGTGATCCTTCTGTTGCAGTCGCAGACAACCTGTACGTTGAGAGAATACCGATGCTTCATGTCGAAAAAGACTTCGCCGTCTCTACCAGGGCGCTGAAACAAAGGAATCGTGGTTCCGTCTACGAATCCAACACAGCCTGGAAAACCGTCTCTTGCAAGTACTTTCGAAATAGCTTTACGTCGGTTTGAACTGGGCCAAACAAGGTAGTGGGCGCCTACGTCCAAAATCGCCGAGATGACTCGCCTACTGCAATTGATCACAGAACCCCTACCCACTTTGTAATTGCGGGCAAATCGGCCAACGGAAGCACCGTTGCCGTTGCTTCCTAGACGCTCAAGGGTTATCGCTAGTTGTTTCGCAACTGGCGGCTGGGGATTATTACTAGACAATACAAAGATAGGATGTGATTGAATCATCTCGAGTAGAGCTTGAAAGCCTTCCGGGGTGGTTCGCATGGCCTGCTTGAAGTCTGTCCGCCTGCTTCGCAGCATATCTCGCAGGTCGAAAGCTGTTGGAAGCGGGATGCGTATTCGCTCGTTAAGGTAACGCCTTGAGGTAACCTGCACTAGCAGTTCTCCCCACTGCTGTTCTAAATCAAACATCTCATCGGTCAAGTTTGACATCATGGAATCGTTCCGGAAAATCATTTCGCCATCTGTTGGATTGTCTGGATCAGGTTCTGTTCCGGGAATGCGGAAGTCTGAAGTCGTGTGGGCGAACAAATAGAGATTGGTGAGGCCACGTATGGCAGAAACTCGTTCGGATACTCGAGGCATGGTATGGAAAAAGATGAAAATATGGCCGCTGGGAAAGGATGGGGATGAGATGATGAATTCCGTATGGGATACGGTGCTATGGATGTTTGTTTTCCGATCATCTCATGCAACGAAAAAGGTGCAAATGATAAAAAAACAAGAAACAAGGACGTTGGGCTTGGGAAAAAAAATGCACTGGCTGTTGTACCTTCTTTTACAAGGCCATAAAAAGCGAATTTTAGACCGTTCACGCGACATCAAACACAAATTTTAATGATCTAGCTGCCCTAAAAAAAGAGATCGGGGCTCTCCGTCAGGTTGTTCGCAAAACTCAACTTGAACCGCCCTAATGAGAATGCAAGTTTTAAATTTGTGTACTTTTAGTTCATGATTCGACGATCATGAAGCATTTGATTATCCGATCAGGGCAAGTGAAGGTTGGAAACCATCGATCACGGTCCCGGACTGCATTTTACATACCTCGGATTCGACCTATCACGCTGTATTTAAAGGGAAGGCATACATACATACGTCACTGGCACAGTCTTCTCCTTGCGAACCACAACACCATTCCAAGTTGAACAAAAGATCTTGAAGATGTCAGGCACCAACTCACCATTTCAATTATCAGCTACTCTTGCTGGCCATTCTCAAGATGTTAAATCACTGAAATTTATCAAACCAAATACTCTTTATTCTTGTGCTCGTGATACGACTGCTCGGATTTGGAGTCATACCAATTCGAATGATTGGTCCGATCAAACCGTTTTTCAAAACTCAAATCCAGGATTTCTTAACGCTGTATCGCATGCTAAGATCGATGGTGAAGGTACGGTTTTTTTTCTTAAGAATCATTTCTCTTTTTTTACACAACTCATCTCTGATTTTGAGGTGATTCTCTTTAGAATTCGTCCTTACCGCTGGTCAAGACGCTTTGATACAGATTTGGCCAGCAAATCCAGCTCCTAATCAACCGTACGAGCCTCGATATGTACTTGCAGGTCATACATCCAACGTATGCTGTTTGGATGTCACATATGGGACGACAGATGTTCCAGCCATCTATAGTGGAAGTTGGGATTGTACTGCGATAGTTTGGCGAAACAACGTACCTCTTTACACCTTAGAAGCTCACTCTGCAGCTGTATGGGCCATCATCGGTCTCGGTGATCAATTAGATAGTGTTTTGACTGGTGCAGCTGATAATTTAATCATGTTATGGAAACTCGGGAAATCAGTTCAAACTTTCAAAGGTCATACTCAAGCTGTACGTGCTCTTGTACGAATGCCAAACTCTTCGGATCACTTTGCATCAGCTGGAAATGATGCGACAGTACGGATTTGGAGTTTGGCGGGTGAGATGTTAAAAGTCTTGGATGGTCATGATTCGTTTATTTACTCTTTGGATGCCTTTCCAAGTGGGCAACTGATCTCATCTGGCGAAGATCGTACCGTTCGAATCTGGGATCCCACCACCGGTCAACTTTCTCAGACGGTCACGGTACCAGCTATTAGTGTATGGACGGTGTCAGTTTGTCGGGAAACAGGCGACTTTGCATGCGGCTCGTCTGATAGTATGATTAGAGTGTTTACTCGAGCGGCAGAGCGTCTGGCCGCTCCCGATGTGTTGACCGCCTTTGAAGACAGCGTCAAAGCCAGTTCGGTACCAGCGGCTACGATTGGGGATGTAAAGAAATCTGACTTACCTAGCGTTCAAGCTTTACTCGCACGACGCGGAAAGAAAGAGGGTGAGGTAGCGATGGCAAAGAATGAAACAAATGGAGCGGTAGAGGCCTATTCATGGGATGGAATGAAGGGTGATTGGACGATGGTCGGAACAGTAGTGGATGGGATTGGTTCTTCTAGGAAACAGCTCTATGAAGGAAAAGAATACGATTATGTATTTGATGTGGATATCAAGGATGGTGTTCCTCCTCTCAAGCTTCCATTTAGTGTCTCGGGTGGGTAAGTTCTCTAATTCATGACTCGATTAACTTTTAGATCATCAAGACTGACTGAAAGCTGGTCTGGATCTTAGACAATCCCTATACGGTCGCACAGAAATGGTTGGCAAAACATGAATTACCGGATACCTATGTTGATCAAATCGTGGAATTCATCGACAAGAATACCTCTGGCGTCTCGATTGGTAGCACTACAGGTGGTGCTGACCCGTTTACTGGTGCTGGAAGCTACCGTCCAGGAAATGCACCGCCTAGTGCTACTGGAAATCTTGGAGCTGATCCATTCACAGGCGCTGGTAGTTATCGTCCTGGTCAGCCAGGGGAGTCTAATGGACAGAGCTCTGGTGTTGATCCATGGACTGGTGAGTGATTTATAGTTTCTTGTAAGATTTCGAATGTAGAAGATTAAACTTGGGCCTGTAACACAAAAGGCTCCTCGAATGCTGTTAGCAAGTCAACTCGCGCTGCGTTGTTACCACATGTAAGTGCAAGCATTCTAACGTTTCGGAAGCTTTCTGATCTTTCTTCACTAAACACGTAACTCTTGCCTGTTTACCAGAAAGGTTACTTGACCTTTCCGCCTGCGAATCTCAATTTTGATGCGGTCATGAAGAAAATTCGGCAATTCAGCTCAGAAATAGTAAGGTTTTTCTGCTCGAAAGGTAACATTAGGGTAGAATTGACTGTGTAGTTTTGTCTTGTGTCTTACAGACCGACGGTAATGGCCAGCTCTCAGAGACAGACTTGTCTGCATTACAAGGCTTAACTCAATTCTTAGCTAACCCATCTGGGACTGTACCAAATGAAGGTCTTTCTGTTCTTGAAAAGATGTCATCCTCGTGGCCCTTGGACAAACGATTTCCAGGTAGGTGTGGACAATGATTTTACGCACGACAAACTTGTGACATCCAATAACAACTTTTCGCAATTTTTTTTTGGTAGCTTTGGACCTTTTGAGGATTCTGGCAACAACATCACTGCCAAAGCAGATGATACCCATTCTGACGTCTTCACTCAACGAGCAACCGATAACTCCATCTATCGAACTCAACATCACCATGGCTTTGAGAGCTCTGAACAATGGGTTGTCAATTTGTTCTTCGCGGACTGCAAGGGAAAAAGAGCTTAGTAAAGAAGACCTTGCTCAACAGATCATTCAATCAGTCTGGAAACGGGCTGAATCGTTTTCATTGACTACCAAGAATGCTAAAGTTGCCCTTGCAACTACATTGCTCAAGTGAGTTAGCTTTGAAAAATCTTGAAATTTTTGATAAGCTTATTAAATCTGCTTGTTTCGATAGTCTTTCGGTTATGCGTGTTGAGAAGTTATTAGATGAGGAAAGTGCTGTTTGTCTTGTAGAACCGGCTTGTGAGGTGAGTGAAATCGTATTCCATCCATATTCGCTAGCAATTCGAGTGTACTGATCTTGATCTTGAATGTCAGATGATTTCAAATGAGACTGATGACGAAGTGATCTACCGCAGCTTGATTTCTATGGGGAATCTAGTAAGTTTTTCTTTCTGTCTTCATCTTCTTTAAGATCTTTTGACTTGAATCTTGTTAGATGGCTTATGATTACATGATGTTTTGATAAATGATTCAGTTATTTGCTAAATTACCATCTTCTCAAGTCAAGATGATTGAAGCTTGCCTAGGATCATCATCACTGAAAACTAAATCTGATCGTATTGTTCATGCGATTGAAGAGATCAAGGCGATCATAATAACTAATGCGTAAATATTAAATAAATATATAATCCAGAAGAAATGTTACTCTGGTGTGTTTTACTCTTGCGCGGTTAGATGTACATGATTTATATGTTCATGTTGGTTTGATACCATGACCTGCACCCGTGTTGGCAGGATGATCATGATCAACTTTTAGGTCAACTTATTGAATGAGACGAAGATGAGTTTTGTTCAATGATGATGACCCCTGAGTGGAAAGGTGAAGCTTGTCATTGCTTGATCATAAACGTTTGGTACTGTATCGTATGTGTATATACAGCAAAGATGAAGGAACCGAACATAAACCTCCTTGATCATCATCATCATCATCTTGATTGCTTTTGTGAAGGTGAAGATTGACATTTGAGCAAGTTTCACAGAATCTCGTCAAATATTTGTGTTGTGATATTATTTTTCTAGGTACAAGCCATTATAAATCAGAAAAGGACATAAGATTAAAGGCAAGATAATCTTCTCGTGGTCACACGGTTACTCAGTTTGAACTAGTAGTACTAGCATAGCCACATCTTTAGACTTTAACCATTTGGTTCATTCAACTCCTGCTTCTCAGTGCTTTCATATCATCCGATGTGAATTGGTGGATCGAATGATAACCTCCTCCGATCAGGTGCTTGCTTTGGTTAAGTTGATATTGAGAGCTTGAGCTTTAAGATATCAACAGATCTTGAAGTATCAGTTGATATAAATATATGTACATACAATTGTAGAAGATGAGATTGAGAACGCTTTGGTAAATCAATCGATCTGAATTCAAGTTTGAGCACGGTTATTCGGCTTTGATCTGAAAGCCGAAGCGAGTCTAATTGAAAATGCATCACAAATCACTTCTTCATGGTTTAAAAGGGCTTCACTCTTTCATCATCGTGATTAGCTTCTCAAATCAAATTATTAAATTCAATCAATCAATCTTCAGTTTATAAAGAATCAGGATTAAGAAGCAGAAGACAAAGAAAGACAATTTAAGTGAAATCACAAAAAGATGTCAGAAAATGAAATCAGTACTGAAATCATCACTCTGTCAGTCATTCTTCTTGATATCATTCTATATTAAATGACGTCACTGATAGTCTCTTTACCTGTTTCATTATTTATCTACCTTTCTATTCGACAAATTGATTCTCAAATTATATATCAATCAAAAACTATCTAAATCGAGTTCAACAAGTACTCGACATGTTCTTAATGATCAAGCTAAAACACCACAAGCCACCGGTGATTTAACTATCTTACTTACAGCTATTCAAACTACTTGTAAATTCATAGCTACAAATGTAAGAAGAGCTAGATTATTAAACTTGTAAGTGATTCTTGATCATCATCCAAAATGATCAATTTTCTATAAACTAACTTTTTATCTCTCTCTCTCTGTTTTTTCTTCAAATAGGATCGGAGCAGCTGGTGTGACAAATGTTCAAGGAGAAGAACAAAAGAAATTAGATGTACTTTCTAATCAGATTATGATTAATTCATTGAGAGCTTCTGGAAAGATTGCATTAATGGTATCTGAAGAAAATGTTGGTTTTTTTTCTTTTCGAGCGGTGGGAGGGGAGGGGGTTCCTTATTCGATTTTTCATTCTTATACTTAAAAATCCATCATACCATATTGAACCGATTTCTTGGTTGTTTGTTTGGGTGTTTGAAGGATGAAGCTATCTTTGTGGAAGATCCTAAGATGAGAGGAAAGTATTGCGTGGTGTTTGATCCACTGGATGGTAGTTCGAATATAGATGCTGGTGTGAATATTGGAACTATCTTTGGAATTTATCGAGTGGTGAGTGAGAGTTTATTTTTTTCTTGGTTTTCTAGACATTTTCAGTCAGGATTGGGTTTTGAGAAACGGTTTTTCACGGTTTTCAGCCTCCAGATGAGACTCCAGACATCAAACATGTTCTTAAGCCCGGTAAAGAGATGGTAGCAGCTGGTTACTGCATGTATGGATCCAGTGCTAATCTAGTGATCTCGACTGGAAATGGTGTAAATGGTTATACACTCGATAACGTTTGTTCTTTGAATGTCTTTGTATATCTGATGAACTTGATAGACCAAAGCATTGATGATTGTTTCGGTAAACATTACAGGGTATTGGAGAATTCATTCTCACCCATCCTAAAATTCAAGTACCAAAACGTGGCAAGATTTATTCATTTAATGAGGGTAATACAATGTTCTTTCATGAACCTGTGCTTAAGTATTTGAATTCGATTAAGTTTCCATCAGATGGAAAACCTTATTCGGCTCGATATATCGGTTCTATGGTTGCTGATGTTCATCGTACCTTACTTTATGGAGGTATTTTTGGGTTTGTTAAGATTCATTCAACTTCTTTCCCTACCGAATCTTTCGGATTGATAGTGTTGAATAGAACTGATCTCTTTACGTTTGTTTATGAGGAATAGGTATCCAGCTGATAAGAAATCAAAGACTGGTAAATTGAGGATACTCTATGAAGGATTTCCTATGGCATTTTTAACTGAACAGGTTGGTTTAAGATTCATTCCTGATATATCATTGATCTTAAGTTGATTTGTGATTGATTGTGATTCAAAAGGCAGGAGGAGTGGCTACCACTGGAACTGAAAGAGTTTTGGATGTGGTTCCTACTGAGATTCATCAAAGGATTCCAATCTTTTTAGGTAGTAAAGAAGATGTAGAAGATTTACAAAAGTTTTATAAGAGTTGAAGATGAATGCTTGTTTTTGATTTAAATTAAGGGTTTTAAACAAAATTCTTACTTTTTATTATCTTCTTATAGTATTTGTCGATCAGTTGAACTATAACTGAAGACATCTTATGATCATTTTATTTTATTCGTATCCTTTTTCTTATCAGTTTTTGGTCTTTCATCTATCATTGGTATCTATTAAGCATTTCTTGTTTTTATTATTAAGATTGGTTTCTCTTGTTGTAAGATATGAAAAGGACTTTTTCCATTGATCTGAACCTAGACAAATGTGACACTAAATTTGTTGCTTGAACTCTTGAGCTGCTCGTCTTCAAGATTGACATACATGAGTTTAGTGATCAGAATTCTGTCATGATGAGTGAAAAACATAAGTTTTAATCCAGTGAGTTCAGAAAACACCTTTTTCAATTTAACAGACACCGGTTCTGTTATTCACTTCTTTAGGTTTTGATTTTATATGGCTCTGGGTTTGAATTTCCAAGGTGTGAGTGCACTCTTGATCTATATCAGGACAATCATATTTATATATTGTAGTTGTCTAGTGGGTTTTGGAGGTACAGAGTACTTACAGGAAGAATCTTTACCCACAAGAATCACCAAGTGAAGGCTTAGAAAATGATGAAAGAAGTATCTTGATTTATCAGGACTGATTAACTTTGAAGAATTTGTAGTGAAAAATGATTTTGTTTGCTATGTATGTTCAGACCCTGCAAGAAGTCTTGGAGAGTTTGATAAGTTTTGAATATGATGGTTATCATCTTGATCTGATTCCTAGTTGTAGCAACTCTTTTCTTATCAATCGTAGAAAAACTCAATCACTTTGACACCAGGTCCACAGAGCTGTAAAAACAAAACAATTGTTTGCTAAGATGGGCCTCATTTAATCCATTTCAGTGGGACCCCAGTATGCTCCTATAAAGGGTAGTCACACAGAAATGTGACTTTGAGCTCTGCAGAGATGAGCCCCTGCCAAACCGCCAAGTCTTTCCCTGGCTTCACCCATAGCTCTAGGACTGGTTTTATCCTAAATAGTGGCAATCTGTGGCAATAAAGCAAAGGCAGAAACTGGCAGGTCTCTACAATCCCATGTGTAGTATCTCCGCGGGAGCTCAAAAGTCACAATTCTGTGTGACTACCCTTATAGGAGCATACCGGTGTCCTATTTCAGTCCATTTGACTCTGAGACACTGGGCATTACATTGCCTGCTGCATTGAACACTTTGCACCAGTTCTAGTCTGTTGGAACCCACTGTGATACAAACATATAATGAGTTTTGATACAATATGAAGTTATGTACCAATGCACCCATCACACTACATCCCCACACCTCTGACTACATATAGCAGCTTGTGAAGCACACATGTAATGTTAGGCTTGTGTTAACCACAGACAATCATTTCCCCAGATCCCAGGGGAGTCAGCTAGATTGAGGTGCTTGGGCAATTATGATGTGTAGCATAGTGGTTGCACTACACTGAATCACCCATGGCCCGCAACATTCAGGGCTGGGAGACCTGCAAATTGGGCATGTATAGCTGGTGAGTTTACATATTTCGCAATTTTACCACAAGGGGACACCTCTGTGAACTGTGCCATAGTTGTAAGATTACATAAAATTTGCGACTTACAGTAATTTTTTTGACCAATGCCACTGTAAAATGATCAAACTTGACACTCCCAATGCCAACATATGTACCTAGAATTGAAATCTTTAAGGTTTCCTTGTATCTCAAACCTCAGACAGGATTTTTCTGAGATATTGACATAGGGTATCTATCATCACATAAAAATAGCTCAGACAGATACCTCAGACATGACCTATCAAACAAGTTGTATCCAGGATGTGTTGAATTACTGATCCCAAGGCATCTTGGGCAGTGCCCTCAAATTTACAAGATAGAAGGCATTCTTTACAAAAAAGTGCAGTAAAAGATTGATTTGAGCTAAATTCAAAGTTTCTGGGGACCACTTGATTGAGACTTGTCTATGAGGAACATTGTACATGGGAACTGATATCCCTTGTGATAACCTGCATCTTGGGTATCAAAAGGAGTTCAGACTCTACTGATAACATATAAAACCTAAGGTCCTTATCTCAAAAGATAAATTTAATCATAGTTGAATTAGTGCTACATGTTCAATGTGCACAGCTGCAGTCACAACTATGAGTGTGACTGTGCTCATTAGAACTGTGTCAGGATATTTCACTCAATGTCAGATGTATTTACTTGTCTCATATATTCAAAGATAAGATTGTGAAACATGACCCAAAACTCTAGCAGATAAGCTATATAATTCCTCCTGCTTGACTCATCAGTCAGTGAGATTTGATCCATACAAAAGAATTCTTGTTTCCTCATCCAATTCTCATCTAAAGTCTTTCTCTCAACATCAACCAAATTAATTTCATTCAACAAAACTATACATAGATTAACTTTAGACATGAAGAGCTTCAAGAATGTCCATTTGTCTATCCAATTCATTGGAATGATTTCCATCCTCTTCAGTCTGTGTTCTAACAGCTTTGGAAGGTTCCTCTTTAGAGAAGATAGAACCCTTAATCATGAGAACAGTATGTGAGATTCTATTCAAATAGTATATCTTAAAGGCTAAATCACTTACCCATCTTCCTTATCCAAAACATAGTTGATCCTCCAACAATAAAAGAGATGTGGTTCCATTGGAATCTTGGACAGACTCTCAAGACCATGGCTGAAAGGTGGCCCATCATCAGTGAAACAGGCCCAGATCGAGTCTTACGGGAATCTATTGTGGAAGCATATATCAGTAGTTTTGATGATTTACGTGAAGCTCTTCAAGAGACACCACACTTTCCCAGTATCATGAGCAAAACACAGGAGGATACAAAGCAGTTCTTTGAAGACAACCCTGAATCCAAGGAGGCTTGGGTCAAAGTAAAGGATCACTACAATGCTGTGGTTACAGCCATGAGAAGAATCTCTGGAGGAGAGGAGTGGTTTAACATAATTAAAGACTCTGTAAAGCAGGGTGCAAGCAACCTCAGGCTCAACTTATAGATCTGTGTCTAATTGATGTATGGATGAATAAAATTGTTTTCCTGAATTGGCTACATACATATCAACATGGTGCATATTTTTATGGTATGATCTGAATCTTGTCTACTCGGGTACATAGCCTACCACCCTCCAAGGTTGTCTTCTCACTGTTCCCTCAATATCAGAGTCAAAAGGTAGATGCCTCATTTATCATTCACCACGTTTCTCTTCACTACTTACATAGCCATTACCTTGTGATTTTGTGTTCTCTGGTACTGTTATCATGAATCGTCAAAACTTTCCATGTGAAGTTATATATAGTCAGTTCACTCTTGACTTTGACTATCTGATTTGTCATACTTATTTCAGAATCATACCATATCAATCTGTTTATTCAAATTTCCCAATAAAAATCACTGGTTTTGATTTAATACAGAATGGTTCCAATGTAAACATGAGAGAAAATCCAAGCACATATCACTGTTTTTTTCTTCACAAAAAATTTGGATCTGATCTTTCAAGATCAAATCATGGATTGGAATATTCCCTAACTAGGATGACAAGCATAAGTAGAGATCCATCCTACATTAATCGATTTTGGTTGATTTAAAAGGTCTCAAGTATCATTTGGATTGAAACCCAAGTAGAAGATAAGATCAAGCCTGATTGGAATCCGAAACCAAAGGCCAAGAAGCAGACGTTCAAGCATGTGATGATGAGCTTGATCTGTGTGAAGGTTCTGTGGAAACAAAGATCACTGACCAAAGTAACCAAAGTTATGAAAAACACCTCTGTTACGCTTAGCAGGAACCCCACTTGCATAACCCATGGTGTAGATTAAGCGACCTGAAAGATTAGAAAACATTTCATGGTCCATGAACTCGTGAAAAATAACATAACACGAGAGAGACTACAAACCTATGACCCAAGTTGCTCCACAGCCAGCAGCATAGCGCGGGTAACGAAGCCCTGTGAAGAGCAAGCTAGATAAGGTCAAAAGCTTTAGTACGGAGTTTATGTTGATGACTTTTGGTTCCACATGTATCAGTGACCAAGATTAGATCGCGACCACTAACCTGAAGAGAAAGAATGGTAAGGCCTCCAAGGTGTTGGCATGTGCACTATCTCAGCCAAAAAAAATTCACAATCAGTCCAATCAGTTCATAATTCTACATTCGTTGAATCAGATCTCTTAGAAAGAAAATACAAAAGATCAAAGGAAGTGTAGAATGAAAACAGATTGGCTTACCGTTGTGCACAGTTAAATCTCATAGCTGCTGGATTAGACTTTGCTTCTTCATTACTAGCGTAAGGAGCTGGGTAAGGAATTTGAGCAGCTTTACGAGCTTTGCTAACGGCTATCGTTTGAAATAAACCTATTTTGAAGTATGTATTTATTTAAAAAAAAAGATAACTTGCTTTTAGTATGTAACTTGAGTTTTTATTTGTTTTGGATTGGATTGGTGAACATTCTTACCTAAGAAACCAGTGGAGGAAGCTGCTAAGGCTACATACCCATAATCCTTTTGTGAATGAAATCAAAAATCAATCAATCAATCAATCTTTGAATGTATCACCGAAATCATTAAATTTGTTTCTTCAATCAAAAGAGATTGTACTCAACTGCAGGGAAACTAAAGATAAGAGGTGACATGTCGTACTAATCTGTAAGAAATCAATTCCCAAAAATGCTCTTTAGTCTTGAGTCTTGACTGAGTTGATTTTGTATTATAACCTTTTGAAGTAAAATGATGATCTGAAAGGGCTTTGGAAGGGTCTCAACTCCAACCGACCGATCGAGTTGGGGCATCTTACAATCCCGATCGATTCAACCGCGGATAATATCAGTTTCGAGTCTTGATTACGTCATCAACGCTCTGAAACTCAGATCATGTCTTAAGAATTTAAGTCCACCTAAAACACCGCCACATTGCTTGAGCGCATTCATCTTTACCATGAACTATTACTTTCAGAATATCAACTTTAGAGCCTAGAGTTCGTTTATTCAGACATCAAAGCGTTCTTTGCTATTAAGCCCCGCATGGGCAAAGCCACAACTTGATGTCACATTTCGACTTGGCGAAATTGAAACAGTTTCGAAATACCGCCAAAGTTGATCATATGAGACTGAGTCATTGATGTCTAAATCTTCAGCTGAAATGGAAGGATATATTGGAAATCCTTTATATGGGGAAATTTTTACACTTTAAAGTCAAAGGATCAATTGAAGACCAATGAGAAGGTCGAGATAAGGTCATGAAAGAGTCTAATAAGCTTGGATTTTGAATTGCACAACAAATAACGAAAAACAACGAGTAAAAGAAAATGAAGAAAAAAAATGATAAAGAATAAGTTGATTGACTTGAAAATGAATTTGAATTTAAAACGTGTGATCAAATTGGATTAAGATTGAAAGATAAGACTTGATTGTTCTGGATCGAAGATTTTCAAAGAGATTCTTTAAAGTGATGAGTTACGAAGAATGAGATTGAAAGCTTTGAGTTTACGAATTTGATGAAACGATCGATGAGTTGATGTTGGTTTCAAATTGATTGTTTAAGCGACTGTCGAGATACTCAAGACTTCAGCAGCTCGAGAACCTGAACCATGAATCATATGAGCATAACTCCATTTCTCTATTGAACACCCAAATACAAAGAAGAATTCAATCATCAATATCAAAGTAAGATGTTGATAAAGATATAGTTTGGTGAGAGGAGAGAAAGTCTTACCCCAAATTTCATCATCCATAACTTTTTGAATCCTAGCAAGTTCTGCTTCATCTTCATCTAAAGCTTTTGGATTCATTCCACGTTTTAAAGTATCTTGAGTAAGAGTTGAAGATCGAGGATTGAGATTTGATGGTTTAGGTATGACTAGTGATGAAGTGAATGAAGTAAGAGAAATCAGAAAGATGAGAATGATCCAAAATGAAAACATTTCTTGATTAGGAAGATTGAGTTGGAAGTTGAAGTTGAAGTTGGATGAATTTCTTGGAAATTTAAACTTGAGGATGATGATGGTGGTTTGATGTTCAAAGTTTAGGTGAAGTTTGAATTTTGATTAAGCTTTGTGTTTATGGATGGAAGGAAAGAGTTTTTTAATTTTAATGAACACAGCAACATAAAGCCTCGGTGGAAGTTGAAGAAACTTGTCACTTGAAGTGATGGCTCAGTTCTATTCTAAGTAATTTCTAATTTATGTAGTGCCTGAATTGTCCTGTCTCTCCCTTTCTCTCTCTCAGACTCTCACGTACATTTAAGACTTGTTTTTAACAAAGATTTCAAATAAGTCTAATCTTTAATCAACAATCAAATGTTGCAAAACAACAGTCAGCTTCTCATTTGATCATGATCACTTCCTAAATGCTTGATGGAACCTCTGCCAATTTCTTTGGGTGACGAACATCCAGTTTGTGTTCAAGTCTGGTGTCTCAATCAGATTCTAATTTCTACCTAGTGAACTAAACCTGAACTAAGCGCCAGAATCACTTCAAGAACAAAGAAACCCAATAATTTTGAAAAAAAATGTGATATTGTCAAACGAGAGAAAAACTATTTAAAAAAAACCTGCAAAGATATACAAAAAAAAATCCAACTTATTGATCAAGTAAATATCAAAGTTTTATGAATGAAATACGAAAAAACGTGATCAATCAATCACATGATAAACAATAGAAATCTATAACTCACACACTAAGAAAGACAAGTGAAGAAAGAATAAGAATTGATGATGATGACGAAAGAATAACGTAAAACAATAGAATGAAAAAATGATAAGGAAAATTATATGTAAGGACAGGTCGCGAAGCAAAGAACATGCTCGGCGATAAGAGAACACAACAGTACTTAAATATTCCTGGGCCAAACGTAATATCTCATTAAAAGTAATAGAAACCAAATGACAAATGTCTTTAATGACGAAACATGCTAAGGCTCCGGAGCGAAAAAAAAAATCATTCAATGAGTCATAAACCACAAGTCGAACGAGGAAGGCAAGAAGATAAATACCACCTTGACTTTCAACTGCGAAGAAAGGAAAGGTTCAACGAATTTTAGCCAGCTTATAAATTTCAGATTTCCTTCTTAGATTTCCTGCGATATGATAACTGGACTATATAGGTCTTACCTCCTTTTATCTATAAAAGACTAATCTTTACATCATATACGTTCCATTTCTCAGTCAAACACATATCTTTCTTTAAAAATTTAATTCAGTAAACTCAACCTATGAATTTAATGCCCCTCTTCCTTCCTTATACCAGAGTTCTGGTTCTCAAAATCCCCCTCATCAGACCAAACCCTCACCTCGACAAACAAAACCTGATTAACACCCATGACACACATAAACAAAAAGCATTTTTAAAAAATTAAGTTATATTCATTAACCTTTTTTTCATTTTTGATTATTATTTAATTGGATTTATTTTGTTCTCAAACATATATCCCTAAAAACATAAATAATCATAAAGTAAGTAAAGAAAAAAAAAACTAAAGAAAGAAAAAAGTAAAAACAAGCTTGCGAGAGGGTTTTAAAAGAATGAGAAAAACAAAAACAAAAAAATGATTTTGATTATCAATTTTGAAAAAAGAAAAAAAAAGAAACTTGGGATGAAAAAACAAAACTGTGAGTTGATTAGAATGATCTTGGATTTCAGATTATGATCTTAACGATGAATAATAATAATATATAAGTATAAGTATAAGTAGGTTGTATAAAAAGTTTTTCTTAGGAGGAAAAAAAGAGGTTTGGTTCATAAGATTTTAAACGAGTTTTGAGAGTCTGAATTGAGAAAAAGAGAGAGAGAGAGAGAGAGTATATGATTATAGATGATTTTATTTTTATAAGAAAGAATTAATTTAAAAATAAGAACTTATGAAGAGTTCAAGTTGAAGAGAGAAAAGATAAATTGATTTGTAATTTTTTGTAGTAAGTGTAATTGAAATAAAGAGAAAAGAAAAGACTGTTCATGATGCGTTGAATAAGAAGTTTTAAAAACCAATAGAAGGACGTAGATTTTCATCATCATGAGAATGAGGATGATGATAAACTTTCCAATTCTCTCTTGAATGTTCATTATGATTGTTAACTTGATTTGAAAATTCTCGTTTCACATTTAAACATTGATCGACGGTGATTCGATTATCAGAAGGAAATTGATTTTCTTCAATCTTAGCAAAAACAGGACGAGATGGAAATGATAAGGGCGTAGTATTAGACGTATTTGGATTATGAATTGGATTTGAATTAGATGTAGGTGATGATTGAATTGAATGATCAACGTATATAGATGAAGTAGGGATTTGTTCACTAAGTGAGGTAGGATACCGATAATTTGGATAAAGTGATGAGTTAATCGGCGGTAATACAAATTGTGACCTTTGCTGATGATTCAATGGAGGAATAAAGTGATTCGGTACTCTATGTAGAACCGACTGATTAGAGTATTGATGATGATCGGGTGGTAAGGTCATCGTCGCCGAAAGGGGTGAGTTGACATAAGAAGTGCTGACATGTCGAGGTGATCGTGGTAAGATGGGATTCAAATGTGACTTCTCCCTGATGTGAATAGGTGGAAGGAAATTGTGCGTCGGGTTATACATTGCAGCAGACGGTGGACTCCCAGTAGCCAGATCGAGCACGGTTGAATGTTGTTCGACATGATCTGGGTTACTTTTTCATCAAGTGGATAATATACAAAAAAGTTCAAATTGCAATTAAAGTCAGTAAGAAAACTCAATCAGATGTCCGTGATCAAGAAAGCAAGCCAAGGTAAAACATTTGTGATTATGTACAAGAATCATGTATTTTCACTATAGCCAGGCACCTGAGGTGTTTGTCATGAGTGACCCAGTCTAAATCAAATACAAGATATCCATCTCCGGTCTTCTTTAGAGATGAGAAATAGGACAAATTTCCTCACCCAATCCCTAAGCCAATCTGTTGTTCATGTGCTTTTAAATGTTTCACTAGGGCCGTCCTTCTTGTAAAGCGTTTATCACAGTTTCCAACATTACAAATGAATAGCTTGTGATTGTTGTGAGTCCTACGATGTCGAGCCAAGGATGAGGAGTCAGCAAACGATTTTCCACATTCCGGGTGTATGCATGAGTGCGGTTTTTCTCCCGAATGCGTTCTCATATGCACTGTCAAGGCCGAACGCTACAGAGATAGTATTAGTATGGACAAGAGTAAATCCTTTTATCGGTCTTGCATACCTGAATAAACCGTTTCCCGCACCCTGCGTATTCACAAGGGTAAGGCCTCTCCCCCGTGTGGATCCGTGTGTGACGAGCCAGATCACTCCGCCTACCAAACGACTTGGTACAATTTTCAGCTGTGCATTGGAAAGGTACACCAGTGCGCTTCGTTGGATTAGACGCGACCACCGCGACAGTTGCAGACATGACTGAAGGTCCATCTACTTTTGATCCATCTTCTTCTTGACTCGATTCTGAAACAGGAGTGTGTAGTTGATTACCGACAGATTCATCAGTAGTCGAACGAGTTTGATGATCTTCACGCTGTGTCATGTAATCTTTAGAACCTTCGAGGTTTGAGGGGAAGGATGATATAGCTGAAAATGGTGGTAAGGTGAATCTTGCAGTAGGTCCCATGAAAGCATGAGTCTCATCATTTTTAGCAAGTCTGGGTGATTGGTCGGGCGCAGCACTTGTAGATGACGGATCACGTTTATCATGGATCTCGGACGAAAAATCAATGGGTATGTCCCCCAGTGTCCCATTCAGTGAGCTATGCAAAGGCCCGGCTAAGGCTGAGAAAGCCTCATCAAAGAGAGAGTTGGTATCGCTGTGAATGTAAGATGATGTCAGAGGACCGAGACTGATTGAGTCGCCAGGGGAGCTGAGTTGAATATACCTCATTGAGTCTGGTATCACAGGTGGCGGTAAGGACGAGGCTCTTTGAGAGATCGACGACTGCTGGGGTACCGACAAATAGCCGCCAGGTGTTGGTTTCTTACTCGAGTCGGGCGGATTCAAGTGCTCTATCGACGAATTTTGTTCCTCCACGAGTGATTCTACCAAAGATGGTTTTCGTGACTGGGAAGATGAAGTAGTAGAGAGTGGGGTCAAAGGATTCGGATTCGTCATGAGTGGCGAATTAACAAAATCTCTATTCACAATGTTCGAAAACAAGAGGTCCTCCACCATTGATGCTCGTCGAGTACCATCGAAAGCCGTCTTTGAATGTCCAAAATGATTATCAGGTGATGAGAGGTGATCAGGTATCAGACAAGGGTCGATCTGCAGGCTGGCAGATGCTCTATGATGCAAGGTAGCGTTGGCTGATGAAGGCCTAATTGGGAAGGAGTCCTGTGGTGATGGTCGAAGTGAAGAAAATAATGATTGAAGAGGTGGACTGTGATCGCTCAAAATGCGATCCTGATTGTCAATATTCGCCCTATCCAGTGAGTCATTCAAGAAAGTCATCGGCCGAAGATCAAAGTTGTATTGCGTGAGTGAGAGGCTAGGAGGGTATGTGGCCGGAGTGGCTAAAGAAGAGAATGAGGATGATGAACAAGATTGGTGCTCCAGGTTGTCAAACGCGCCAGATGGAGGGGTTACATGATCTATTGCTGTGGCGGTCGAATGGTCTGGAAAGGGGGCCGTCATTCGCTCCTCTAGGTACTGCTCAGAAGGGGGTGCCAAAGTGGGGAAATGATTGGAATTTGTGGCGTCAGGCCACGTTAATGTCACGGGTGAAGGAGTCGCTGGTAAAGAGTGTGAATGTTGAAATTGATAATACTGTCGATTGGGAGGATAATTGATATGTGATGGAGGTTGATGTTGCTGCTGCTGTTGCTGCTGTGTTAGTGTCAGATCATGAGAGGTCGACATAGCTGAACCCTGTCGGAGAAATGGTGAAGGGTGCAATGGTTGGGATGGTGGTGATAGTGATCGGAAAAGGAAAGGCATTGAGTTTGTACCTCCCACTTGATAAGAGTTTCTACGTTGAGATTGTTGAAGCTGATGGGTCGAAAACGCGTCAAGATCGCTGCGAAGATGTTGTAAATCACCCACTGAGGTCCTTCTGTGATGATGACTTGTGGGTTCTCTTAAACAATCCCAGCCATTATTGTCCTTTAATAAGGCATTCGGCTTGAGCAATTGAGTCGGGGAAATGGTGCCTGTCTCCATCGGGTTAATGTCTTCGAAGTCAATTTTGTCTCCGCTTCGCTGAGCGACCAGAGAATTAAAGAGGGACATCCGCGTCAACCGCCAGGCCAATCAAGGTACGTTCGATCAGAATATACTAATCAGGGAAATCACTCACGTCTGGAGATGGCATTCTGAAGCCGCCGACGGCCTCACCAAGGTACAATTCACGATGTTTCAGGTTATAAGGCTCAGGACCCAAAAGCAGTGAAGTGATGAAGAGCAGGCAGTGATCGAGCCGATCAGCTGGTCATGAGGACTCGAGGTTTGAGTAGATTCAGATTCAGTCGACTATGGTTCAGATCCAATAGTAATTCCAAGTTCTAGAAAGTATTCAAGTTCAAGATGGTATCAGTAAGCTGGTTGGATGTTAAATGCTGAGGAACTGAAGAAGAATTGATAAAAGGTTGACTTACTATTATAGAGTGATTATGTATTTGATCGGGTTTAATGAACCATCAGATTCAAATTGTATACAAGTCATTCAACCAAGCAATCAGTCATGAAAAAATTCAAATCTTCAAAAACTCAAATTTGATTATGATCGATGTCCAATTTTAAATACACACACATTTACATACACTAGTGACACTGACTACATATTACATTACATAGAGTAATGTGCTACATGTCAAATTTAGAAGCATATTAACTACAGATCGCTGTTCATCCAGCCAACTGGAAGATTCACACATTCAAAATCATCCAAGAATTAAAATCTACATTTATAACATTTATATATGCTAGACTGCATTTCCTTCTATTTCTTTTCTTCTTTATTTGTCTATTTCAAATTCCTCCGAGGATAATCTTTGGGCTGCATTATCCAAACTGAATTTGTAGAAGGCTTATTAGTAAGAAAGAACACAAAAAGAACTTGTATCAAGTCAAAAGGATTTTGATACATGAAAAAAGGAAAAAAACACATCAAACTTATTCACATTCAAACCAACTCTATTGGCTCCTCACCACAAACTTCAACCTCAGCATCTTTCTTTACTTTCACATACATTGAAATCAGACATTTCAAAAAATCACCAGCCAGTCCGGGAAAGGCGCAGCAACGGCCAAAATCAAAGCGGCCGGGCTGTCTACTAAGGTCCAGGACTCACACCACAGATGATCTGAAGAACAGCATCCACCTTTTTGGTGTTCCTTTTATTCATGGTTTCATTTTGATAAGAAGGACTTCACGGCTTGAAGGAAATGTTAGACAATATATAAATGACTAATGCTAATGTGGTTATAAAGATAATGTTACATATATGATTATTAGCATAAACTGTAATGTGACAACAATAACTATCATTTGGTTGACATTCATACACAGGAAATAAGAGATGATTTTCCTGTAGGAAAACCCAATGTATCTAACACAGTTTATGAGCCAAAATGTAGTGTTTTGGCATCATTTCTGTGTTTTGGCTCAGGAACTGTGTTAAATGTAATCAGTCTTCCCATGGGAAAATCATCTTGTGTTTCCTGTGATAACACATTTGACCTCTTGTTATTTCTGGTTGGGGTGAAGCTCATCTTCACCCTTTCTCTTTCTCTTTCTCCTTCTCATTGCACAGTGCTCATTGATCCCTTAATTTTCCTTCCAACCCTATTCCCTTCCATTCTACCCTCAGACATGAGTTTTCTTGTTTACTCAGTCATGGATACTCAGGTGGTGGTGGAGAATGTTCCCCTTGTTGAGATCAACTTGTGCTTACAAACTTCCATATCTTTGGTTTCAATCTGTCAATGAAAACACATCTTCCTTCTCACCAACTGTGTCATCAACTATCCAATTTTGCAACCATACCACATGAAATCCACAACTGCTGGATTGTCTCTCTTGGTCACTCAAGGTGTTCAATCTGGACCAGTCCTTTGAGGAAGGAACATGTTTTATGTTTTGTGTGGCTGAACTACCTCCAGAGTGTCTGGATTTCATCGTTATGTTCTTGATTTCTTCCCTTTACCATGTTCTGTTCTTGGTCTAATTGCTAAAACATGTTGACTTGTAGATGAAAGCAAGTAGGTGGGCTGTGATGCCTCTCAAGAATGCAGTTATGCTAAGCGTGGATCTCAAACAGTTTGCAATGAGCAATATACCAAGTGGACTAATTGGACCTCATTACCAGCAGTCAGCAAGCAGGGAATGATTGCAGGTGCAGCTTTAGACAGGCCCATCTGCAGGATTGATGTAGATCTGTTTCTCAAACATGACTTGGTATATTTTAATTCTGTGCTCTCCTTTTATCATATTTTGTTCATCCCGGCTACCAATGCTGCCACTATATTATACTATACTATACTATACTATACTGAGACTATACTCGGTATAGTATAGCTCAACTATACTGTACTTGAACTATAATTGGTATAGTATAGTACAACTATACTCATCTATACTATACTATACTATACTATACTATACTATACTATACTGTGCAGTATAGTTGAACATGCTGATGGAAAACTTGTGTAACCCTTGGCCATGTATAGTTGATCAATTGATACTATACTGAGTATAGTTGAGGAAAGTATAGTTCCAACTATACTATACTGAGTATAGTATAGTCCAATTCAAACTATACTATACCCAACTATACTCATACCAGTATAGTATAGTGGCACCCTTGCGGCTACCAGTAATGAACCCATATCCAGCTCCCAACTCAATGTTAATCATGTACAACACTTGAGTTCACCACAGAGGCAAAATTCTGGAGCTTTGTTTGAAAGCAGGAATCTTAGTAATCTACTTCACTTTCCAGATTATTCACCTGATATGAATCCAATCAAAAATGCATTTCATTGTACAAAGTCCCAATTGCAATGAGAATCTCAATGGTTGTTTGAACACAACAAGGCCAGATATATCTATTGAATAGCAGCTGGAGTTGTGACTTGAGGATTAATGGAACCGCTAATTGTGCATAGTGGCTACACCACTTGCCAATATTGACACCAATAAAATGCACACTTTGATGAGGATGAGTCGTCATTCACCAGTGTATAACTGCCTTGTGCAGGAATCTGGTGGACACTGTCACTTACCAGATGATAATAACAAACCTGCCGAGGCCAATGCCTCTAATGTATTTGGAATTGGTGGAGGTGATGCAAGCTTGTCATCTACTTCAGAACTGGACAAACACTTGCAAGGTAACTTCCCTATCAAAAGGGATCAAAGACCTGTTGAGTGTTGGAAGGTAAGTTATTTCATAAGTTTCAATCTTATTTACCTTGACTGTTATTAACATACCTTCCTCTGACTAACAGGAAACCAATGTTGATTTCCAACCCTTGCAAGCTTGCTTGGGATTATTTAGCTATATCTGCCACATCTTGCGCATGCAAGCGCACTTTCTCAGCAGCTGTGAATGTCTGTACACCTTTGTGAGGTAGCCTGCCTCCTAGGAAAATGGTGTGCCTAGTTGGTTCTCAGGCATGATTAAGGGGAGGTATCTGGCCCGATTAATCATTCAAAGCAGCTGAAAAGGTCTTGCAAGAATTTCTAAATGGATTGGCAAAAAAGAAACGCTAGTGGGATTGTTCTAATTTCTTATGTTTTTTCTCATTACTCAATTTATTTGCGTGTGTTATATGTTTTTTGTCTTCAAGGCCCCAGCCTACTCTCCAACCTAATCGAGCCTGATAGGCTGGGTGATTGGCCACATAGGTTTTAAAATACAATTTTATTTCTTGTGTCAATGGTATTGGAGTGATTTTACCACTCCAATACTGGTGAGACTTGTTTTTGGAATAAATATTGGTTCATATTGGGGTTTGCTATAGCGGCAACACTGCTCCAATACCACAATGAGTGGAATTCCATAGCATACACAGGGGCAAAAATTGATGCTCACAACTATGTGAGTGTTGAAATGTTCCTGTTTTGTTCCCATTTGTTTCCAGTTTGTTTCCAATTTGTTTCCCTTTTCTTTCTGCTTGTCAGCTGATTACGTGATCATCAGGAGCTGAGCAAACAAACCAAGCCTTCCTCAGCCTTTATTCCTGAGCAAAGAAGTCTGAGGAAGGGCTGATCCATCTGCTCAGCTGATCCTGAGCGGCATTCCCTGGTTCAATAAGTTCCAAGGGATTCCACTAATGTATAGCTTAGGGGCTGAGCTGAACTGAGTATTCCCTTAGCTAAGTCTCTGAAGCATCCCCCAGACGGATCACAGAGCGCCAAGCTTGCCTCAAGCTTCATGGCTCCGGAATGAAGCCTGAGGCCCTTCTGCTTGTTCAACTGAGCTGCTCAGCTATTCCTCAGAGGCATTCCTGAGATCAAACGGATCCGGAGGATTTCACTGCTGATTGGCTGAGGGGCTGCTCAGCTAGTCCTCAGGGGCATTCCTGGCCAGATCAGAAGGAGCCAAAGGATGTCACTGAGTATTGGCTGAGGGGCTGCTCAGTTGATCTCAGCCCCTCAGTGAGAAAAACATTATCCAGGATATCACTGAGGATTAGCTGAGCAACTGAGATGAACTGAGCAGATGGGATGGCGCTTCTATCAGGCTTCATTCCTTAGCAAGGAAGTCTGAGGAAAGTCCGGCCCATCAGTGATCCAGTCAGGGGATGCTACCGAGTATTTGCTGAGCAGCTCAAATGGGACGCCCCTGTGCAGGCTTCTTCACTGAAAAATGAAGCCTCAGGAAGGTATAGTACATGTGCTCATCTTCATTTTGAACAAATTGCTGAGTATCCAGTGACCCATGAGCTGATCCTGAGTACTCATCGGGAATCAGTTATTGCCCATCCAAGATGGAAACAAGCCTTCTCAACAAATGTCAAGTAAAATATGAGCACCACAGGCTGATCACCTGAACACAACCAAGATTGTGAATTGAATCAATCTGGAAGAAAATGAATCTTTTTTGGAGAATTTCAAAAAGTCTACAACGCTCACATGTATGTGAGTATCTATTTTGGCCCCTGTGATATTGGAGAAGTTCTGATGCTTTCACCAGCAACATGTGGCTATCTTTGCTTTGTGTCCCTTGCTGGCCATCAAGGGGGCACTCACACTGTATCAACATGGATATTACTGGTGCCACAGGGATATTGGACAAAAAAACGTTTTGTGTTACAATCTGGATATTGCTGGACAAAAAACCATGTTGATCTAAAATTAGGATATTGGTGGATGGAAAAAACATTTCTAGTTACAATCGGGATATCAGTGGACAGAAAAAACGTTTTGAGTTACAATTAGGATATTGGTGGACAGAAAACACATTTCAAGTGATAACTAAGGTATTGGTAGATGGAAAAAACATTGTGACTTACAATTGGGATATCACTTGACAGAAAAAACATTCTGAGTTAAATTTAGGATATTGGTGGACAGAAAACACATCTCAATTTCCAAGTAAGCTATTGGTGGATGCAAAGGGCACTGAAAAACCTGCACCTGCACTGATATTTTCTCAAGATTTTGAGATTTGGGCACCAAAAAACAGTTCCTAGACATGAGTTTCTCAAAATTGAAGATTTGAATTTCTACAGATGTAGGCAATATCTTTGAGTGGTTACCTGACTAAATGGACATTTAGGTGCCACTATAACCAGTGCCTTCATCATTCAGGCATCATTTTCTTGTGCTTAAATATGTACATAAGCATGTAGGTACCCTTTTTGGATATCTCCCCCAGAATGTGCATTGTAGGCACTTTCTGGGTTGAAACACACGTGTAGGTGCTGCTTTTCACAGTGCCTACAAGTTTGGATATATGGTGCACTGGTATTTAGGAAGATCCTGAATAGATGCAACAGTTTGATTGTAAATATACACACTGATTTTACAAATGGTATATATGTTGATGGATCAATGATATGTACAAGTTATATCTGGGCTTTTGAGGGCAATCTCTGAGGATTGGATCTACCCTATGCAACATGTATAGGTCATTGGTCTTCTGTTTCATTTGCTCAGCAACCACATTTTTTTCATTTTGATCTGGAGAACTGTCCAGATGGTTGCAGACACCATGTGAAGTTTCTTTAGAAATCAATCTGAAATTGCTTTGAAGATCATCTAAAGTTTCTCCAAAATTCATTTGAAATCTCTGAAACCACTTTGAAAACTTCTTGAATTCACGGTAGTCTCTGGCCTGCCAGTGACTTATAGTACATAGTTGGGGGATGTGATTGGGTGTGTTCATCCTAGCAAAACTTGATCAAAATCTAAAGCTCTTGGATCAAGCCTTTGACTTATTGAGTATGTCCAAGTGAACCAGATCAGATTTCTCCACAAAGATTATCTTGTGTAAATCTATAGTATTAAAGACATGATCCGTAATCAAGTTGAGAAAAAAAATTGAGCAAATCACTTGATATGCTCTGAAACATATTGCTTCCTCCTTGGGAATGATGTTTTTGGGTAAATGGTCTTTGTTTCTCATCACAATGATATCTTATTCAAATTTAAAAGAAAGAAATCAATTTCCTATGACTCTCAATATTTGACAAGCTGAACCTAGGTCAGTTGATGATTCTCCAATTTCAGTGTGAGAGGACTGCATTGTGGGTAAATTGTTTATCCATAGTAAAGGACTAAAATGATATACATAGCGTAAGAAATGGGTTCAGCCTGCAGGGGCTGTCGACTTGATTCTGTCAAGGAATTGATACTATTGAAGCCTTTGTTACATTGATGTGACACAAGTCTAGCACAATTGGTAGATCATTGAATCTATACGTGGAACCTATAATAAAGATAAACAAGTAGTCTGAAACTAAATTAAAGCGCTCCTTTTTTCTCCTAATTTCCTCAGTTGCTCATGTTGATAACACCACTATGTACCCATTTTTGTCTTAATTGGTCTTGGATTCAAACCAACTGACCTGTATGCTCTAATTAGGCACCAGCTCACTGAAAAGTGAAAGATAGGACAAGTGCAGTTTCTGCCCGATCCCCGGGTCTCCCTAGTAAAAGGCGAGGGGGACGTTCGAATTTGAGACCGGCACACAAAAATAATCAAGAAGGACCATCACATAAACAATGATGAATGACATCGTATATGTATATGTAGTAAAAAAGGTTTCATGACATTCAAGTCTTTGGGTGTTCATTTGTTGTTCAAAATCGGAGGTGTCTAGCATAAGATCAGCTCTCATAGAAAAGAAAAGCCCCAAACACCAGTAAACGGAAGGAAGGTCAATAGAAATAATTCCTTCTTCACAAACCCATTGACCCAAGAAAGTAAAGTAAATCAATAAATACAAAACCGCTACTGCTACTACTCATACTAATACGATCATCATCAGTAGTGTCAAGAGAAGGAAGAAGATTAAAGTATTTCTTGAACATAAACAATTTGGTTCGGATTGGGTTTTTGTAGGACTTGAGCTCTATGTTGGTTTTGAAATGAAAATGCAAGACGGGGTTCTATATATACGAACCGACAACAACCAAAAAGCAAATCCAAAGGAGTGTTTTATTTCATATTGGCATGAGAATGTGGTGAGGCCTAAACATCATAACGCCACAGTCCGTAATTTTTGGGGGTGGTTTGCCATAATCGGATTGTTCCTAAACACGTGCAAGATTGTGAGACATTGAGAGAATGTATGGTGAGGAGAGATCAGAAATCCTTGGCTTACCATCTTCCGAGCCAGAGGCGTAGAGCTCTCCATCAGGTGAGAAGGAGATGGAGTGCACAGGACCATGATGACCTGAATGATCAAGAACGTCAGCTGATAATATTATAACAAGAGGCACAGTTCAATAAATCAATCACCTTTATTCTCCTCTTTCATTTCACCAGACATCGCATCATAAACTCTAACCCAACCATCGGATGTCGAACCAGTAACAAACCGATCTCGGGTTCTCGGAGCGAGTGAGCAAGAAGAGACTGGATAGTTGAGTGTGTGCTCGAAGATGATCTCACGAGTATCAGTATCGAGAAAAATAGCTTTCTTGCCAGAAGCAACCGATAGCCAATCTCCTCCAAAGCTTCTTTCGACGCTAGCTATACCATCTTCAAATTCGACTTCAGCCACCAAAGTTTTTGGTCCGCCGCCTAGACGTGGATCCCACCATCTTATCCTTCGATCTTCTCCTGCACTGATGATCAATTGTCGTTGATCATCCCAAATCACACTTTTGATCATTCCATCATGAGAGGTTGTGCCAGTTCCATTTGATGTGTAGAATAAATCAGGAAACACATCAGGTCGATTTAAATCAAATCTTCGTAACTTTTTTTCCATCCCACCGGTGAAGATGTGGGAACCGTTGGGAGTAATATCGACGGCTCGAACGATGTGATCATGTTGGAAGGTATGTAACACATCTCCACTAAATGTATCCCACACGTTACTGCAAGATTCAATTGATTTCAAAAAAAGTTAGCTGGAAGGTCCATCCAACCACTTGCTATTTTTCTTTTTCTTTTCAAGTTTGCATAGACTTACGCTGAAAAATCGGCAGATCCAGTGACTGCCAAACTTGCATCTTCATTCAACTTAGCAGACCAAACTGCTCCCTTATGGCCTAATCAAAACAAAAAAGACGAAATAGTGAGTATAACGAGCAAATCAATTCAGGAGTCCAAACAATGAAATGGTCTACACACCCAAGAAAGTACCGATCCAATCTCCCATCCAATCTCGTAACATTGGTTTTCCATCTTTACAGGCCGATATGATCATGTATTGGCCATCAGGTTGAAGGCCTGAAATTGATATTGCCGGAATGGGTCGCGTGTGTCCTGAACACACCAATCTGGTCATTGCAAAAGAGGCGATCAAGTGATTAGGATTATAAACTAATGGTATAAAGATAGTTTGGGGTTGATTACGTACGGCATAGACTTTCAAATAGGAGATAAGGAAAGGGGCCAGGTCAGCCTCATGTATCTTCGACGTAGATGGAGAATGAATAAAGCTTACCTTAGGTACAGGACCAGTTCGATGTTGGGTAGTCATGATTTGAGAATGTGAGGGGTTAATTTAACAGCAAATGTACAATGGCAAGGTAGTATAATTTTCGTATGTGCAGAGGATGAGGATGCGAACAGGAGGACAATGGATGAAGGTGTGGATGACGATGAAGTTGATGAAACTGGGACTGATTTAAAGTTCGGATGTGATGTTAGTGAAGACGAGGATGATGATTGTTTGATGATGATGATTATATAGCAAAGTGTTGGTAACGTTTCATCAGTTTTGAGCGTTCATGTTCTAGTTCTTATTCTTATTTCGTTGATCGAGAATCGATTTAGGCAATCGGCATAATTTTTTTGACTTTGTTGATTCCCGATGAACTTTTCTAATTATGGGCCTCCACAGTCGTCCTTTGATCTTGATCGTTCGACTTTGACTTGATCCGGTCTGATTTGAGGAAATGGATAGCTGAAACGTATACGGTATAGACTCTAGCGCTGAGCAACAGTACCTTGTATTGCCTATGCTGGTCATCAAAGGCTGACGATGCGGATGAGGTGGTGACAGCACTTAACTGACATAAAGGTACTTAACACCTAATCTTCCAAATTTTGCTGTTTAAATCTACCTAAGCTGTCATTCAGATAACAAAACATTCAACCAGTCAGCTCAAGCCTCACCGTGAGAGTTGAGATGTTGAACTTCAAGCTTAACATACGGTTGACGCCGCTGCACGCTTAACTTGAAACTTTAGATGAGAAGTATTCAAGTTATGTGATAACCTTTTCCTATACGTGAAGAAAAAATGTCGAGTTATTCATTTTTAATAGATTATAGCAGACAGGGAAGGTATCATGTATCTCGATTCTCCAGCGACATAACGAACACAGATGTAAGCAAAAGTTTTACGTTCAGATCAACTGTGGCTCGAAGGAATATCCAAGTTGACACGGGCTCAGAAATTCCGAATAACGTGATGCACACCATTTGGATCGAAATGAAAGTCTGTCCTCTGATACTATTACGGGATAAGGATTTCAGACAATAGACATGGTACACGGGGATCAATGAGAAAGTGTTCGAATACCTTGACAATTTTTCGTCACACCCATTTCTGCTTCATTATGAGCCTTTCATCCTACAAGCTTATTAGTTTATACCTTCTATCTGATGTCATTTAGGGCACCTTATCAATCTGAGCCTTCTGAAAGCTCTGGCATATATTGTCCAATTAATCTGGTCCTCACCACAAAATCTTCTAGTCAAAGGGATGGCTCCATCAATTAGGGACTCGGGATACTCAAAATGAATGTTGAAATTCAAGAGCCCTCTATTCGATACCTTTGATTAAACTGTGGCTTTTCGGGTTCAATCTTAAGTTGTTGTGATTTGTTTTGGTCTACATATATACTCTAATATGATTATGCTACCTAAGGTGTTTAACGAAGGAGTATATTCTTCCGAGTAATAAAGGCTTTCAGGACAAAGTACTCGGGTGGTACTACCTAGACTCAAGATATTCTTTGAAGCAAAGAATCACCCTCGAGGTAGTAGATCAAGTCCAAACATTCTTGGTAGTACATACACTGCTACAACACAAGCCATTTCATGACTCTTGAGAATCAAGACAGGGTTCCGATAAATATGTGACAATCAATTCGTGAAATCGAGACCAGATCCGAAACATAAATGAAGGAAGTCGAATACGAGATCTGACTTTGATGCTTTTGTGATTTACATTATATACTTTACTGAGAATGAACGGGTACGAAGTAGAAACGCGAGTCTTGTTTCTTTGGTGAAATGAAATGGAACGGATTTGGTCTCACAACAAAAACAAACATCTCGATCAATGAAGTCACATAGGGATCCGACTCGGATATTTACTCAGAGGAAATGTCACCATTCCTTCTCCCCACGCTCTCAGATCAAGATAAGTTTTGTGGTAGGGACTATACACAGTCTAGATTAATCCGAGTTTCCAAGGGGTGTATGATATTCAATCAGCGATGTACACCCTGTTTCTTTTCTTGACCAATGGCAAAGGTGACTAGGAATTGATTCACCTATTCAAACTTTACAGAAGCCTTAGCGTAGCTCGCACCACCACCTGGAAATTGACAAAGGCAAGTTCATTTCCAGAAGCTCATCCACTGGCTCTCTAGTGCACCTCTGGGATCAATCGAAAGAAGCTATAGGAAAATAGTTCAAATCGGTCTCATTCATCATATGCCCGATGGGACTTTATTATAGTTCTTGATGAAAGATATGGCTTGAGGAAGTCATGAATCTGACTCGCGCGTTAATATGAACAAATATCATGATCTGATTCTTGGGTGGCTTGCTTTTCACTCCTCTTCCTTTTACCGGATTCGCTCTCATCCGCCAGATAATACCACTTGGACTTCTCTTTACAAAGGATCTCGGTTCACAGCGTGGGCTTGATTGTTGGACTACATCTCAGATTGATTACACTCTTACACAAGGGCTTATCCAACGCTTGGCTCGGTTCGATAGACAAGATCCAAATCATAGCATGAAATTGTTTCATTTATCATCAAGAGTCCACATACCGTGAGCCAATTTTCTGGAACCGTAACTTCTATCTATGAAATTTATTACAAGAATCAAAGGATTTGATTTTAATTTGAACTCTCTGAGTGGGGCTTAGCATGTCGATTTCTAAGATCTTCACAAGAGAGGGTCTCTCTTTTGAAAATCGCGATTTCCAATACGTGGTAAAGACTAGCTCTCAGCTTTCTAAGGAATGAGATAAAAACAGAGCTAGGATTGGGACTTGTTCATCCTTCAGCATTCCCAACGCAAATCCATCATTTGATTTAGGCTTTCATCCTCATTATAAAATCCTCCCATCTTTACTACTCTTTCTCAAATGCCTACGATAACTATGATTTCTCAATTACGCGGTGAAGAAGCTACGCATTCCTCAAAAGATACTAGTAAATCGCATTCAAGCGAAGGACAAAACTCTACCGGCGGTTGTGTTATATCTTATATATTTTTACCTGTTAGTCGACTATCGTTTCTTTTCTTTTTTCCTTGAGAGTTATACTTACCCTCCTGTGGTTTTTTTTTGACAATTGGACGACCATAAGGAAACTCATGGTCCAAAAAATCAACGAGCTGATCATTGAATAGGATTTTTTATATCATCCTTTATTGGTATGTATATCAAAATGACTACTATAACGTCGATGTCTTCAATCAACTGACTCACTCACTGAATAACCCCTCTAGAGAGAACCGCGACTGTCCTAGGTTCTGAAAATGTAAAATCATCCGACGTATCACCGGCGAATCAAAAACCTCATGAATCGATCTCATATCGATTCAATGACTCAAAAGAACTCTGAATACTTCAGTTTTCACTACATTATTATCCGAAAAACTTCCAATATGCTATTCGGCTTTTATATCCCTCATCAGCCTGAATTACCTTTACATTTCTCAAATCTCTATCTATCATGCTGTACCTTGACTTATGATCTCTTTCCTTTTCTTTTCTTTTGTGCCCGCAGAATCTCTAAAATGTATGTGATGAAATTTGTATTAATCTGTATTTGTTAACTAGAGTGTATAGAAAACTATCTATTCTTCATTTTTTTTTCTTTTAAGGTCTCTTTTTATACATCTTTGTTTAGCTTTTTTTCCATCATACTCTGATCTTCTTATACGGAAAAATCAGTTTAGGAGATGCTTCAAATTTCTTAACATGTTTCTTCAAATATAGTATTCTTTTATTCTACTGTTTTGTTCATGATTCAGTAGAACCGACTAATTTGGTGATACGCGCGCGTGACGTCCATGAACACTTGAGTGCTCGAAACTTTCGTATATTTTGCGTTTTCTAATATCTGCCATGATTCTTGACCTCAAAATCACTGACCGATTCTGAAAACTAAAAATGCTCCACTATGGGGTGGCCTAAAAAAGGTATTACAAGATACAGGAAGAGGAGGGCGGGACAGATAATATATACATACTTTGAGGAGATGACAATCAAAAGGTGTGAAGAGAACCAGAGTTCAGAATCATACCCAGTTTATAAGATGATCATTTGAGGGGAATATGCGTCCTCTGAAATAGAAGGTAAGGAGATGGTTCTCGAATAAGGTGAACAGCACAATCAGAAGCTACGGTAGCGCGTGTCGCGAAAACTAACACATCGTACGTCACGGTGACGTCACGACGGCTGCCTGTCCTATTCTCGGAGTCCTAGTGGCCAAGTATCTCACTTCAACATTGAGAAATAAAAAAAGACACATTCTTGCAAGGTGATAAAATATATCACGGATTTTAATCCTACATTCATCGGAAGAGCAAAGTAAACTTGGACACCGGATACGATTCTGTCCAGGTAAGCTACATAATCTATCCTATCATGAATAATACTTCAAAAGTGAATTGCAGTCATGAGAAGGACTTGAAATGCTTAGCCATTAGATTCTCTCAGCAGTAAAACAAATCCAAATCAAGAAGTTCATTTTCATCTCGAAGACATCACCTGAGGTTTTCTATGTCCATCCTAGTGAAATGTAAGAATACAAAGTACCCTGGTTGGATGTATTGATGACTGCACAGATGTTTGTGCAGTGCATTCATTGGCTTTTTTCAAAGGACACTTGATGAAAATGATTTTGTTACCAAAACAGATAACTTGATCATGACTAGAATTGTAGAGTATGATTTCAAGCTAATTCTTTTGATCAGAAAGCCAGCTTCTGATGATATTTATGCTTCTGACCTGTCACAGTCATGTTCCTTGACTGTTGATTTCTTCTTTCTATTGATTTGGCCTTTAAGCAATGTAGAGCTCCTCCTTTCCCCTTACATTCATCTTCCATATTCCTAGCACTGTGTACTTTTTCACTCATCTAATTGCTCTGTCTGGTATACATTGGTCCTTGTGTGCTTTGATCCTGCACAAGATCAGATTTCTAATGATTTTGATTCAGTGATGTACCTTGCTCCACAAGCATTTGGGATTTGGACCCACAGTTTTGCCACCATGAATTTTGTTTGATATGCAAAATCTCACCAGAACTTCTTACAGTATGATTTCTTTTGAGTCCATCTGGTTCAACTTGTGACTTTGACCATTGATGGTTATCATATTTCATCCTCCTACCACAAAAATGCCTCAACTGTTGGTATCTTACAAGTACCCTTCCAGCTAGATTAACAATTTTTCACAAGGCATTGATCCCAAGGCTCCTATTGCTGGTGCTAGTACTCCATCTACAGCTGCTTAGACCAAGCAGATGCAAGCAGATGTGCAGATCTGTAGTCAGTGTTGCATTGTGACATACTGGTCCTTGACTGCATACTACTGTCTGTTCCACTGGCCAAGTACCACTAGCATTAGAATTATGTCCTACCAGTGTCATTAGTTATTTCTTGCCCAAAGAAGTTATTTTTGATTATCCAAATTAAACATAGTCAGTCATGCAGTTTACTTACCCACAAAAGTCTCCTCCAGTGGGCTCCCTGCAGAGCTCTTAGATCTTATCACTGAATCACAAGGCTCAAGGGTCATTGAATCAACATATTTTAAGACACATTGCAGCTGTATGGGCTGGCATTGGGATGGGAAGCTGAAAGGATTTGTCTGCATGCCTTCTTGTTAGTCAATCATAGAATGTCCTACTGAATAAGTTTTGCTTGAAAGGGAATATGGGCACAGTGTGTATGAACATGCTGTATTAAGGGGGTCATAAGAAGATATATATATAGTAAACAATCTAGTTCTGCTTCTGAGGATGACTTGTGATTATGATTTGTTCATTTTTGTTTCTTAACATCTGAATTTTGCGTGCGCATAAATTCTGTTGAAGCGGTTAAAAGGGTGAGGTGAGCAATCCGGATGTGGAAAGGAATTTTGGAAATAAAGGGTGAAGTGACTAACTTCTGCGTTGAGATGACATATGCCGCATCATCATTATCAAAGCTGAATTCAAGAGCAGATAAACACCTCGGTTTGTCAAAGACATATGACACGCGCGGGGGGGGCAGTAGCAGGGATACTAGCGTACCTGGAGGCCAAATTAGCAAGAAAGCTCGCAACGCGTATGATAAGACAGTCATACCATTACTCTGTGTATTCCGGGCCATCCTGTAAACATCAAATCAGTATAGCATCACCTGACTTGAAAGATCAAAAAACAAACTTGGATGCCAAGAACATTAAACCCCATTCGCTTCCTGCTCCAATAGGGTAAAGTAGATAGAAAGCCGAATATCGAAGCCAAAGGAGTGGTCGGATTGGATAATTTAGTAAGGAACTAGCATAAGTCCCATAACGAATGATCTCTGAAAGGCTCCATGCAAAGACCATTGATGAATAGATTGGAGACTCTGCAGTCTATTATAAAAGGGTAAGTATGCGTAGACGTGGCCTGAATGACATGAAGACTTACTTGAGGAAAGAGTGGGATGATGGCCCAGACTATTACTAGCCGACTTGCAACTTGCATTACTGTCGTGAGTAAACCGGAGCGCACTAGGCCTAAGGCGACATGAAGGATTTCGAGGAGGGCGGTAGATTGGACGAGTGTAAGAGATGTGTTGATAGATTGATGGGCATGACTGGCGCATGTCCTGAGGATCAAAAGTAGAAGAAATCAATGAAGAAGCTGGTCGAATCGAGATCATGAATGACTGACAGCAGCTCGGATAGCGAAGTAGGCCTGTGATGTGGAATGAAGCCAATGAGCTTCGGGTTGAAGGTTTCAACTTAACAGGGCCATCATATCGTCAATTATTTAACTGACCGACTAGTGATGATGGAATCGATGAGCAGACGATCCAAAATGAGCAACCAAGCTGTCGCGCTCACGAGATTGTATCCAATCAAATATTTTTTCACCCCATCGATCGAAGTCTTGTTTTTTTCTGGTGTACTGACGGCTGTAAATGTAGACCTAGTTTGGTTGGTGGCATTCCTAGTGCTGGTCATGGCGACTAACGACTGAGGTAGGCGGATGTTCAAAAAGGAAATGGAGATGAAAAGGTTTTGCGGACTGGAGAGGGAAAGAAGCGGAACAGAGCGATACCTGTAGGGAAAGAAGCGCAGCTAAATTTATACAACTACAACAATTGACCAACCGACCAACAATTTCAAAACTGGTACTAAGTCTCTCATCCTTCACCTTCCATATGAACAACTTCCCAACCACCGACCCTTCAACTCAACATTCATCAGATGAACTCCTCAAGCTCTGTCTCGATCAAGGATGTACGCAAGACATGCTTTTTTGCACTTGACTTGCGTTAACCCCTGAACTGTACTCGACGGAGCGCCGTTGTCCGATTGCTATACGCGATCGGATCGGATCGAATCCTGTTATGATCTGGATCAACAACTTCATTGGCACTCGGTCAGTTGAACTTACAGGACTTGTTTACGTTGAAGATAGGGAAGTTGATCTCGATCCATTGAGGATTTCGGAGATTCGATCTTGTCCGCCGTTCTGATCCCCGCCTCTCGCAGGGGCCTCAATAGAAGTTTGGCCTCCGTCTCTTAGACATCTGTGATGTACTCGAGTGGCCGACCTTGTTTTGTTTCCTTCTGATCAGCTGACTGGGGCCAATCAGAAGCGTCTGCTCGTAGGGTCGCTGGAAGCTTCTTTCAATCTCAGACGGGTATTGATCAGGACCCAAAACCCTTAAACTCACTCATATCTCAAGTGTTTGAGGAGCCGAGGGTAATTTTGGGTCCCTCAGATCGACGGCATCCTAAAACGCTTTTTAGAAACATCGCACAATTTTTGCTTCTGCATTTCGATTTTTTTTCCATTAAACTCAGTTCGAGTTCTCCTAAGCTCAAATCTGATGAAAATAAGGTTGGTCTTGAGTTGAAATCTTACCTTCAAAACGGGTCTGTAGCAATAAAGCCTACTCGATCAAGGTCATTGAGTCAACCGTTAAGCTGGTGAAGAATTACTCTTTACGGGGAATGGACTCCTATCCAACATCACGCACGTAGCAGGGAAGCGCTTACGAGATCAAAAGTTATTTAGCGTGTCTGTGAAAAGTGGAAAGCCAGGCTTTCTGTTTTTACGGAGCACATGAAGTAGTTGTGCAGTGGGGAGCACTTTGATGAGAAAAGCTATGGAACAGGTGGGATTAGATAAACCTGGTCACCTAATCTGCATAACATAGGGCATATGTATTTAAATATCAAGTTCAAATAGCATCAAGAAAGGGGGGTCAGAATAGTCAATGGTTTCCCCCGTGCAGATGTTAACAGAAAGAGAATATGGAAGCGTTTGGATATAGGACTAGTGCAACCAGCTTTAGGTAGGCTGGGCGCAGATAGCATATCACAAACATTGCTCATGGTCACCAAGTGATCTCGAGTCCCAATGTCATTTGATCTACATGTGGAGATTCATTTCATCAGTCATCATACACCCTATCACCCTTTCCAACAGTGGAGTGCTGGTCATGTATGGTAGACAGATATCAATCAAGAGAGTTACAAGACTGCTCAAGTAAGATAATCATCAAGTTAAGATTGCCTTTCTTACATTGAAATTTTTGAGTGTGGCTTTCTTTGAATTTCCTTGAATGCCTTCCCAGCATCATGAACCTCTCCTAGAAAGGACTGAGAGAAGCCCAAAGCCCTCAAGTAAACCGACTACAACCCTTTCAACAATGATGATTTGTATGTTGGCAACCCGATTGCTTCTACAGAAATCAAAACCAACTGGACTGAGCATCAAAAATCTGAGGACGAAGCAGCTCATGATCAGCTTCGCCGAAGCAACGTGGCCGCGATCTTGCAAGGCCTAATACCCATATTCCCTGAACCACTCGTCAGACAACCTTTGAAGGAGCCATTGCGGGGCAATGGGCATCATCGTGCCAAGCCTACATCATCTTGATTACACTGATGTTGATAACAGCATGTAAAAACTTGTCAGAAGCAACGTTTTGCTGCGCCACGATTTTATAAAAATCAAACTTTATTGGGTCGGCCGTAGATAGGACACTGCTGCTACTTGGCACTCGTGGGGCAAGGACTCGCTGCGTGCATGTTTTTGCCCTGTATTTGCAGAATCTCAGTATGTGCTTGCCCTCAAGGTGTCATAATGATAGATGACTATTGTGAGTGCTGGTAAGTAATCGATGAGAAAGATGAAACACTTATTTTGTACAAAATTCAAGCAGGGCTTCGATTTGATCGAGACTTTCAGCGTAACTGAGTGTACTCCTATACTTCCATCTTTTTGTTTGAGCAGGCTTCTTCTACAGGTACATATACAGCAACTATTCTTTAGGGTAATCTTGCTCTAATTGCTACTGCCAGTCAAATAAACAAAATATTTGATGCGTAAAGTTTTGATGTTTATCTTCTGAGAACCTTTCGATCAATCTCTATATGGCACCATTTTCTTTGGAGCAGGAAATACAGTATTTGGGGCTTTGGGGGTGTGATGGAGTTGGGATTTGTTCAGGTTTTGTGAGCTCGAAGGGGAGTATATACTGTAAAAGGACTGCTTTCGGCCATGATTTTAAAGTCTCATTGAGTTATCAAGTTTTTCATTCTCATATTCTTGCATGTATTAGTATTTTGGCAGGTTCAACATAACTATATGCAAAGAAATACCACATCCTAAGGTCATCCAACAGTCCTTTGTCGAACATACTACTTTCAATATAAAGGCGTGGTGCTAACTTAGTCGGCATCAGCAAGCTTGAGACGCGTGGTATTTATTTCAAGTAAGGGAAATGCTATCAAATTTAACTTAAAGCAAGGTCAGATAAAGTCGGTCAAACGCCAGGAAGAGACCAAATCTGATTAAATAGACAGGACTCAGAGATGGTTTGGAAGACACGAATGTTGGATATGATATGGAAGTAAAATGTTAATAACATATATCAGGCTCATGTGCGGCAGTGAGTCCCACTGGACCTAGAGAGGTTGGAGTACATTGAGCCATGTCCACTGGGTTCACAATCACTGCTCAAGTTTTCCGGTAAAGTTGAATCCACTGCCAGACTGAGGTCAGTGACAGGTTGATTCCAAGATCTGTCACAATCTCTCAAAAGGCCATGCCTCAAAGCACCATGCATACAACCATGAGCTTCACTTTGGGGCTGTGGATGATAGGCATCTGCACGGATTTAGCAAAGAATGACCAAAGGAATGAGCGAGAGGAATTTCAATGATGGAGAGTGATTGGAAAACTTTCCTGAAAGAGGTCTGGCAACTGAAGAAACAACAGATAGGGAATTATATAACACAAATTGGGCAGCAGATTGATACCAGTGTGAGGAAAAAAGACGAAAAGAAATGGGGATGGCGGAAACAGATGATATGCACTTCTACCAGCCAGTTCCATGCATGTGGCTCTTTGATTGAACCTGAATGGCAAAACTGGGCTTCCATCAAAGCAGCATATTAGTAGATGTTGAAATCATTAGAGAGGCTGTTGTAGGTCACTCATGAGCTGTCACGGGAATAAATTTTGAAACCTGAAATGAGGATGGATAAGATATAAAAAGACATACTACAAGGAGTCCAGTCTGAGAAGAGGCAAAGCCCAGCAGTAGCAAAATTTAGTAACCCAGCTTCATATACAGTCCTAGAGTTGTACACCTCTTTTTGTATCCTAATAATTTCATTCATATCATTTGTTCCTCCAGTTTATTATCAACAAAAAGTCTTTTCCACAATAGTTCTTTACAAAGCTACTAGAACATTGGGGGTGTCACACCTCCTCAATAAGTATTGGGTCTCAAAAATTGTACACTCAATAATAGCTTTGCTTGTGTTGTGCCAATCCACTGTATATTCCCAATAAACATGGTGGATCTTCTAAAAAAAGACAAAATTCAAACATGCCAGTTGTAATTATCTTTCTTGTCATCACAACTCAAAGACTTGACAATTTTGCTCTTTATCAGTGTTGCACATGTGTCACCCCAATAATCAAGTTGCATAATTCTACTATTTTGTATCAACCTCACAAAACATTTTAGCTGATTGAATTCTGATAATGCTTGATAGCAGGGACCCTTCATCACCCCCCGGCATCAGCATGCTTGCCCCAGATATAAAAACCACACAGTCTTCCGCAGTGAGGATCTGAATTGGCAGAACACAATAGACAATTTTTTGTACAATATCTAATCCAGAGCACTTGACAGTAAACTTTGAACCCACAGTCACCAAAGTGTGGGGCAATCTGGGTTGGAATTGGTTTTGCTAACAGGAAACCCTTGTGCTATATATTTCAGCAGTGTGAATGGAATTGGTTTCACTGACAGGAAACCCTTGTGACATATGTTTCTGCAATGGGAATGGCAACAACATTCCTTTGCATGGTAGCCATGAATCTTTCCTTTAGTTGTTTAATACTTGGCAATAATCAAAGAAATTGTGAGCCACCATCCCACCCAAAGAGGTTCAGATTCCATCATTTATATATGTGTTAGCCACCCCTAAGGGTTGGGGTTCTTTTCAAGCAGTCAAGTTTTCTCTCATGCAGTTTTGCCAAAATTTCAGATCTCAGGATTGCAGTGTGACTTTGACCTATTCAATCAATTTCAAATATAACTAAAGGGACCCAAGCCAGCCAATACTATTCCCAAGCTTTAAACCTTTTGCATGTGATACTTTTGGCAATACAATATTGTGAAACCACAAAAGCTGTAGGTCTAATTGTCATATCTTGAAATATTGGACATGTATATAGCGGACTTGGATCTGCTTTCAGCTTAACTAAGCCCTCTCTGCACAGCCGTGGTCACACACTTACAAAGGGGCTTATGACTAATTATGATTCCTGGTGTGAGCACCACAAGGATTAAGTGCCCTTGAGTAGTTTTTTGATTTTCTGCTTCCCTCACTGACAAACATCAACTTACCCCGCAGGGAAAGTTGTTCATAATTATTTTCTACATATGTATCTCTTGTTATCAAGAGGGAAACACCACTCTCATGCTGTTCTTGAGGCAAGTTTTCAAGCCTTATGTCCCACATGTAAAGGGGTGTACAGCGTGTATTCTCACCATGCCCAATTTTTGAATTCAAAAAAGTAACAATACAGGTGTGTTGTAAGAAACTTCATACCACTTGTTTGGTGGTCATATTCAGTGTGCCCATCATGTCTAGGCTGAACCATTTAGAAAAAGCACAGGCAGCAGCAATTTCTCAACTTCAATGTGGACATTGCCCTCTACAAAAATTTCTACATAGAATAGGAGCAGAAGAATCAAATAAATGTGACACATGTTCAGCAGTAGAAACACTGGCTCATCTCCTGGTTTAATGTAGAAAGTACAACAAACAACGGCAAGAATTTAGAAATCAATTGAAGAAAGAAAAAATCATGTAGTCAACATAAACTCAGCATCAACACTTTTAGACACACCACAGGTGTACCCTTACCTAGCACAGTTCATTCAGGCAACTGGAAGATTCACACATTTGAAAACATATACTTCAAAAATTAAACAACACATCATTATGATCTTATGCTATATGTCCTTGACTATCTTTCTTTTTCTCAGGATTCTTTATGTTTCTTATTTCATGTTTCAATATACTTTTTGGGAGCACACTTTTCCACACTGAATTTTTATGAAGGCTTGGTAGTCCAACGTAAGAAAGAACACAAAGAGAGTTGTAGTGACACTACTTTAGATTTACCTAGTTAGTTAGTGCAATATGTGAAATCAAAAGCACTTAAAAGATCATGTCTAGGCTATGAGATCATGCAGTTGCCTGCGGAGTAAAACGATGTTTGTTTTCAGGGAAGCAAAAATCTGTGAAAAACTACTCAAGGTCACTTAAGCCTTGTAGTGCTCATGCCAAGAATCAACAATTAGTCATAAGCCCCTCTGCGAGAACGCGGACGTTCTGGTCTGTCGCAGCAGTCGGGACTCGGAGCTCTTCGCGCCGCGACCATATCTCAACATTCTTTGATTTCTCTGAGGTGAGACGATGTTCTTACGTTTGCGTCGTGATCCTATCATCACACCTGGAGTATCAAAGACTTTGAACGGACTTGTATTGTACATCTGAAAGACACAGCCCCAATTTCTCCGCCAGTTTACTCGGGTTTCGTGGGCAGGCTTGCGCAAGAGTTTTAAGATCGATTGTACGTATAAAGGCTATCGACGTGCCGATATGATAAGGGCTCAACAAGACAAGTTTGAGTACATACACATCAACTAGGTCGGAGAATTGAGGGAAGCATCATATCCGTTTTTAGATCAGTCTAGCCAAGAGAATTAATTATGTAAACGTGCAAGAGTGGCAAGAGTGGCCCAAAGTGACCTTGCTTAAAATACCAACCTATCAGACTTTACAGGATTTATACAGTTTCACAAATGACTTGATCATCATTCTTCGGCCGGAATTGGTAGAGGCGAGCAGCCAGCGGCAAGTGTTTCGCTGTTGTTACTTTGCGTGCCGCGCATCTGGGGATTTCCTCATTAGCTCATGTCGTACTAGCTGTTTAAAGTGACTTGTATCATCCTCTATCATCATCACTACTTCGTCCGCTACCTTCACTTTTCCCCAGCCCTCTCCGGGACATCATAAGAGCTTGTCTTACTTCCATTGGTCTTGATACACATCAACGAGTAAATCAAATTTTATTGATCATGATAGCACTGCCAGTCCGACGTGAATTCCTATCTCCTAACACCCGCCCCTATGGTATGCCCATCGTTCTTCTTGCGCAGCTTCAAAGCTTTATTGATTCCCTGATTCATTTGGCTGTCACAAGAATATTTTCCTGTTCCAGGCTCTGTTTCCTCAGGTGTGGTCACCAGTCGTTCATCTACGAATAGAAGCACAGATGAATTACGTCGCATTGCACGTAAGGCGCTCCAGGATCACAGGAACATGTTTGGCAATCCCTTAGAAACCCCAAGCGTTGAATCAATCCTCGAAGCCTATGAAAGGGATGGCAATGGTGATACAAAACTACTTATGGCCATCTTGCAAGCCAAAAGACAGGAGGACGAGGTAAGCAATTAGGCACCCATTCTTTTTCAAGTAGAGGTATTGAATTTTTGCACCATGGCTAACCTTTTAATCAATTTTGACGCACTCATCGGGTTTCGCTCAGCGAGTTGCCGCACACTATGATCTCCAAGCTGCGAACTTCAATCATGTCCGGCGACGCACGACAATGATCTCCAATAGATCAAGTTCAATTCAGCCATGTAAGGCTGCGCTCCAACGACAATCATCGAGTTCCTCGACTTCGACCGCTAGTACTGCGCCATTGGCAAATAGTGCCAAACGAGATCGAGATTCTTCAGAAGAGCCACTGTCAAAGGGTCATAATCCGAAAACCAAGATTATCCGACTCAGTCCATTGAAACTAAGCCATACATCATCTTCGTCAGTCAAAACCTTTTCTGCACAATCTGGAAGCAGCTTCTCGGGCAAATCGTCAAAGCCGCGAGAAAATGCATCCACTTGCCGCCCATCTTCCGAGAGTCCACCCTTGGAATCTGTCCTAACACCCAGGTCGTCTCGCGAGGGGTCAACACCGGCAATTTTGACCGATGTATCTCCGAGAAGCTCTCCACTTTCTTTCTCACTTGCAAGATTACTCAATGATCCCATCACAGTCACTCCTCACTCCTCTCCATGAGTGGGTCATCACTTTCTTGATTTGTATTCCATCTTTGTGAATTGTATCTTCATCCTTCTGTACTACCATATATATCCAAACCATCTCTTTCTCTTCGAAGAATCAGGCGACATATACAAAGAAACCAATGTTGAATTTTGTTTGTTCCGCGAGTCAAGTACTTGATATTGTCTTTACTAGGGTCAGCCATAGAGTTTTGTTGTAAATTGTTCACCGCACTTTCATGAAGGGGAAACGCTTACCTACATGACAATGTTATGTTCCAAATGATCAGTCGTTTTCTGATGCCTCAAATTTCTAATCCCTCAGAACCTTTGTGCTCCGTAAGAAACAAAAGTTTTGAAGCTGTCCAATTTACGAGACGCACACATCATTGCACTGAAAAAGATTCAAAAAACCTCTATGAGGAGATAGAATCCTATAAAACTTTGTGAGTTCCAATATAAGACACGATAGGAATGATACTTGACCAACAAGTGTTTCCGATTAGGAATCCAGTGATGGAAAAAGACAGATTGAAGTTGATTGGTTCCTGGATCCATGATTCGGGTGCGGGGATTGAACTTGAAGCATTGAACTTAGAATGAGAACAGGTAATTTTTCAGATGGTTGATGGTCAGACTTGACGATTTGATGACTATGAAAAATATTTCTGTGTGTGATAACGAAGAGGAAAGCCAGAAGAACGAAAGATTTCAACTTTTACAAATATCAAACGGTCTCTGTGGCATCATTATATGTGCACTGCATAACAAGGAAAGAAAGGAGGGGCCATCCTTGGTTGACCACCGAAAAAACTTGAAGAATTCCTAGGGTGGTCAAAATTCATCTGGATCCATGCAAAAAAGATTTAAACACCCTAGGAAGACTTGACCACACACAGCCATACCAATTTGGAAATTGACGCAAAGACATCATCATATGTTAATCAAAAATTAGAAGGCTCATATGTAGATTATGCATCTTGTTGTCTGGCATACCGATGCTAACAGGAAAAAAGCTCAAACGTGTCTTATAGCTACTGTCTTGCCAGTGAGCTGACAGGTGGAAGTTTTGAACTCTTGCGCAAATGGATCCCCGCATGGGACTTATGAACTGCGCTAAAATCACCTGGAAATTGAATGCCAATTTCGAAATGTCAAGGGGATCTCGATTTTTCTTTCTCAACTCAAAGTTGAATTATTACTCTTTACAAAAATCAGACTCGCATCTTTCTAGCCATCTAAGTACGATTAGAGACTGAGTTCACTCACTTGGATTTTCGTCTTTTGCTCAACGAGCTTTTCAGCTTGAGGAATATTTTGCATAGAGACATACTGTGGACCATAGGATCACCTACGTGAAATATTTGCAATGGGTCCTAATGTTGTCAAGGATCGAAGCTACCTCTAAAAATCACAAGAAACTTGAATAAAGACAGGATAAATAAAGGACTTGGAGTACAGTTGGAAATCGGGTGGTATCGTGTCAGGCAGGCAAATTATATACATTCTAGAGCTATGCGAGGAAGCTAGATGAGAAGTTGTATCAGGAATCCTGAAAGAGTAATGACAAATTGAAGAGTGTCTCTTCTATTTATGGACCCTGCTGATTTCTTAACAGCAGCTTTTGGCGAGTTTGCAGTAGGCTGATTTGGGGGTGCATATCGAAAAGGGTGTGCCTCGGTATCTGCAAGGTAAGCGAAAGATGTCAAAGAGATTATCACGCTTTCAGCAACAACTTCCATGAAGGCCAAGTACAACCGACATTGGTCTAGACAAACGAGACTGTACATGTGACTCACTGAAGACATATTGATCCAAGGACAACAAGTCGGGAGATGCAAAGGTGAGATATATGTACTACGTTTTGATACAATCAGGTTGTGTTTCACAGTCATTATTATCATGATACGAAATCAGGGATTGTATTGAAAGGACTGACTTTGAATGTCTCCGCGTATCTGATTGTTTTGTAAGAGAAAATGTTAGCTGAAGCTGCATAGTAAAGTTGATCGAGAGTATTCGAGTTTAACTGACAGAAAACTTTCGCAATCGTCTTTTAGCTTTGGATTTGGGCTGTTCACGTTATCTATAGCCGAGTAGCTTGCAGGGGCTTTACAGGTGTTCTGGAGAGCTTGAAAAGCATTCCATACAAAGTCTTGATACTTTGTCTCCCCAGTAATCCTCCATGCGTAAAATGCAGACTCTATCACTTCTGGCCTAATATCGGAATTTAAATAAGTTCCAGGCAGAAATAAGGCAGGGAACTTTTTAAAGATGCGTGTGGAGTGGATGTGAATCTGATGGGGTTTAACTTACCGCAGCATATATTGGGAATTTGTGATGTAGAATCCGTTGGCTTTATAGAACTCGGAATTCTAGACATAGCCGAGATAAAGTATGAAGTTTTAGGTGTGGTCGACAACAATTCAACAGCATTTGGAGAGTGAGACGAACACCTCTTTGTCCATCGGAGCCATCAGGAGGTAGGAAATTGAATATCTCAGGGCCCAGTCCGGTCTTGGTGGCCGTGTACTAGATATTACCAGTTGCAAAAAGGAAATTCCGCACGATCAGCGCCGAGACCTGTTTGAAAATTTGTTTGGCAAGCTCATAGATACCGCTAAACTCACCGATCTCATACATGTCTCGAGTAACAAGATCCCATATCTTAGGATTTCTGGATCATTGAGCACACGTCCTCCCATCATCCAGTTTCCACCTGGTGAATCACAGATTCTCCATAAATATTGGGTTATATGCGCTAACACTGAATGGATGAAATGTTGATGAATTTACCAGCAAAACATGCGAGATGCGAAAACATGTGTCTTTTTCCACCCTCAGATTCCGAATATTCATCCAGATACGTGAGGTTTTGGAGCGACGACGTAGTGACAAGGTATTTGATCGAGGATCCTACTGCTTTCTTCCACGCTATTTTGCGTACAGAATTAGGTCAACGGGACACATCAAATTTTATTGAGATAAGATGAACCTACATTCAAGATATACTGGGTCAGCTTGGTTTGTGAGCATTGGGTATTTCAGAAGATATTCATAGTACGAGCTAAAAAGACATGTTGAAATCAGTTTTCCAACAAGGCTCAAGGCCAAAAATCCTAGCGGTGATAGGGTTCGGAATGACCTACTCGGCGCTTGCTAATGTAGTCAAGATTTCATGGGGAAAAATTCAGTGTCTCATTTCCCTTGAAAAATCTTTGGATCCAAATAGTAACAGCGGTAACTATAGCGGTGCACTAACCTCCCCATGTGACCCTGTCTTGTATGACACTACCATTTTTTGCGCTATATCGCAGACCAGGCAATCCCGGAAAAATCCCGGGTAAATCTATCAGATGATGTCAGCACCTTCACAATAAGATTCAGAAACAGGGGAGAGATTGTAGCTTACCCATCAAAAATTTCATAGATTTGTCTGCCAAGTTCCTATATTTGTCATTTTTAGTATAGTAACTCAGACGATCGAATTCGACAATCATTGAGCCAGCCTGAATTTTCGAGTGGTATATAGGCTTTTCAAGTCAGAAATTGTTCCACAATCCTCAATGTGCTCCCAAATAGTGAGGACTTACCGCGGCCAAGCTGACTATATCACTAGCCGGCGTATTGTCAGTAAAGGACAATACCGAATACGGAAGCTTTTGATTTTCATCCGGCCATGCATATATCAGCTTATCCGTAAGTACTCGTGCTTGATCCAGCAACGCTTGGTTATTGGCGCCAGATAATTCGTATGCCGACTGAGTGAGGTACAGATTCAGTCAGTGTAAAGCTTGCGACTTTGTTTTGGAATTGAGACTGAGACGATGCCTTACTAGGATGCCTCCTACATAACGAATGGTAGTTTCGAACACAACGACTAGCTATCCACAGAGAATTACACATAAATTGACTGTTATCAGAATCTAATTGACTATATTCAAAACGTGAAACTGACATCATCGGTATGATTGGTTGAGAAATCGATTTTCAGCGTTTTATTGACTGCATCGTCAAAAGCATCCTATGTATACAAGCATGGTCCGTGAGCAATGATGAGAGTACGCCGCATGGTGTTGGAAACGAGAGTACTTTGAGATCCATAACAAAAATTGTGTCCAGTGCATCGACGAGGCTTGCGGACCTTCATCGGCGAGAGAAAGATCCGTACTCGCTTAGCGATAAGGCTTGCGTTTTCGGAAACGTGGAACTCACCAGCCATTACGGGAATTTCGTCCACCCTTCGAAACAGGCAGAACTAGTGATGGAGAGCTTTCAATTAGTACAGTACCTTCAGGAATCGATCTGGCTCTTCTGCAAAACACGACCACGGACCTTCGTCTGCAGGATATCCATATCGTATGTAATCGTTATAAGCCACCAAGAATGCGTCCTTGATGGTTGCGGCACGAGCTTGGGCTTCGTCAGTTTGGCGGATGGCAGCATTTTGTATCGCAGCGTTGCAGGTACTGAGGGTGCTCAATACGTATAGGAATGAGATAAGCGCCACGGCGCGATTGAAGATAGAACAGGGTACCAACATTGAAAGATGATTGCAAATTGAAGTTTAGGATAAAATTACTTAGTGGGCGGACTCAAACTGTTTGCTTGACCTCCATAAGTTAAAAAAAGACCTTTTAAGGGTCTTCGATGATACATAAACCGTGAGACCCAGACACCGTCGTCGCATTCAGGAGTCCCTCTCGGCGTCTCGGCGAGCGAGCCTACGAAACTTCCTTCAACAACCTCAACCTATACACCCGGCGACTAGAGTGAAAGCAAAAATTATGAACTTTATCGCCAAGACCCTCACAAAACCCAGCTACCACCCGCTTTTCTCAATCATACAGCAAGCTCGAACCTCAAATCCCCGATATCATCGCAACATATTCCACCAATTTTTCCATCACAAGCTAGGAAAAGGTTTCGATGAATTTACCGATATGCTTGTACTATACTCACCTACTCATATCAGTCTGCAGGATTAGACTGATTGCTCCTCACGTAGCAATCTATATCATCATTTAGAAGGTCCTTACCAAAGTCCCTTGCATCCCTCTAGTGCCTCAAGTCTTATCATAACCCTATATTGTGATGATACCTCAGGGAACATCAGAACGCGATGGAATAAACACATGTCCTTTTATTTCAATCTTTCAGGTCTTCCTTCCAGATTGGTTCATCTGGACTATAATACTTTGTTCTTGGCAAATACTAATGTTGGTGCAGCCTTAGAATTAGCTGATGATCTGGTACATCATCTGAAGTGAGTTGAATATTTGGAAATTTCTAGTATTCTGATTCCCTGACATTCTTCTTTGTTTGTTCAAAGTGGTCTGAGTTTGGAAGGTTGTGTTGGTTATGATTCTGAATTACAAGAAGAAGTATTGATCATGACAATTCCACTTTGTATTCTTGGTGATACCCCCATGGACGCAGAGGTGACAAATACACAAAATCCAGCATCAACATTGACTCCTTGCAGGATATGTACTTTGGCAGCTTCTAGCATGGATGAAAAATGTACTCATCAGTATGCGGAACATCTTATGGGCCTGCTTCAAGGAATAATAACACAGTTTGAAACAAGATCATGGAGTGTTACAATCAGTAGAACTCAATCACTCTGGTGGCTACCAAGGTTTCCAAATTCAATTTAAAAGGTGGAAAATCAAGCAAAGATTTGGGGGATCAAGGATAACATGTGTCATAATTTCATGGCTCAAGTCAGACAATGTCACCAGGAGAATCCAAATTCAGACATGGCAATCTAGATGGCTGAAGAATTAGATGATTGATATAACAATGGATTATTCAACCCCTCCTTATGTCTGAATGGATTTGACGGCCATTTAGACACTCCAGTGGAGTCCTTGTGTGTCATCCTACTTGGGGTAACCAAATACCTATATTGCGATTGTGTCAGCTGGCTATCTGACACCCAGAAATCTCAATTAAAGATCAAGTGGAAGATCTTTGATTCCTCAGGAATGGGATCAGAAGCAATACAACCAGAGTGCATGGTTACACATGCACAAATCTTGAATGGAAAGGAGTTCAATATTGTGTTGCAGGCTGCAACATTTGTTTTGGGAGAATACCTCTCTCCACTATACAGGCAAGTATGGCTTGACTTGGGTCATGTTGATTCCATGGGCTTTCAACCCCAGCTCAGGGCGTGGGAACATATTGCAATGATTTGGATCATACAATTGACCACTTCCTAGTGGGGGGTGTGCAGCTCTCAGCTCAATGGTTAAACAAACCCAAGTTTTGTATCATGAAACATTTCATACTCTCAATTAGGAGGTTTGGGGCACTGTCACTTTTTGCAACTCAATATTTTGAAAGAATGAATGGTGTTGTTTGAAAATTTTCAATTCATTCAAATTGCCAAAATCCTGGAAGAGACATCAATATCTCTGCAAACAACATCAATGTTCTTCAGCACCTTTCTTTGGATGGTTTGATACACTATCCATATGATGGCTCTTGGACCAAACCAGGTGACAGGGTCATCAAGACTCGAATGAATGACCAGTACATATTGGAAGTGCTGGGGTACAACAAGGATGTGTTCCTCCGTATTAAATACAAACAAGTCCCTTATTGTCATCCCATTCCACCCAGAACTATCTCCAAGTGTGCATGTTTCAAACTCAGTGATAATAAATTTGTATGGGCACTTACCAGACACACCATTTTACCTACCAAACAGAGTGCAAAAGACAGGGCTTTTATATTGCTTAAGATTCCTATGCCTCAATGTCCAGGGGCATATGATGAGCAAGTCGGCTTGGTTAAGGAAGTTTGGACGACTCAAGAGTCAAGAGTGGATGAAAGTGTTGTGTTAAACATAGAAATGGCCTTGTTATCCAATCACCACCCATTCTATGGCATGAGGGGTTTTATACTCACTGGCCACATAGTTGGTGCCTATCCATGGGCAAGCCATCAGATATTTCATCCCACCTCATTTGAGAAAAATGTATAGAAAAGATTTATTATGTCTTGCTAATGAATGTACAACACAACCACTATGATTCCAGATGCAAGATCATGTCACCAGTCAAATGTCCTACAGATCTACACCTATTCAGGAACCTTGCACCAGTTTTGGTTCATGAACAAGCCTCATATCACATCATAAATCCTGCTTCACTGTTTTTAGCCTTCCTACACAGAGAGCTCTTCCTAGTACACACCATCCCATATACCCCTGCAGGCAGTGTGGCTGCCATCTCATTGGGTGTACACCAATTGACAGATAAAAAGAACCTGAACAAGCTGGCCAAGAAGGCCAAAGCAGCCGCAGACAAAGACATGAACAAAGGAAAAAAGCAGGGAACAGGCAAAAACAAGGGCAAAGGAAGGGCCTGGAATTGACAAGATGTAATGATTTTGATGTAGTTCATATCATGGTGAGGCATTGATCCTTTCTTGAATGGATTCCCATCCAATACAATCAGGGTCAGTCTCTTGACCACAAAGGTGATGGTTCTCATTGTGGGGATGGGATATGGCAAGATCACATACACAAGCTCTTTGGTAATTTGCATACAGAAGGAATTAAACTTCTGATCTGCCCATTGGATGCCTTTGGTGATGACCAGGTTGGTCTCTTGATTTTGTTCTCAAAGCTTATAACAGTGAGTTTTGATGTGGCTGCTGTGATGAAGGTCTTGGAAAAGGCCTGTGAGCCTACTAGCGTCTGTCAGGCTAGTAGATTCAATGAAAAGGTTGTAGAAGGTATGGTAACTTCTACCAAAGTCGCGTAGATCAATATCTATGAGTATGAATGGGTAGAGATTTGGGTGTAAGAGCTTTACTTGGAATAAACAAGTAAAGACTCCAGTTAGTTGACCTTTAAACAAAGGCTTTAGCCCAGGGATTTTTGGGTTAATTATTGTCTTTACAATAATGAAAAAATGAGAGCAACTGACATGCAGTTCTCAATCCTAATTTGATCCTCTTCTTATTCAAAGAAAGGTCAAAGAAGGTGGTGTTAAAGTCTATTATAACACCAGGAAATTTACACTCTGACTAACAGAGATTCCCCCGTAGATTTAGAGTTTCTTATATCAGATGAATCCCAAATCTGATATAAGCAGTACCCAAGGACTACTTCCTTACAAGTAATTCCACCAAATGGATATTACAAGAACTACTGATTATGGAGTCTAATCAGAAACAAAGTTGAATGAGCACACAGAATAAGCAACAAGACACAAGGTTTGAGTTTCAAGGTTTGTAGAATCAGGCCTTTAAAGTTTGGTAATTGATAAGCAAAGTTTAAAGGTTCTAGGAAGATGAATAAAAGCAAAGTTGTGTAGTTGTTGAATAATAATGTGATGATGTTCTTCTTCTCAATTTGGTTGGATTTCCAGGGTTTATATAGTCTGAACCTTGGAAATCTTTGGACTACAAGTGCGCACAAATTGTGGTTCTATGGTTAGGTTAATTACAGTAAGACAGTTACTATTGTATTATAAGTATATTTCACTTGTTACATATGTGTTACGGCTGTGAAATATATGTAGCTTTGGTTTGCATCAAAGTTATGTTTCACACCCTTTGATGTAAGTTCTGCACATGTTACATATGCTAAATCATATGTAACTTGACTCTTGAAACTGAGCCTTGAGTTGTAATTGCTATTTTTAAGGTTTTTATTATAACACGTCGCCCATTGGTACTCTAGTTTAGTACTCAGGGCTGACAAGGCCTTAGTAGAGCAAACTGAAATCAAATTAACCTCCAAAAAATCACAAACAAAAGCATGAACAACATCTTGTTGGGAAAATAGTGCTACAGTCAAACCCGCGCAAACGCATAATTTGGGTGGAAGACTTTTGCTATGCATTTTGACTGGTTATGCATTTCTGTTGTCAAATTTGGCAGTAAAAAGCATCAAGATTCTGGATTTTTTCTATGCATTATCACGGGTTATGCACCTGCGCGGGTATGCATTTGCGCGGGTTTGACTGTACATATCTTGTCAGTAATTTTTTTGGGATCACAAGCAATTATGAAAGGAATTGAATTCTGCACATTTTGGTACCTGGCAATTGCTCCTACAAACCAAATGTTTGGGCAGCTGTGATGGAATCTACAATTTCACAAGTCCTTGATCCTGGAAATATCACCATGGTACTTAGGGAAACACTTCAGACAAACTAAAGCTGACTGGGCTTAAAGTTTTAATAAATCAAGCATGTCCTAAGACCAAACAACACTCTACAGGATGGCTAGCAGTACAAATGTATTGTATATATATGACTCTAAAAAAGAAATAAACAACTGAAACTGAACAACAAAACAAAATTTGTAAATAAGATGAGTATAAACTAACACATAACACTGTCTTAACATAATGATGAAATGATCTTATATATCTTTCTATTTTTCTGAAGAACAATACTGGCAGAAAAATAACCAAAAAACAATTCTATATATATAATTGTGACAATCAACTGATACATATTCTGACAACTTTGGACAACTTCAAAAATTCCGCATACCATCCAGGATTGCCTGGGAGGGCTTCAAAGTATCATACTTTATCATTCTTGATGATACCTGAAAGTGCTCTGAGCTTGGAAATCTAGACAAAACGAGGTAAAGAGAAAGAAATGGTGATTGAATTGCATCTTCAACAGGATGATGTCATATCACCATTTGAGACAATATATCCATCAAAGACCTGACCCCAACAACTACATCATTTACTCTAGGAGCATCTCCAACGGTCCTGAATCACCAAAAGGCGTACAGGCTCGTCTGAAAACATACAGTAAGCTGTATTTTTTCTTTAAAATGATTTCCCTCCACCGCGCACATGATGGAGGGACTTCCAAGGTTGTGCTCCTGCCAAAAACGCCGAAAGCGCACAATATTCCTTTTAAAAGTTGACTGATATCTCATTGACTATATACTTGATATGTAATTTCTTTTGATTATCATATTTATCTTTGGACGCATGTGGTATGATTATGTCCTAAACGTCGCCAATACTGCTTCCTGCATCTTTTGCAGAAGCCCTTCATGCATGAAGGTCTTGACATGCAATACCCAGTATCCCTCAAACCAAACTTCACATGAGTGGCCAGAGGTGAGAAATCTGCCGACCGGTGGAGGGTCGTTTTTTGACCCAACCCTGTAAACGTAACATACAGCTTACGTATCGTCACGTTTACAAGGCACCGTTGGAGATGCTCTAAGTACCTATCATTTCCAATATTCCAATCAGTAAGTAACAAGTGACCTAGAACTAAAAGTTGTGGACGAAGCCCATGTTTTCTACATCTTCGGGATTTTTCAATCCTGGCAAGGCAAAGAATATGTCCCGTCATGTTAAAGTACAGAATAAGAGAGCCTTCCAGCCTCATTACCGGAAACTAATCCACTAACATTTGACTACAGATGAGATGCCTTTTCTGTTGATGCCTGCAACACGTTGACCCCAGACAGTCAAGGTGATTTTGGAAAATCTTTAACTCAAATCAGATACAGTGCATTTTATTACGGCAAGCGACACCCTCTCATACTCATGTCTTCGCAGGAGTTCTTCTCCACGGTCTCCACAATGGAACAAATATTCACCATCCCAAATGAAGGTGAATCAACGGTTAGATAATTCATAAGGGTCTAGGTGGCTCTCAGAACAAGAAAGTCTTGCGCCGAGGCGAATGAGGATGGTACGATACTAATGGGATGATAAAATGGTAATTCTTACTACATAGCTGTAAGATAAGTTGGATCGCAAAATAATTGAAGACACAAAAACCAAAGTAAAATAAGATAACATACTGAAGCCCTATTTGATGATAGAGAATAGAAAGACAGATAGTCCATGAGAGATGAAGGATATTCAGATAGTATACATAAACGAAGACCAAATAATTTGAGGGCCGTTTACTTGAATCTGACGCCTCAAGCTTGAAATATCCTAAACAAAGTTCCAGGTGACCTAGAAAGACAGAACTCATTATATTAAAAGTTGGATTCGCAGGCCAGCTTCAAATGGTGCACATGTACTTACTGGAAGCGTTCCAACGTCAAGCTCAGCGATTCTTTTGAAGACAGCCGGGCTGAGGTCTAAATCTCCATGACCGCAAGTCCTAAAACAGTTCGAGGTCATCAGGAAAAATTTGAACCGCACAAATTATGCCCAGATATTTGTATAGAGACGTACGGGCATTCATCCATGACGGTAGCAGAGACTTCCTTCCCATTGCCTTTGATTTTAATCCTTTCAAAAATTGAAAAATCCAGTATTAGTCCATATGGATAGTCATATACAAGGAAAGAGGTCATACTTTTTTCCACACTGTCCAGGATATTGGGCAGAGTTAAGGGCAAGAACATGATCTTCATCCGAGTTGGCTGTCCCACATGCTCCGATTCCTACCGAGGGATTGTACCAAGTGATGCGCCCAGAGAATGTGTCCGGGTTACTCGCTGGCGTAGACTTGGGTTCATAAGTTGTGGTTGTAGGCGCGATTGAAGATGTTGCAGCTTTATAACTGGTAGTCATCGTGGCAGGCTTAGAACTTTCAGGCTGGGGTTTGGGAACTGGTGTGGCTTGTTGAGCAGCGTTCGAGCTGGTCGGGGTGTCTTTCACGGGTTTGTCCTCAGGCACTGAAGTTGGTGGAGGTGAGGGATTTTCAACATAGGTAGACTTGAACGAATCTTTTGTCTCCTCAGGCGGTGGAGCAGAAAGATGCGCTTCGTCTTCAACGAAGTCAGCATGTAATGAATATGTCGGTAGGGAAGTAGAGGAAGAAACAAATGACCATCGGAGCTGATTCCATTCGAAAAAATAGATAAATGAACCTTCTGGCGCGAGTTGCTGGTTATTCAAGTCTAAGAGAAACTTACGCCTGTGACTACGCCATCCGAGAGTGGAGCAAATTGAGAAAATAATTCCGGTGATAAATTCAGTCCCTCAGATTTACAATACCTATCATTGTTCTGGGTGTTAGTTTATCAAAAAACGTGTTGCAACTAAACGCCTGATTGTCATTATTTCTGAGAAACTTACGGCTCTGGACAGAGATCTGTGACGCGTCCATATGCCACAACACCTTTAGGAGATTCGATTTTGATTCTGAACGCGTAAGGTCATTCATTTAAGTCAGGCATCTAATCAACCTCGAAGTGTCTGAATTGGTAGTCCATGAAGAAGAAATAACATATTAATCAAGAAAGCGACTCACAAAGCATGGCAAGCCGTTCCGTTGGCAAAGGGCACCGAACTGAGAGCAATTGCACTGATGTTATCCGCCTTCAAGGGTGGACAGGCGGATTTTCCATTAGGTCGAAACCAAGTAGTAACACTGTTCGAGGAGTTTTGGGGAGGATTGCTTTCGGTGGCGACCAGTTGTAACCCGAAAAGAAATAAAGATGTCACCAACATATCTTGTGATTATGAATATTTTAAGCACAAATACGAAGGAGTTTTATAAAAATCGATTGTGAATAAATAAAATGAGAGTATGAAATCCTAGAGAATGTCGAGACCGTTGATAAAATGAGTGTATTCCAAGAGTAGGTAACTATTATAGGTAGTACCTGAACTTGTTTTATATGTGTAGTGAGATGTACAAATTAAGACAAGAGATAAGGTTGGAAAACAAAGGGGGAGTGAACCTGTTGAACCGATTTAAGGAGAAGTCTTTATAGTCGTATCAATGCAACTTTAGCGTCAAGGATGAACAACCAAAAAAGGTGACGAGGATGACCAAAAAAGGCTATTGTTGAGATGTGGGTCACTGACTGGTTTTCGAATTATGCTGAAAAAGGACATGAGGTAGATAAAACGAAGGGCACATGTTGGAAACCCAACATGCAAAGGTTCCGGTGCGAGCTGCAGTCGATGAGCAGGCCATGTCGTTGTGTTCATACTTGCGTCCTTGTCAATGGTGATCGTTCTAAACCGTCGCATACAAGCAATGGAGTGCATTGTGCCATTGTGCGATTTGTGATCGACTGAAGAACCCACTCGAAGGCTGTTGTGCAAAACAGACAATAAAAGTCGCCGAAGTAAGAAAAAACTTGCTTATATTCTGCTCAAAAGGAAGACTCAACTTCTCGAAAAGCTTAGCCCAGGGTTCCCGTCATTTTGCTTGCGTGTTTCGGTCAAGAACAAGCAATATTTTTGTTACCCATCAGAAGAGGAGAGGTAGAGAGGGATGAAGTTAGTTTGCCATAGTGCGTGGCCGCGGCGACCGGTGCATTGAGAAGGTCCCTATGCCTGATTCAATCCTGGATGAAGGCGGAAATTAGCATGAGACCTATGGCCAGGAACTTGACCAAGTCCTTCCCGCTTTCACCACAAATCTTTCAAGAGTGAAAGTCAATCATACCAAGTGACCAGCGACTCATCACCCCGTAGACCCACCTCACCCAGAAAAACCAAACAGTTTACCTCGTACACTTTGCTCTTGCTAACACTGACTGAGGGTCAAGATGCTATCATCCACATCTCCCTCATATATGTGGTCTAATTCTGATTCTCTTACGTTGCTTAACTTTCCATGCTGGGCCTCATGCTGTCTGACACATCTATCGGTATCATCCATCAGTGTAAATTGGACATCCTCGTCTACTTGACACCCCGTGCTGCAACCTTGATCACGAGTCTCGGCTAAACCCAAAAGCTTCTTGAAGGCTGGCCCCTACTCTTTCAGGTTTTCTAGATAAAGATTGATGTGAGCATTTCCTCAAACCTTGATATGTATGTGACTCGACATAATCAGTGGTCTTTTTCAACTGATAGACTGTGAATGAGAATCTGGAGCAAATTACTCAGATTCGATATTATCATCGGGTGTTAAGGCAAAGAGCCGCTGTCATAATTCTGAAAATTTGAAAGATAAAGTGAAACTGTATGGCTTACGGCTTTTAGCAAGTTGAGTTTCTTTGATTTTAAATTTTTAAGTTTTTCTTGATTACCCAGAATACACTTCCCTTCGATCATTACTCAAACGGTTTTTTGTTTTTGACTTCCTTTGTTCGCAACTCAGCCTCAACAAACCATCATAAAGACACACTTCAAAGTTATCAAACTCGTCTATCCCTTCAGACCTTCGCTTGCACGCCACATATTTAAACATGAACCCTACGGAGAAAAGTTTTGGATCCGATTCACTTCCAGAAACTGCTTTAGTTCCTCAAGCATCTTCACCTAAAAACCTTGACGTATCTTCCGACGCTTCATGCCTCAACGGGTCTCCACAAGCAGTTCAATCCAGCCCATCATCACCAGCCCAAGCTGAGCCGGAGCTCATCTCCACAACCCCAGCGAGCTCTCAGGACTCTACAACTCCTTCGCGGTCTCCCAATGATGATCAGACAGATTCCTCTGAAGAACTCAATAACAAAACTTCTGCTGTCAATGCAGATCCTTCCGAAGTTCCAACTGATTCTGCTGCGTCTCTTCCTGCTCCAACAAACAATCAACTCTTGGACGCTATCTTGCCGATCCGGTCCGAAGCTCCGACGCTCGGAGTTCCTAAGCTTCTTTCCCGACTCAAGGCCCTCAACCCAAGTTGGCAGCTCAGCGAAAAGCGTCTCCGGAAGTTCCTTAATTCGAATCCCAATCTCTCAGCTCAGACATCAAACCTTGGGCAAGCTCGCTCGTCACCTCGTGTTCCTTCCGAGCCAATCTGGCTGCCGGACTATGCTTGGGATAAAGATTGGGAAGCAGCCTCTGCCGACAACAGCTCCACTGAGCCTGTCAGCTCTTTGGACGATGTTCTCCTCCTAGAGTGTCGTCAACGCAGTGTAAAAGTAGAGCCTGTTCGGTTTCCTGAGAGCAATAAAGGTAGTGGACTGATAGCAAAGGCTAACTACCCCAAGGGAACCCAAATAATCAAGGAGGACGCGTTCGTTTGGGTCCCGCCTAGCAAGTTTCGTTGAGACCACCTTTTCCTTATCTCATTTCGTTAAAAGATTTCCGTATCTTTATAACTCATCATCACCTCGTTTCTTGTCGCAGGGCGCTTTCACGCTCCGTTATCTCCGGTCAAAGTTGTGCATTCTGTGGTCGAGCCTTCTCAACGCAACGCACAAAGAGTCAACCAACTTGTCCGCATCACCCTGCACCTGGCTCTAAAGAGGCTATCGCAGCGCAACAGCTTGTCACAACCACTTCGACCAGTCTCGCCACCGGTAGCCAATCTGTTACCGAAAAGCCAGCCGGTCCCGAACCTTGTTACATGCGCTATTGTACTCGTGTATGCGCTCAACGTTCAGTCGACTATTACGGCCCCCTGGTCTGCCCACAAAAGAACCCAGAGTACATGCAAGTGATACGTTTGGCTGATTCAGAGGAGTTCAGAGGCGCTCATATGGTTTTCAAGATATTTGCAAGAATGTTGATCGCGAACGAAACTGGTGAAATTAGTCCAAATCCTTCGTTTGTACCCCCACAGAGGGAAGAAAGTGAGGTAAAGAACGGCACAGTTAATCCAGAATTGGAACAAGACCCGATTGGCTCAGACGATCCAGCCTTAAACACACGCCACAACAATAAGAATAAAAAGGCTAAGGCCAAAAAAAAGGTGATGAATGTCACACCAGAGTGGACCGGACCTAGTGTGGAGTTTGAAAAGATTGTAAAGCGACTCGAGGGTCTTGCTACGGTTTCTGAACGTGCTCGTCGCGACCGCCTTCACGGAGGTGGTCATCTTGCATCGCACTTCACCGATGTACGATTTGGTCAACTATGGCGTAATGGATGGCATGTGGTCACTCGTGCACTTCATCTTGACACAGGTTATCGTCCTGCACCAACAGAATCTGAGACGAATTCGACTGATGGTTTTTGGGCGACGTTCTGGAAACGGAGGCTTAACACCGAGACGATTGCTCATTACTTTGGATTCCGCGGTTTCCTAGAGTATCTCGGCAAGGCAGCCTTGAACAGAGAAACAGATCATGGGCTCTACCTTCTCCATGCTCGATTCAATCGTATGTAATCTCTCACAGCTGTCGCCCTATCGTACATTGAGCTGTTACGTACATTGAGCTGTTATCTGTTTTAGACTCTTGTGACTCGAATGCAATAGCGCTGAAACATCCGGGGTCGGAGGAGCTGCACAAAATAGCACCATCGACAATCTATGTCATTGCAAAACGAGATATCCAACAGGATGAAGAGATCACGATTTCATACATCAACCGTTCGTAATTTCTCATCAACTCTACAGCTTATGACTAGAGTGGGTGCGGATATCAATGAACTCAATCTATTGTATTTTGATGCTTGCTGTTCCAATCATATCTCCGTGACATTATCTCCTCAGCCGAATTGTGTCTGGAGGCACGGTGAGTTTAAAAGCTTTCACTTGTCCAATGGACGTACTTTTGTCCTACCAAGATCGCTGATTCTGAATGATTCTATAAATCAATAGGCGAAAGAAGCTATTTGACGACTACCTATTCTCCTGCTTCTGTTCTCGTTGTCGACGTGAGCTAAAAGAAGAAGAAGTTAAGAGATTGGCAGAAGAAACGAGTCGGTTGATGATGAATGGCGCGATTCAAGAAATTGGTTCAGATGAAGCTCAGGAAGTCTCAAGTCCTACCACCACGGCTCTTCAGCACCCTAACGGAAATGACAATGGCAATGCAAATGGCAATGGGGTGGAAGATGACTCTATGATTGATGAATGTCAGTAGTGATGTCAATTCTCTCAGTTTTCTTGCTCCTGTTGACAAGCTTTGTTCGCTGGACACCACACACTCGATCATGCTATGTATGTTGATCCAACGATGAACAGTACGGGCGGTCTTCTCATGATTGAGTAAAAAGTAAAAAGCAACTTCTGGCGCTTCATCCCAATGAAAACCACGGCAAATCACAACATTCCCTGTGACTGAATCTGCGTTCTGTAGCGGTAATGTCGATCACTTAGAGTGAACATCGTACTGTGGTTGGTAATATATGACGAGCAAGAAAATCAAAAATACCCTTCTGTGTCTGTATCAGAAGAAACCCAAAAAGGAGGCATGCACTGGCCAAAAAAACAATCGTGAAAATAGATCGCAAAAGTGATGACTTTTTGATGAAGGGGGCTAGAAAGGCAGGTTTTATTTTCTTATGTCGATTGATTTATATAGAAGTGCTTTTGTTAAAATAGTTGAAGAGTCATGAGGAATCAAAACAAAAAACCGAAAATCTAAGAAACATAGGTCTATCAATTGTGAAGTAAATTTTTATACCATACCATACCTCAAATGCCTCTTGTATTCTACGGTTTCCATTTCTATATACATCTACAACACCAATTTAGTTTGTGATTTATGTATCTAGCAATGACTTTGCTTAAGTGATCATGCTTAATGGAACGCTCAAAAGATTATGGTGACTATCTTGCGCTTTTCTCGCTTTCCTTTTTTTGATATTGTGGCAATTTTGTAAGTATAACGCTCGCTGTGGGTCAAGAGGCAAATAAGTTTGTGTGCCCTTCGCTTTGAAGGTTCGTAGGATTGTTCAAAGCCGCTATGATGTGGCAAACAGCTTTTGTTCGGTATACCGGGTACGGATGAAGAGGCTACATACATCTGTGAAATATGTCTGTCTGGTGTGAAAGGAGAAGCTTCTATGCATTCAGCTTCATTCGACAGGCAAGAGAGCCTATTTCAATCTATTTCCCGTCGCGAACGCACTCAACTTCTAGGCTTAACTGATCAACTTCGGCCACAGATATAGCCAGGTGTCCACGATCTGAAGGATCTTGTGTGGGACATCATTTTCGCGGTGAAGCCGACTGACGCGCATGTATAGATGACTGGAATCAGCTCCGTCTGCCCAAGTGTTTGTGATTGGCCGGACTGGCGAGATTTCGCCAGCCAGCCTGAAGCCGGATGACTTCATAGACATAGAAAATGGAAGTCAACAACACTCTGGAGCTCATCTGGTCGCGGGCGCGAGATAGCCGTGCAATCAGACCCATCGAGCGCTGATCCAGCTTGGGGTGACGGTCAACTGCCCAAACTTGACCAGGAAGTTTAATTCACCTCGCTCATCAAGCAGCTTGACAATGGCTCAAACTGACATATACGACCATTCCAACTCCAAGGATGCTGACTTGGGCTCAACCCCGACTCCAAATATCGGCCATTCACCTCTCCTAAAGATCCCACGTTTCGTCTACCAGCGTAATTTTGGTCATTTACTCCAATCTTTTGGAGACTTTAGATCACTTCAACTTTTCTCCGTGCTACGACTATCTGTTTTATTGTCTTGTACTCTTTCAACTGTCATCACATTTCCAGTTTCTATTTGACACATTTCCTCATCCTTTGCCTTGACACCGGCAAATCCTTGAGCCTTCAGAACTTCAGTCTTCATTCTAACGGCGCGGAAATATATTCCCAACAACATTCTTTCAAGTCGCGGATCTATTCATTGTCTGGTCAAACAAACTATTTTGGTCGCTTTTTATACCTCTGAGCAGAGTCATTCATTCATTCATCACACTTAGAACCTTATCACTTCAAACCCCTCAACCGCGTCGTTCGAAATCAAGGCTCTCGCATCTGCTCGATTGGTCCTTAACAGCACTTCGAATTCTGCTCTAACATCGTAGAATGAAAGTTTGAATTCGACTCGTCATAATAAACAGAACATCGAATCAGCAACCCACCGCAAACCCACGAACACACGATCGAAACCCCAGACGAAACTACAACATACTACGCCGGTTTATCTCATCCACAACATGGGATTAAATCATTTCATCCCACGCAAAATGCACTTTGGAATGAGAAGAAATACCTTCACCCAGATATTCAGACGGCAGGCACCCGCTCCTGCACCTGATACCCCGGCCGCACCTATCGCCCCAGCTACCACGACTCCACCTCCGAATCCGCAACATCCCAAGCATCACCGAACGGATGCTGAGCGCCAACAACATCAACTTGAATTGCAAAAACAGCAAGTTGCAAAGCTTATCGCACAACAAGAGGTTGAGCGGCAAGGTTTAGAAGAAGAGCAAGCGAAAGCCAGAACTCGTGAACAAGATCGCGCGCGTCAACATGCGCAAGCCCAAGCTCAACGAGCACAGGCATTAGAAAATCAGCAGAAGGCCCCTCAAGATGCACCCAAGCAGAATCCAGATGCACCGAAGCAGAATCAAGATGCACCCAAGGCTCAAGATGCACCCAAGGCTCAAGATGCACCCAAGGCTCAAGATGCACCCAAGGCTCAAGATGCACCCAAGGCTCAAGATGCGCCCAAAGAGCCTCAAGATGCGCCCGAACAACAGTCAACGTTGCCTCAGATTCAGCGGCAGACGTTACAGCAACCCGATACAGGAAACGACGCGGCCACAACTGGTACTCCCGTTGGGCAATCGATTGGTAAGTCATTTTTCATCTTGAGTTGTCATCGACGAGAGTTAATCCGCCAGTCGAGCTTTTTTGCAGCCTCACCGACTTCTGCTCAACAGCCCCTCACTCCAGAAGCAACTCCAACGCCAGTACCTGTGGTGGCAGCTCCCACCGAACAGTCCGACTCGGTTTCGATCACTACTTCATCCTTCCAGCCTTCGTTGACGTCCGCGGACCTCATCTCGACCAATGCGCCTTCACCTTCGGCCTTTTCAGCCGTCGCTGAATCGTCTGCATACCCATTGACAGACCCGGCCAAACCTTCAACAGGTCTTTCCACCGCCGCTACCGTCGTTCTTGTGCTCGGCATTGTCGCTGTCATCTTTACCTTGGTCATGCTATTGTACAGGTATTGGGTCCAAAAATCTCGCCGGAACGATACGCTGACTCCAATCGAAAAGGTCAATCTTGGTGGCCAAATGAAAAAGTCACGTCCGTCAGAGGCTGACGATGAAGAAATGTTTGGAGGCCATGAGCATGCTAGCATGGCCTTGCACGGTTTTGGTGCATTGGGGATCGTGGATGAAAAGGCAAACTATCGATCTGAAGGACACCAAAAATGGCCTCGTCATCATCATCCGGGTGACGCTGATGCCGACTCAATCTCAAACGAGTCTCTTCAGAGCTCTCGATATCCTCAACACGGATACAATAACACGCATACCTCTACCACCACACGTGCGCATCAAACGCAATCAGGACTTCGCGAGTCGGACGATTATAGCCGATACGTTAGTTCGCCGAGCCTCTTGGCCATCCCAGACACCGCCGCCTTGACTTCCCCGGCTACCAGTAACCATAGTTTTATGTCCCCTACCTCTCCGCTATATCCCTTGATGGCAGATCGAGTTTATGTGGTGAAACGCACTTTTGAAGCCACTCTCACTGACGAGTTGTTGATATTTGTAAGCGCCATCATTAAGCTTCTTACAGTCCTGCGGATGCTTATGATTTCTTCGAATAGGTTGGCGATCGAATTCAAATTCAGACCACATATGACGACGGATGGTGCCTAGGAATCAATTTGGACATTGATCGCCACCAGCGTGCGACCAATCAATTGTTGATCTCTAAAGGTGTTTTCCCCCGTGATTGCGTCGGCAGCATACCCATGGATATGGACAATTCCGGCGAAGGGGAGCAACCATTGACACCAGGACCCAGTGACTTGCAGCGCGTGCCCACTTTGCCACCTTTAGACCTCGGCGAGTATTACACACCGGAACAGCAACAGGAGCAGAAGAACCAAGCTCGCTCCACTCTTAGCGTTTCTGTTTTCGACAGTCGCCCTAATTCTCTGACCGTTCCACGTGCTAGCCATCCTGGACCTAAAATTCGAATTTCAAGCCCAGCTCATTCCGAAGACATCACACCGCGTCATAGCGATGTAATTGCACAATTTCCTGATACACCCAACAACGATTCTCAGGCTCGAGCCAGCTTGATGGCATATCGCAACTCTTTCGGAATTCTCGGAAATACCCCGGCTACACGACAAAAACGAATCAGTAGTTTGATCGCTGGTCGAGATGCTCAGCTGTTCATGGAGTTGGGTGAAGCTTTAGGACCCAATGCCTGAACGCGCTAACTAACACGCATATGTTCAGTACACACAAAATCTTGACATGCACCAAGCAGCATGATTATTCTACTCTTTCCTAACTCATTTGCACAACTTACACCATCAGCACTTACATCCTTTTTTTGCTTCACGCGCACTTTACGCGCACTTACTCGATTGTCATTTTTTAAATAAAAGTCCCCGTATGCTCATACTCTAGTCACGTAACCTGCTAGCCAAGACATCCCTTATGCATCTTGTCTTCTCGAGTACTTGCGATTCACACCTTTCATACCACTGTTACTATCATAATATTGTACATTTCAGGCTATAGCATATTTGAATCAATGATATTCGCAGAGGTTTTTCATTCATTTTTCAACCATACTACATTCATGTCTTTCATATGATGCTTTCTTTTATCTTGTTCTTCTTGTAAAATTTGTTAGACGAGCCTTTTCATTCTTTGTGACTGCATTATCATCATATTGCTATAACGAACATATCATCTTTTGTTGAAGAATCTTTTTCAAAAATTTCTTGTTGAGCAACACGTGACGAACTGTACTAATGATTTTGCATGCTCCTAATTATACATTGACTCATTCGCGCGCGCTCGGATTTGACCGCCATTGTGAGTTCCACTGAACTTGTGAAACACGGATACTCACATAGGATGCTAGCCCGGTGCCGAACTTCATAGCAGAAGAAGTCAACCAAGGGAAGGTTCATGGCCGATCTTGTGTACTAGTCCTTTTTACATATATAGATAACTAGGCAATTGGCGCCCAGCCGCCACACAGACTTGAGCCATGTCAATTCCTCACATGTACGTAGTAGTCAAAGAGAAGAGCGTCACAGTTCCCCTGATTCCGTTTTGTGCAGAGCATGGCCTAGCAAATATAGTCAGAATGACAAATTGCATAACAGCATCTTTCAAACTTTGTGCTTCTATCACTGTGGCTTCTATGGAAGTTGAAGTTGTTCTTGATTTGTTGATCAGATCTATCAGATTGAGCAAAACAAGTGGAGATAGTTGAATGAAGTCCTTGAAACAATTTCAATGATTTTCTTGAAATGATTTCATGAATTTGAATGATATGAATTTGACAAAATGGATGATGCCTGGAATTTGGTGGACTATGACATGATTACATGCTTCACTTGATGAGCTGAGTGTGAAAAGGTTAGTCCAATCAAAGAGCTGAGCCACACTGGTGTTGTCTGATGATGATGAACAAAATTGGTCTTCCAATCTTGTTTTGATCCCCTGTCTTTCTCAATCTTTGACATCCATTATACCTTTAATCCGAGACCGTCCTTAATCTTTGCCATGGGTCCCTCAGCTTTGTACTCATCTCCTCAGACCTACAAAGAACAACAAGCAAAAGCGACATCCAGCCCAACAGCAATCCAACATTGAGCACATCTAGCAACACATTAACTCCAACTCCTGGTCCAACAACATCTCAGGCTACTAAGAAGCGTAAGCAGTCCAGCAACAACGGAAGCCAGGCAAAGAAGCAGAGTAAAGTTTCTCAGGTTGGTTGCTTTTTCACTACTTCTCACCATTCTCATCATTCCTGACTGCTTACTTCATTTTGTATACTCAGGTCAAATTGGTCCCCAACATGATTGATGTGAACCAGGATTCATCTTCTGAAGATGAGGCTGCAACCCCATATCAACCAAGTAAGAAAGGAGGTGTCAAGATTCTCCTTTCATACTTTGGCAAAGCAAATCATAAGCCAGGCAAGGGAAGTACCTGTCTTCACTTTATACCTGTCTTCTCATGTGTAATTCTCCTTTACTGATGATTAATAATTTACAGAGCGGTTCATTTCAGAGTTGGTACCCTTGCCAATGGTGGGGTGAGTACTTGACTAGGGGTTGCAAGACCAACTCAAATCTATATGGTCATCAAGATGGTGAGCCGGAAAGTCTCCCCTGTGACAGCTGCAAACGGGCTATTAAGGCGGGTATGGATCTTCCACCTAACCATCAACAACTAGAACAAGCCGCAAACGCAAAGACCGCTAGTGGGAAGATGATGCAGGCCTTTATCAACAAGCCAGCTTTCTCAGTGGAAATTCTCAGCATCCTCCTTGTAATTTGGATTGTGCGGCAAGTAATAGCACGGAGGAGATTCTCCGACTTAACTCTACAAGCGGCTTTCAAGCTCTCTAACCCTGGTGCCAACATGCAATCACTTAGCTGGGCTTCTCAAACCGCAAAATCCCTGTACAAGTCACTGCATTCAGCTGTGTTAAGGAAATTATTGATAAGTGAAGATATATCTGTTGCATCATCTGATTTCATTGAAACACACTGACCAATTTTGCTGAATCACAGAATAATTCCAGTCACATATGGCTATTGCATGATGTGTGGACAACTAAAGGTACACCACACTTTAATAGCACTCATTGCCTGTTATGTTGACAAGAACTTTTGCTTTCAAAAGGTCCTGCTGACCCTCAAGAGAAGACCTCTGTGTGAGTGTACAACCTACTTTGGACAAACATAAAGGTGTTATGATTAGTTACAAATCAAGTTGTTATGCTGTGTTGTTACGTGTTGCGTTGTTTGTGTTGATCACTGCTGTGTGCCCTGATTATGTGTATTGATCTGATTGGTATGGTATGACGTGACTGATATGTTTCACTCTGTACAATGATATAAGAGCATCTCCAATCGTTTGGGTTAAATCTTGGGTTAGCGGGGCTAGAGTTACAGATCTTTAGCCGGGGTCAGCTAAACTAACCCAAATTCCCGCAATCG